TCGATGCCCTTGTGCTGAGACTCGGTACCGAGGTATTACAACACCGAGAGTGCAATGTGCCTAGCGTCCAACGAATTTCAACAAGCCTTGTTCTTTCCTCACTTGGCACTCTGTTCATGACTAAATGAAAACGGGACGATACAGCAGGAGACAAAGAAAGGAATCGGAGGGAACGGGTGGCAGCTGGTCGTGGTCAGCGCGGCTCCAGGGCCAATTAAAGGCACCAGTTGACCGTGCACATGTGTTTACCGTGGCCTAGAAGGCTGGCAATGCTCAAGCACTGGGAATTCACGTGTTCGTGACCGGTGCGCCCCCCGCCCCCACGGACTTGGTCTTCAAAGCCCGAAGAGTTGCATCAGCTTGTCCAAAGCATCCATGGATGTGGTCCTGGTCTTCCATGTCTTACCTGGTTTCGCTTCTATTCCGTATGTGGTTTCGCTTCTATTCCGTATACGTCTGAGGACATACATGGCGCCTTTATACGGTGTTTCATGTCTTGATTCTTTATATTTCATGCTGTCCTTCCAAGGTTGCCCTTGGGGACTCTAAAGGAGGGTTGGCTACAACGTTATGATGGACATTCTACTTGTGGTGGTTGGACGTCGGTCAGAAGTACAGGCTGTTGTCCTGGGGGTCTTGACGGTGGTCGTTGACATTGTGACTTCCTGAGTAAACAGAAGGGCTGAGATAGAAAATCAGACCTGGCAGCTGACACGAAGATGCCCGGGAGTAGTAAGAGGCTTAGTGGTTTCATTTCTAATTATTAAGAGGCTAAATACGTATAATTGTCCTAACTTGAATGATGCGAAGGATTTTAGAATGTGAACGCGAGAGATTTCTGCAGTGAAGAAGGTGAAGCCGAAATTACCTAGAAGATGGAGGTTGGCTGGGAGATGGGACCTGAGTATGGAGTTGCGAGGCTCGAGGCAAGCTCGGCAGTCGGAGGCCCTGTTTGCTTTATTTGTTTATTACGCCCGGTACTAAGTAGCTTTCAGGTGTATTTGAGGAGACGCTATGTGTTCACTGTCAATCTACGCAGTGAGAAGACTCCTTGTAGTCCCATTGTGCGGCACGGACCGTCTTGTTGCTCGTTATCTCAGAAGCACTAGTTGACGCTTGCCATTGGCCTGCCTTCATGTTACTATCGTGATCTCCTCGTTGCACCTCTTCACAATGGGATATTAACATACGTCCCAATGAACACAGCCAACACTTTCTTGTATAATAGGAGATACAACGCAATGCCGGAGAATTGGGCCTCTATATCCTGCAATAAAAAAGACCGCACCCACATACTGCTTGTAATTAAGTTCCAATGCAAGGGTTCGTTGCTCATCAGCAAGACCACCTCTGACTACCTACCTAGGTAATTAATTGATTCCTAATAATATCAACTTTCAGTTTACTGCGAGTTTATACTGTAGCCTAATGTACTACAGTAGCCCTCTAGGACTTGCCCCCGATATAGGTTTGACTGAGGCACGTCCTGTAGGACTAAGTACCCTCTAGCCCCTACAAACTCCACCATCTAAAGTAACTGAGATTTCATTTATTCATAGTAGCCGCAGAAATTAATTCGAATCGCTTGAAGCTCGATGGGAACAGGTTGCACCACGTTAAGTGCACAACGATTGTAGCTAGTGGGCGGTAGTGACTGATCTCAGTTTGCATTGACGAAGAGAATCATCCAATGTTCCCAAGCGAGCGACGGTGAGGTATCTATATGAGCCTCTTTGAAATCATCATAACACTGGGCCGGAAAATTTGAATAAGTTGAAATCCTAATAGGCATCCTGCCACGGTGCCCACCCTACCTAGGTAACCGAGAGCAGAGAAAAACCAGTGTCCATATAAGCAAAACCATAAGCCCATCAGCCAGCACTGTCATAGCGCAGGACCATCATGCTGCAACCAGTTCCTATTCCAATCGCAACATTTTGGAGCACAAGAGGCTTTACTGTTTGTCGAATGGATTCAACGGGAGATCAAAATCATCATCCCGTCGGTCAAGGTCATCTGGCGGCGACATTAGTCCTGCTACAGATTCTAATGTGTTGCAGTCTAGAACATTCCAGAAATATGAAAGACAGGGATCTGTAGGAGGAGAAATATGGTACGGACCTAGGTCTATTTCTTCAAATTCTATAGCGCCAGTGTCGTCGTCTATTTCAATTACCTGTCGTGAAATGGGCAGGTGATGCCCCCCAGAGAGCTGTGGTGAGGTGCTCGGTAGAGAACGAGTCTCATCGTTGTGGAGCTGGCGGAGCTGCACTGGAGAGGCGATGAGTGTTGCAACGAGTGAGACAAGGATCAGTGTAGACTTCATTTTTGCCAGTATTTGAGGACACTGGAAGTTCTCAGATTGGTAGGATGAAGCAAGTAGTGTTGTAATTTTTCTTTCTTCAAAAAGAATACAGTTGCTTGTGTTGGAGGGTAATTGGTTGTGTGGATACACTAAATGATAATGCTGATAATGCTCTTTCCCAGAGGAACTCGAGATGTCCTCGAATATTTATACTCGATGGTCGCCGAGTCTTTGTGCTCTCAACTTGGACTTTATGTTCAGGCGGTTTCTATTTTGGCAACTTGATAGTCAAGAAAGCCGGATACTCTGGCACGCTCAGCCTTGCTACCAAGACTGGGCAGCCGCCGTTGAAGCGCACCTGGGCATGCAGCGACGCCCAACTCAGTATGGAGTTCTTCAAGCTTAGCTGGGCAATATACATCAGTCGGTGCTAAGCGCAGTCCTGGGTACCTGACGTATGTCAGTCCGCCGATCTCTAAATTGCCACGAAGGTCAGAGTCTTTCAGCATTGCAGGCCGTGCTCGCTTTACTTACGACTTGGAAGCAGGCACATCTTCGAACTTTATTTTCACAGCAACGGATAGACTTCCATCCGCTTGCGGGAAATGTGAATCATTGCTGTCGCAATTAAATATGACAGCCCCCGCCTAGGGCGCTGGTGGTGGCTGAATCAGCCGATCGCAAGGCTCGACCAAGACCGCACAGCCGCCTTGGCGAACTCTTGAGCAACGTTGAGCCCTCAATGCGCCAGATAGTTTCTTTACTGTGCCCAATAAGATCTTGTGAGATGGACGCTGTCTTCAGTTTCGACGATCCAGAGTTTTAACATGACTGAGCCGCGCAAGCGTCATCTAGGCTTTCGAGCTGGGCATCGAAACAGTGCGTCATGTGGCAAGAAACAAGCTGGTTGCGGATATTCCTGGCGGCGTGGCTTTTTATGCGATGGCCGTGCCGCAGAATTTCGGTCTGAGGCTTCCCTTTCATCAGTCTTGATGACCTCGGGACATGAGTACCTAGGTAGTTGATATGTCGTCCTATATTGCAGTAGCAACTGCCAACTTTAGAATGCTGCCAACTTTGTAACCAACCTTGGAAGCCAACTAACACGCGCCAATCCCACGATAACCTTAACCTTGGAAGCGACGTCTGTGACCAATTATGGGTATCCGGCATTTTTCGACTTTCGGCGCTTTTAAATTTCCACAGATTGTCTGTCAATCCCAACTCCGCACGACTGGGCGTCAAGTGGTCTCCTAGAGTAATTAATAGCATTCACGAGCGGGAAGTCAGAGCTCCACTACTACTACTGCCGTACTCAGAATAGAGAACTTTACTCGTCCTAATCGTGCAAATGCAAGCTGATAAAACTAGACATAGGCCCGGATGAAAGCGTAATGTTAGTTCGGGCCAAGGAGCTCTCTTGGCTTGGTATCCTCCCTTGTGCCACGTCACGCGTGCCGGCTCATACCTACATATATGTACCTAGGTACATGGGTTTTAGTAGGTGATTTCGGTGGTAATTCATATACATCCCGAAGGCGTACGGCCTTTTCACACAGTGGCAAGGGGGTGATTTCGTTTCTAATCCCCATACAAATACAACGTATGTGGCGCCTTCATACAATGCTAAATGCTCAAAAACACAGCGAGGTAGCTAGTAGACTCAATAAGATGTAGTCTAGGATTCCATGCATCGGCATGTTCCCAAATATAGACACGAATTTTCTTTTTTTCAAATTCCCACCTAACTGCCCAGGTGCTGCTATTGAAAAGATGTCGCAATGGTAGTCTGAGCCTCCAAGATGATTCAGCCAGGACATTGCCACAGATCTAGCAAGCTGCAAAATTGGAACAAGGTTGGCGTATGCGCGGTAAGGTTTGTTTCGACGCAATTGCCATTTTAGGAAACAAATCAAGCTTCCCAGATAATGGGTTGCCTTCAGAACAAGGAATGCTTCGTGACCGCTGACATCAAAATAACTTTGGACGCGTGGCTTTTATCAGATCATTGGGCGCCCGGGCTGAACCCGATTTGATCATTTAAGCGTGCGGGAGACAGTTGCCCAGGGTAATTCTAGTCCACGGGTTGTAATATATACCTATTTACTGTTCTTGTAACCTATATCCCTAACAGGCATCTTCTTCATTACCCAAGTACCCTTGTCGTGCCCGAGTACCTTTGATGCCCAACATGACTCTGTCGGCCAGGCCTTCACTCGGACATGACTACTAAGGTGTGTACTTGCCGCCCGTTCGCTCAGTTCTTTTCCGTTTGCTTTTTCCTTCGTATTCGCGGTAGCAATTGCCCGCACCATATCATGACTATGCAACTATTAAGTCCAGCTGTCAACCGCATTGTAACTCCGCTTGGTTTATCTATTGCTGTCAACCGGCACTACTGAAGAGGTACCGATGTAGCTGTGATGAAAAGGACAAGCTAAAACTGATCACTCACGGCAAAGTGGACGCCGGCAGATTAGAGATGACTCGAGCCCTTCGGCCGGTACTGTAAGTCACACGAGGCAGTAGTCTGGCGTAACAGTTTGAATAATAATTGCGTTCGTTTACCGATAGAGCAAGAATCTGCCTGCTCCGAGGCTTTTCAAGATGAGCCATGGTGTGGATGGCTTTCAAGGGAAATTATCATGTTGCTCTCACAGTCTCGCCGTGTGCAATGGGTGGGCACCACGGGCAATTGATCGAATGCAGCCTTGAATAGACATTAATCGAAACTCGCTTCTATAGATGGCCAGAACGGATCCAGCCGGAAAGATAGCAAAAGGGGAAGAGCTCGAAATGTCGCCAGGGCGATCAGCTCCTCATATCACTCTTACAGTCGGGCTCAACATGTGTTGAAGCGTGTACTCGTCCATATCACCAGCTCATAATGGCTTGAAGCCACGTGGATTATTTTACATTCCAATGCATGCCCTGCCCGGGCCGATATACTCGGCTCAATCATATTTCGTCGAACCCGTAGCCCGCGATGCGATCTTGACGGCATCCAAGAGTTCGGAACCAAGTTGGTAAATCATGTAGGAGGGCACAATGAGCCAGGCACCACTAGAGCAAAGCTCCTGTCAGATCTTTTTCTCCCCCAAAGACCAGGGATGGGCAGTCACAACTCACTTTGGAATAATCCACAGGAAGATAAGATCCCACGGCTTGTTGTGGCCAATGTTGTCGAAACCGGAGAAGTACTCGTTCAGCCAGTAGAGCACGGTCTTGCTGACGGTCATGACACTAGCGGAGAAGCCGACGAGGACAGCCAGGCCAGCGGCACCGCCAGCAATCCTCCTCCTCTCCTTGGCGTCCCTCAGGCCGAGACTGCCGGCGGCGCGATACCAGATGACAAAGTAGGCGATGTACATGAGGGTCTCGACGACGTTCAAGGTGCCCTGGGCCGCGGTGAAGCCATTGCCCAGGTCGAACTGCTTGCGGCCGTACATGTGGTCAACCTCGCCGTACAAGGCGTAGGGAGTCCAGAATGGAGCGTGGGCCCAGCCTCCGGGCATGGTGGCGGGGCGGCCGAGGACGTAGCCGGTATCCCAGATCACGAGCGGCAGGGAGATGAACAGCCAGACGAGGGTCGTAGTGGTCGGGGCGTGGGACCAGCCGGATGGCGGGGCGGGCCTCGGGGCGCGTTGCTTGCGAGGGGAGACCCTGAGGTCCGGAGCGTCCATGTCGAGGCCGGGAGTGAGGGCGCGCGAGGCAGAGCGTGTAGCCACCATCTTGATTGATGGTGGTGGGGTGGCTTGTTGTTGTTGTTGTTGTTCTTGTTGTGCTGTTGTTGCTAATGCTGTTGCTACCGTGCTTTCGGCGACGGTGACTTTGGAACTCGTTGCTTGTGTTGGTTTGAGGGAGCCCTCGCGGAGGAAAAGGATGTTGTGTGACCGCAGGACCGGGACGGGGAGAGACGCGTGGGTGCGACAGGATCAACAACACGCGGGGAGATGGGTTGAAACGGGGGACGGGAACCTTGGGAGTGAAGCTCCCCGCGACTGACCCTGCTGAGTAAGAGGATACGAGCTCTATGATTGGATGCTTGTTACAAAGTACCTAGGTACGGATACCCCCTCAACCCCTCCCCCCACACCGACAGGGGTTGGTCCTGTGCCTCCTCACGTCAATGCGACACTGTTGACTGGAACTGAACAGTACTGTAGTCTTCCGTGAATTCGACGTGAAAGTGCCCTCGATGCTTGCTGTTTGTTGTACTCGTGTATGCAGTGCACGGCAAATGCAGAGAATCACTGTTTTCCCCAATGATGTTCAGCTGCATCGTGAGCTCTCAAGACTGACGTCATAAGATTGGCACGCACGGGTGACGCCACATCGTGAAGACCTCGAGCTTTCCAGCTTCACTCTGCCGACTCCACCGCTTCAATCCTCCACCATGTCCACAACATTCAGTTGCCTATGTCCGGCCGTGCTCGGCTGCAAGCAATCGGCCAACACATCATGACTTCTCCTCGTCCAGCACCAAGCACCGTCGCAGGCCATCTCGCCGGCAGCAGTCAGTCCTGGCACGGCAACGTCTCCCCCGATGGCCCTTTCCAGCCAGAGACAGGCCGCTATCGACTCTATATTGGTAGCTTGCCCTCAGCCCGCACCTGAATCATGAATCACTCCCGAGAACCATGTGTCTAAGTCCAGTCACAGGTCTCTTTTGCCCTTTCGCACATCGGGCAAACATAGCCCGCCATCTCAAGGGCCTTCAGCACATCATTCCTGTCACCGTCGTCAAACCATACCCCAAGGGCGATCAGAAAGGTTGGCCCGGTTGGCAGTTCCCCTCCTCACCGTCTGAATACCATGGGGCAGACCCGGAACCCCTATTTGGGGCAAAGTATCTGCACGAGCTTTACTTCAAGGCCGACCCAGAGTACAAGGGCCGGTACTCGGTGCCCCTCCTGTGGGACACAGAGACCAACACCATTGTCAATAACGAGTCCACCGAGCTCCTCCGTGATTTGCAGACTGGCTTCAATTCCATCCTGCCTGAACAATATGCCAGAGTAACGCTGTACCCGGAGCATCTGCGTGACCAGATTGACAATATTTCCGTCTGGATGCAGCGTGACCTCAACACCGGCGTCTATAAGGCCGGCTTCGCCACCACCCAGGAGGATTACGACAAGAATGTCCCAGCAGTCTTCGCCGCGCTGAACAAGCTCGAGAAGATCATCGCACAGCTTGGTGGCCCATACATCCTTGGAGACGACCTCACTGAGTTGGATGTGAGGGCTTACGCCACAGTCGTCAGGTTCGACACCGTTTACGTCCAACACTTCAAGTGCAACTTGGGCACTATCCGGCATGATTACCCTCAGATCAACAATTGGCTAAAGAACCTGTACTGGAACATCCCGGCCTTCAGGGACACCACCGATTTCAAGCACATCAAGGATAATTATACCAAGAGCCACGGCGACATCAACCCTCGAGCAATCACGCCTCTGGGGCCCTGGCCTGAGGTCGAGGAGGGCTACGAGAGTGACCTGAGCAAGGTGCCGACTGGGGGCGTCAAGATGCCTCTCGTGCTCGAACTTGAGAAGAAGCTTTGACCCAAGACAGCAAGGCCAATGGGTGATCGAAATAGCCTCCGGTTCCTTACCGATACTAGCTACAAGTACGCAGCCATGCGGGCTGGGGTGCAAGCCACGCCGATTGCTACCGGTCTGCAAGCCGGGTCTGGGCCTAATGAGCATGATCCACAGCTATGTTGTTGAATCGATGGCCAGTCAGCCAGTCTGGACATTTAGTAGCCTGCATCTTAAAATCTCGCGCCAGTGCCGAGGACCCACCCCCTTGGGATGGTTTGCCGCTGTAGGCACCAGCTTAAACTCGTCGGCGATTGGTGGCCAGCTCAGCCGTCCGTCCCGTTGTGGTGGTGCGCCACGGGAGTCAAGCATTTAAATCCTCAAGGGCCCATTTTGGCTGGAGCCTACCGTCCTGCAAGGACCAGCACGCCAGGCACGCCAACTAGCTTGCCCCAACTCGGCGAACGGCCCTGCTGCGGCTCCACGAGACAAGGGCTTCTCCCCCATGCCTTGGCTTCCCGTCACCCGCATTGGAAGCTAGATTGAACTCCTTTTTGCCCTGGCAGCCCTGCAAGACACCGAGATTTGATTTCAGAAGGATTCTGGTCCAAGGCGCTGGGATTTCAAACGCGGCCACAAGCGCACGTTGACCCCCGTCTAGCCCATCTATTTTTAAAGCATAAGAATCAATTGACTTCATCTCCGTGGGGTTACCCCAAGGGCAGTCCCTGCCGCGGAGAGTGTGCACACAGCAAGGCAAGGGATGAGATGAAGATGTGAATGGCGACTGCTTCTCCCCCCAAGCTCGTGCGCATGTCATTGGCCGGCCCTTCGTGTAATCCTCGCCCCTTTGTTCATGTGGCTTTACTTCACCAGCAACTCAAGCCCCGGGACGCTGGCCTCGACAATCAGCTCCCTCAATGTGTGGTACAATGGCCGGCCGGCCATCTAGGGACCGGACGAACTGGGCAGTGCTCCCAATGTGCTAATTTTCGGGTATCGGTAGTGGCGTTGCATTGCATCCACGCATCTCAGTAATCACCTACCTAGCTAGGCCGACATTACATCAATAGGAATAAGGCCCAAGTCACAGTATAGTTGTGGCTCTATGAGCGAGTATATTATTTGCCTGGGCCCTTCGCTGCTCGTCCCTCAGCCCAAATCTGCCAAGGTCAAGTGCAACGAACTCTTTGAACGGCATTATCCTTGTATCATCATGGTCTCCTCACTTCTCCTTGTCGCCGCGGGTGCAGCAACTGTGTCGGCGGCACCTAACCTGAGGCCGAGGGCGGGTGCCTCAAGTCATTGTTCTTCGTCAGACGGCACTTACAAGCTCTCCTCATTCGACGCCCCGGTTTCTGGAGACGGCAATGCCAATGGAATGTCGACATGGCAGCTCACCATCGACGACACCTCGGCGGGCCACAAGCAGCAGATCACAGGCTTCGGTGCTGCCGTCACAGACGCTACCGTCTCAGTCTTCAACAGCCTCAGCGAGTCGGACCAATCTCGTCTGCTGAGCGAACTGATGACCGGCAGTGGTGCCGACTTCAGCTTGATGAGGCATACGATTGCCTCGTCCGACCTGAGTGGCGATCCAGCTTACAGCTATGACGACAACGGCGGCAACGTCGACACGAGCCTTGGTAGTTTCAACCTCGGCGACCGGGGCAACGCGATGGCTTCCTTGCTCGCGAAGATGCGCGGCTTGAAATCTGGCCTGACGATCCTCGGATCACCATGGTCTGCGCCCGGTTGGATGAAGTTGAATGGAGTCCTGACCGGCACCACCGTGAACAACAACCTCAACCCCAGCTACCGAGACAGCTTCGCCAGGTACTTCGTCAAGTACCTCCAGGCTTTCTCGAAGGCGGGAGCACACGTTGACGCCATCACCATCCAGAATGAGCCTCTCAACAGCCAGGCTGGGCACCCGACCATGTATGTCTACGAGGATGAGAGCGGGGATATCATTAACCAAAATGTTGGACCGGCACTTGCCGCCGCTGGACTCGACACGAAAGTCTGGGCCTATGACCACAACACAGGTGAGGACATTATCCTCTCATGGTCAGCACCTGATCCATACTGACATGCCTCAGATGTCCCGTCCTACCCCCAGACCGTCCTGGACAAAGCATCCGCCTACGTCCCCGCCGTGGCCTGGCACTGCTACGCCACCAACACGGACTGGGGCACCCTCACCGACTTCCACAACAAGAACCCAGACAAACTACAATACATGACCGAGTGCTGGACTTCGCCACAGACCGGCTGGTCCGCCGCCGCCGACTTCACAATGGGGCCGCTGCAGAACTGGGCGTCGGGCGCAATGGCATGGACCCTCGGCTCCGACGTCACATACGGCCCACACCTGTCCTCGGGAGGGTGCGATGCCTGTCGTGGCTTGTTCGTCGTCGACACTTCGACCAGGACGTACTCGTTCGCCATCGATTACTACATTATGGCGCAGTTCTCCAGGTACATGCCCAAGGGAGCTATTGTGCTGGCCGGCACGGGGAGTTACTCGTACGGCGACGGGTCTGGGATCCAGAGCGTAGCTACGCTCAACCCGGATGGAACTCGGACGGTTGTAATCACAAACAAATTTGGCAACGATGTATACATTACTGTGACGGCCAAGAGCGGCGACAAGTGGAGCGGCCGCGTCTACCAGAATTCGGTCGTCACTTGGGTACTGCCCGCCTCGGGTTAGGAACCTCGGAGTAAGAGATGCTCTTGGTCGGCTGCCTGGGTGTCTGAGGTGGTTTATATAACGTGGATAGTCTTCAATTTCCTGTAAATACCTAAAATGAATTCAGAAGACACTATCGTCCACCTGCTATCGGACGATGAGCTACTGCATGTGACAAAATCGACTTCCAGGATTAAACCCAACCAGGCCCTCGTCACTTCTGACTAATAGCCCGTTCAATCAAGCTCTTTTGAGTGTGTGTCCAGACGAAGCTGACTCACCCTGTTGTACTAGTTGATAAGGTGGGTGGTGTCGTTTCTAATCCCTCTACATTTAAAACGTACCTACTTAAGTGGGTATGTGGCGCCTTCATACAGCGGCCATGTGACGGACAGGCGACATAGTAACCTTGGTACGAGTTAGGTGGTGATTATGTCCGTCCAGGGCAGCATCGCAAAGTGAGCCGAGACACAATTGAAGATCAACTCATCCTCCTACCGGTTCTTTTAGAGCATCGACACTGCGATTAACATGAAAAGACAAAGGCTTTATGCAGCCCCTGGCTAAATTGGCTGGCTTGCACAATTCGCCTGGTCGGTCAAGGATGTGAGCCTTGAAGGAGACATTGCTGGTGTTGGCGCTTCTGCGAAACTGTAGCAATTGGCTTCAGCCATCCTCTGACTTGACTGAAATCATCCGATCTGCCCCGCTGCCAAAACCCTTTCAGGCGTTTGTGGTTGCCTGGACAGAAGACACTGGCGTCGAAAGGGACAGCACTGGTGTCATTTCCAAGTCCCTTGGCCCCCCCCCCCTTGTTTTCATCACCAAAGTCTCTACAAGCAAAACCAAAAACGCTTTGGTATTCCTCTGCACTTCGCAACTGGCGTGACGCTGCCCCATCATCAGCAAAGCTTTCCACCTTGCCATCAGAGACGATCTGCAGCGCGCATCTGACGTGTCGCCAAAACAAGACGCGCTTCGCCAACACAGCTTCGGCCTGACCACCTCCGCACGAAAGGTACGATCCAACGTGGGCATTACCATCTTCAGCCCATCCCCTTTCAATCACCCATACTGATCCCAGCCACAGAGGCCCCCCTCGGGCAACATGACCGACCAAGCACCAGCCCAAGATGCGAATGAACCCGAGCAAGAGGATCGTGGGGACATCGGGCCCTTCACGCTCGACACGCTTCCACGCAAGATCATCTCGATGATCCTGGCCACGATGACGGTCGATCCCAAAGAGCCGTATGAGCTTGATCGATCCACTCTGGAGCCCTCGGCGACTCGAGAGGAGCAAGACGCCAGCGCCCGTCGAGACCTTGCCAGCCTCTGCCTGGTCTCCAAATGGATGGCCTCCCAAGTCCGCCCAGCCCTGTATCGGAACATCCTCATTCGCAATTCCGATACCCTGGTTTACCTTTATCGAACCTTCCTTGAGAAGCCCCAATTCGGCATGCTCGTCAAGCGCATGACCCTTGACGTTTGGCACGGACCAAAAAAAACGAAGAGAACGAAGATTTTTCGTTTATGGAGACGTCCCCGATCTTGACCTAAGCCCGATCCTCTCATCCCCTCAGCATGGATTTTCAAGCCATTTGACAGTGGAGCGAGAGGTCGACATCACCCAGTTTTACGAAATTGTCGTGGAAAAACTCTACACCTTGCAGTTCAGAGTCCTAAGTCATACCAGCAGGCTCGAGTTCCTGGACTTCAATGTACAGCCCCTCTCTCGTGACACCGCCCAGGTTTATGTTCTCAGGCACTCGATTTACATGGAAGTGATCGGCCGTGTTTTTCTCTCACTGTGGGACGAGACATCGCCCTATCTTGCGAGTGTCAAGGAACTGCAGCTGCTTGGAAGAGAGACCCCTCATTCCAGCATAGATCGTCCAAACCACTATGCGGCATGGGTATGCAGACGTTTCCTCACCCTGCCCAAACTAAACCGACTCGTCTGGTTCAACCACGACCGTGGCTGGTTCGATACTTTTCCACGCCGAATGCTTTACGGTAAGGCCTAGGCTTTCTGCTGTCTGGCATGCCCAGGTGGCAGCAACTTAAACCCGCTCCCCAAGCTCTTGCACACATCACTAATGTCTTCTGCCCAGGACCGGATCAGCGCTTGAGTGCCGACGCCGAATCTATATGAGTTCTGAGCTTGACCGAGAGCCCTTGCCTTCCACACGAAATTGCTGCTCTTTGCGCCGTCTTTCCGTACGTACAAGGCACGCCCCTCTTGCTTCGGCTCCTATAAGCTTTCTCTTGCAAAGTTCTTGCCAAGCAGCGCGTTCGAATTTGGAGCTGTGACTAACGTCGTGCAGGAATCTTGAGTCCCTGTCAGTCGACACGGATTCTGAACAGTGCCGGCTAAGGATGTACCAGCTTCTCCGCAAAGCTCTTCAGCTCCAAACGAAGGGAGACACGAATTCAAGCCTGGTGAACTCAGGCCTAACCGCCCTGTACCTCACCGACGCCATTGGAACACTCAAGAACATCACGACGCTTAACCTCGACCTCCATTATAGCACTTGCAATATCAGCGCGTCACTCGGGCCGTCGGGAACCTTGAGCTTGGCTGGTCTGCCCAACCTGCAGAACCTTGCAGTGCCTTTCCACTTTTTTGTCAAGAGGGACCCGGACGGCCACCACAGAGCCGTCAGCCCCGCAAGCGTCCTGCCACGCACACTGAAGACGCTGAGGCTTGTAGCCTGCCTCTGGTGTCTTGGGCACCGGATCTACGAGAAACCCAGGTTTGTGGAGTGCCTCTGTGGCGCATACCGGATCCGAGGGTATGCCGGCGACGGAGCACCCTGCAGATACCAACATCCGGCTGCTGTGCTCGGGTTCCTGGAGGGTATCGCAGAGCAGCAACACAACAACTCTTTGCCTGCGCTCCGAAAGATCTTCTACAACGAAAGCGAAACCTACCCGGTCACGCATCAACACAGGACCTGGGAGTGTCTACATCCCCCGACCGAGATCCTGATGAAAGGGAATCAGAATACCCCTGATGCGCTGCGTCTCACGGCCGTTTCCGAGACATTGCGGCAAAGCGGCATTTTGTTCAAGATGCGTGCCACGGAATTCGGCTGTCGGGTATCACACTGTAGCAAGTTTCGGGTCCGCTCGAATTGTGGGTGTAAGAATTCTTATTGGGCTGTCTAATCTGCTCGCTAGCACTGAACTTTTGCTCTTAGAGTGGGTAACAACAGGCCGACGGACTTCGAACGGCGGAGCGATCTTCATCACACCCGATTGATGGGTCAAAAGGAAGACTTCACCTCACAATGGTGTCCAGTCGTGGAGCACTAGTGGCCTTGTCCGATGTAATGCTTTGACGGTTTGCGAAGCTTGTGGACATGAACGTCACGGTCCTAAATAGAATCACCACTTGGGGATCTCCCCAGAATTAAGGTAGTATTGTAATTGGTAGAAATAAAAATTGTATTCAAGAGTAAACAGTTCAAGAGTCTGGTGATATTTCCGTGTCCGGGCGACCCGTCAAGATACTGGTAAAAGCTAGTGCAAGATGCTGGTCAGAAGATGGCTTATGCGGTGGAACAGTTACACATTACAATTAAGGGCACTACCCCTACAACAAACCCCTAACACCTTCCTCTAATAACACGGCATATTGCTTGAACCAGGGGTGCTCCAAGACCTCTTGGATATCCGTTCGGATGGAAGCATTGTAGATGAAAGTCCGCGGTAGAAGATCCGTCACTTAGGCTTCACGGCACTAGTACCAAGGGCACCCTAGTGGTTTCGTTTTTTAATCCCTATGTGGTTACGCTTCTATTCCGTATACGTCCGAGGACATACATGGCGCCTTCATACGGTGTGATGACCGTATATATAATGAATTGTTTTAGCCTATAGAAACAGGACACAGCTCTCGCGCAGCTCATCAGCTAGGTAAGCACATTTGCTATCTATAAGAGCAAATAGGGGATCTTGGCGAGAAAGAGGACGAAGGGGGGGGCAGATTTAGCTGGATTCTGAGCCTGATACTACTAGGAAGCCACCACGCTGCTCATACGCCCCTTGGCCTTGTTGACTCTGCTTGCAACCACTACGCTCACATATCCATAGCAGTCACTACATTAAGTACACTAATACAACCAGCACTCTACTAATCTAATACATCCCTCTCCCCGTCGTTACGTGACCTATTAGGGGCCCTACCTTCACTATCCTAACCACTAGATCCACCAACATTGTGGCAGATAAATGGGGGGGTAAGCAGTTAGGTCTGAAAAGAGTGTATTGGGTTGGTTGGTTGCTAAGTTAGGCTGCAGGCGGGCTGGGGCGAAGGCCCAGCCTTGGGTCTAAGAACCTGCTGACTAAGCTGATGACTAAGCCAGAATCCACTTGCGTACACCCCCGATAGGCTCCTACAAACATGCTATTATATCTAGTAGCTATTATAACACCTATTATTACTAATAAAATCTAATTATATTATATAACTTTTAAATAATAAGTTTTTTTATTAATAAATAAAGTAATAAAAAACTTTAAACTTTTAATAAAATATTTTTTTAAAAATATTTTTTTTATTTTAAATTAATATTAATATTATATATATATAAATAATAAATATATAAGTTAATATAAACTATTTATATAATTTTAATTTTATTAATAAAGTAAAAATAAATATTTAAAAATATTAAAAAATATAATATATTTTTTAAAATTAATTTAATTAAATTTATTATATAAAACTTAAGCTAATATCCACTTACCCAGTAATTATATCCACTTACCTAGTTCCTGCTGACCGCTTACCTAGTACCAATTTTTCTAAGTAACTCCCTTATATTTATAAGTACCTTCTAAGTTAGCACTAAGAGACCCTATAGTATGATTTCCTTCTCTAATTTTAATACTTTAAGTATAAGCCCCTTCTAACATACCTTCTAGCACACCTTCTAGTACACCTTCTAGCACGCCTTCTAGCACGCCTTCTAGCATACCTTTTAGCACCTTCTAGGCTACACACATTTAGGTACCAACTAAGCATTTAGATACCAACTGAATGCCAGAAGGCTAGAAGTTTAGAGGGCTAGAAGGCTAGAAGGAGGGCTAGAAGGCTAGAAAGCGTATAGTCTTCACCTTTACCTTCTTAACTTTTAGCCCTCTAGCGTTTAGTTAGTATCTAAACACTTAGTTGGTACCTGAATGTATATAGCCTAAAAGGCCTAGAAGGTGAAGGCAAAGGGTCCTAAAAGGTAAAGATAAAGGGTCCTAAAAGGGGTGCTAAAAAGGGTTTAAAAGGGGTTTATACTAAAAGTATTAAAAATTTAAAGAATCCTAATTAAGTATATAGTTTTATATAGACCCTATATATAAATTTTTATACTAAATAAGTAGTTAAAAAAAACTAGGTGAGTGGATATAATTACTAAATGAGTGGATATTAGTTTATAAAACTTTTATAATAATTTTATAATTTATTATAAATATAATACTATCTATTATTAAAAGATATCTTTTTATATTAAAAAGGGAGAGTACCTAGGAGCCCTATGATATACTCTAGTATATATACCTAGGTAACCCATGTCGCTGCTGCATTAGGTAGCATTGTTAGAAAGAGTTTCTAGCCAACCACAATGAAGATAGCCGCCAAGACGAAATTCTTAGCACGTTACTCATGTACGCACCTACCCTCGTGTCCATGGCCCGTGACCACCTGGGGCACCACCCATAAAGCACGTTTGGGCAGCTTAGCCGTACTGTACATAGTCCACAGCTGTACTCCGTACTGCACCGACTCTTCCGAGTCGCTCCAGAGCTCCACATCCATCTAGAAACATGAGACTCTACTCAATATCATTGTTCGTCGCCGCGGTGGCTGCTCAGGCTCAGCCTGCGAATCCCCTCCCATTTAACGGTTGGTACGCCGATCCCGAGATCCGCGAGTACGACCCCATCTTCTGGATCTTCCCTACCACATCCATAGTGTTTGAAGACCAGAAGTGGTTCGATGCCTTCTCATCTCCAGATCTGATCAACTGGACCAAGCATCCCAATATCCTGACGACTGCGGACATCAACTGGGCACAAGACAGCCTGTGGGCTCCTAGCTCCACCCGCGGTCCTGATGGAAGATACTATATTTATTTCAGCGCGAACGGTCTTCGAAGCCAGGACTCTACTGCCGGACTGGGCGTCGCGGTCGCCGATACCCCCGAGGTGAGCAGTCTCTGTCTTTGTGTGTGCCTTTGTTGGGTCGGGATGCGCGGAGCAATGGGGGCGGGGTCTCTAAGCCTATGCAGGTCTCTTTCTTGACGGGGCCAAACGTGACTGACGACAAATCACACTCAGGGGCCCTACAAGGACGCACTGGGCCAAAGGCTCCTGGACAGTGAAATCAATGGTGCAAATCCGATGGACCCAGATGTGTTCATCGACGATGATGGTGTGATATACTTCTACTTCGGCGGCAGCGCCGTCAATGTGGCTCTTCTCAACGAAGACATGATCAGCTTTCTACCGTTCCCAGACTCCAACTCAACCTTCAAAGACATCACGCCGTCTCCCAGCTTTGTAGAAGGCACCAAGGTATTCAAGCGCAACGGCCGCTACTACATGACGTGGTCTGAAAATGGCTACGGCGATCCCACGTACCAGGTTGCCTACGGCACGTCCTCTTCGCCTCTTGGTCCATTTGAGCCACAAGGGGTTATACTCTCGCAGAATGCAAGTGTAGCGGTTGCTACGGGTCACAATGGGATTCTGAATATGCCAGGGACGGATGACTGGTACATAGTCTACCACCGGCGACCACTAAACGAGACAGACCCAAATCATAGGGTCATTGCGATTGATAGATTGTATTTTGGTGAGGATGGAGCGGTTGAGTCTGTTGTGATTACGTAGCTAGAGCGAGGGCGCCCTTTCAGGACTTCAAATTCCATGGGAGACGGCGGCACGCTTCAAATTCAGAGCCATGTAAAACACTGTCTCCTGGACCTAGAAGCGCTTTCTGCCCACACTAATGGTTTCACATGGGTACTCATGAGCCAACATTGAGGGATTCATCCCTGGATCCATAGGCTTGTAAATTCATTGATTTTTATCCAATTGCACAAATTCCCTGTCCTGCAGGCATTACCCAGCAAGGGTCTGACAACATTTGAATGTGTCCGGAAGTGGCAGGCGTTTGTGGGCAGATAACAAAGACATCGGTCACCTCAGCACAGGCCGCACGACCCAAATTCGTATGGTCCATCTAGTCTTCTCCGTTTGAGTTTCTTGGGATTGCTGAGACACATCATAGTGACAACATAACTCTCCAGTCATCTAATGATGGCAACTCAACAGGGAGGTGTCCCCATTGCGCCGGGAACACATGAAAATCAAGGATACTACACAAGATATGTTCCGTTATGGTCAGATCCAGAACGAAGGCCGCCCGGCCGGCACCCGGCCGTCCTGCCAGGTGACCAATTTAGCAATCCAAGCAAATACGCTATGTATGTCTGAGCGACCAAGTCTTCAGGGGAGCAAAAGAGTTGTCACTAAGCAGGTGAACACCCAGTCGATTTGGGATAGATTCAGAAGCACCCGAAGGGCAAGGTCGCTCCATGTTGACACCTACGTTCGAAAATTGGGCAATGCAATGGCAACGTACCATGTTCTTGGGATACACACCTCAAGAGGTGAGCCTGCCTCAGATTTCCCGATGGCCAACGCCCAAGCTCAGTCTGACGATCCTGATCTCATCGTAGTTGAGAGACACAGGAGTTTTGGACCCGGACAGTAAGTTTTTTTCTACTACATTTCCCGGAGCTGCGTTTTGATCTTCGTGCTTGCGTCGATCAGAAAAACATGATTTCATGCTGCCAAAACTCCGCTGCGTCAGGCATCTACTCCGAAGCTCCTTCTCAGACCGACTGGAAACCTTCCCTCTCCTGTTAGGAAATTCTTTCCTGATCACAGAGATCCAGTGACAAAGTATCAATTACACGGATGGCAGAACGAAGATCTAGAGGCGGACTTACACCCGTGAGCGGTCGATCTTACTACACCTGACATATAGGAATCATGCTTACCAAAACGGTGCCAGCATTGTGACTCGCAACAAATGGGGGCATCATAGACAAGAGGGCCTGCGTCCGGATTACCCAGAACTTCTTTACCACGACGCAGACAGCCATATAGATATAAATTGGGATATGGGCCAGGTAAAACCACCAGTTCCGGCTAACAATTGATGCTATTTCAGAACTCTAACATTACTTGGATCCTAGGACTTGATATGGAATGCTGTGCAACCAGCACTAAAACTTGTTTCCAACATCCTGACTTCAAGACATCCATTCTGGTGTGCCCTGAATACCTAGGTTGTATCTATCACATGCAACCAGTGGACCTTGATCGTTTGCCTTTCCGAAGAGACCAGTATCCAGAATTCAGTATGCATAATTTTTAGCACACTATCAAATCAGTAGACCTCTAAGATTGCTAAATTCTTTACACATTACTAGATGAATGGGAGGATCTTGTCAGCATTTGGCCAGAAATAGATGAGACGAAAATGTTCCAAGAAGCCCGTCAGTCTATGTTCTCTCTTTTGACGCACCTCTTTCGCCCCCCTACCCTTCAGACCCCGGCGCGGTGGCGAAGTGTCCATTTGCCAGCTTTAAGGATGCCGATTATTAAACATGCATGCATTCTAGGAATCTTGAAGACCATGGGTTTTGATGCCGGCAGCATCGTGGAGTATATGGTAGAGAAATACGTGGTTTTTATTTTTCGTGACAATACGGTGGGGCCCAGTTCAGAAGAGCCTGACGCTTTTGGGCTTCTTACAAAAATGCGCAGCCAGGTCAGGAATGAGGACGGTCAACCTGTGACGAGTTACCGCTATGATATCAACATCTCAGCACAACTTATTTGGCCATTACTCAGAGATGAGTACACCAGAGCTGAAAAGGCTGCTTCCTCGTTACACCTTGCAAATATCATACTTCATGAGCTTGCAGTAAGTCATCATCCAATCATCCTCCTCAAGCCTCCACTGACAGATTGTTACACGCCTATATAGCATGCTGCGGTACAAGTGCGTCAGGTTACGCTGGCGGATCCAAGATGGAATTTCGATCCACGACTCTCTGGTTATAAAGAAGACCTGACCAGATTTTCACCAAACGTATTGAACCTCCTGCAGACTTTGGGTAAAAATTAAACTCCTCCAGGGACTTCTCGAGAGGAGAAGTGTTGTAAGAGCCACTCTCACTTTCGCATGTTACCATCTGTCGGGACGCATCCATTGCACAACACGTACAGACATCAGAGGAAGAGTAATGCAAACTTTCCTGTTGAAGGGTTTGTCAATTCGGTGTAACTGACATGAAGCTACTCAGCTTTGGACTTGAAAATATGGCTGAAGAAGGGATTGGGTTAGAAAATCAGGTATTCAAGTCTCCCCTTTGCAGATGTCTTTCTCTGAATCAAACTGACTCATGTCTTCCGAATCTATCGAACAGCTATGGGGCGGTAGACTAGTACTCATAACCGAAAGTTTTCCATCTCACCCCTTACGCCGTGACTTTCCCACCATAGCCCTGGGACACGAAAATTGGCCATCTAACGCATTGAGCATGCCAATTCATCCACGCGAGCCTTCTGATGCAGCTTCGATTAACAATAATCCACTTGTAAGTGATTTGTCTATTTTTCCTTTGGCCCCTAAAGAAGTGAGAGCCAGAGACTAACAAAGTATGGGGCCCAAGTTCCTTACGTATCCTCCCGTGGACCTAGTGAACAGAGTCACCCCCATACCCCTCGCTAGGATCAACCGACTTTTCACCCAGACATTTTGGGAAAACGGGGCGGTCAAATACGGCCATGAGGCTATAAAGATCACAAATCAAAGGAATATCCATTCGTTGAAACCTGAAGTTGACGATACTCAATTCAACCGCGACCAGCAATACAAGGAGTCCTTTGTCACCGTCCCGGACATGTATGAGGTCGTTTTAGGCAGCCATGCAACTCTCAGAAGACAGCAAGATTTGCGCTGGATGGCTGTAGCGGACTATTTGTACAGCTTCACTGCACGCTTCGTTGAGTCCCTGATGATGCATCGGCGTCTTCGAGACGAAAGGCGAACATGGGCAGCCGCCGATCACGAGTTGCACGAGCTTGTAGCCCAAATGCAGAGGGGTGATGGGGATGCAGCGCCATATCTGGCCGAGTACAGAGACTCACGGATAGATCAGAGTTTGAGAGCATACCTTAAGCAAGTGGAGTTCTTGTTCGACACAGCCAATAAAGTACAGTTAAGGTTGGAGCGAGAAGGGCGGAACCTCCAGCACCTCGTCGTGGAGTTCGTGAAGCAGGGTAATGAGGCACGGGAGGCGCTTGCCATGGCGCATATGGGCCACTTGGCGGTCCGGATCAGAGATGTTTTCCTTTACACTATGGAGCAGGCAAGATTAATCGCATCGAATCATGTTCAGCAAGTACGAGAAGTGGAACTGGTAAGTAACTCTCTGAAATCTGTTTTCCAGCTTCTAGCCTCAAACAAGGTTGTGTGCTCCCCATCATCGGGCTTTAAAGTTTCCTTGTCCCAAAAGGTTAAGCAGCATATAACCAGATGATGCTTCCCCGATGCTGTGACGACTAATTCTTGATGCCACAGAACCTTACAAATGAGGCTAACACCGATCAACTGCGGCGTTGCGCGAGTTTAACTGCTATGAGCAGCTCAATGGCGCTAAAATTCATAGCGACCCAGAAAATGCTAGTTGACGTGCAGGAAATATTCAGAGATTCCTCTACGGACTTCGAAGCTGCGTTACCCGCGCTCAACGAAATGGCTCATTCGGCTGGTGTCAGGGTAATGAGGAAGCATCCACGGCTCCTCGAATCCTTAACGCTACGGCAATTGAGGTGCATGAGCCCACAAGAAGAGGCTTACAGAGTCGTCACGAATTGGATCACAATACTCATAGACGCCCATAATTCCAGGCCAGGATTCTGAAGTAAAACACATGTAAATATTTGCTAGACCAGCGCTCTAAAATCACCCAATGAAAGCTCTGGAGGAGGGAAAAAATCAAATTTTCAAATGCATATCTAGAAATCGTCGATGGGTTTCTCTAGCAAGCGAGGGACTCTATGAAAATTCATTAGCACACTTCTGATCGAATCTATTGAGTTTTGAGTTGGGAGATTCAGTGACATTTCAAAGTAAATGCTTCACCCAGGGATCCTGTGCCGTGGAATGAGGTAGCTTACCGTCACTGTGTGTGCAAGAACCATCACTGTTGAAGCTATAGTTGATGAATCCGCCATCACCTTGGGGGAAGAAGGTGTTGCCCTTCTGCAGGTACATGCAGTCGTAACTATTGCCTTGTCAGTACCTGGTTGTGGCAAGTCTGGTATGGTTAGCAGTTGGAGAATTTCTACTTACTCCGTGTGAAGTCTCCCAGACTTGAGTTGAACCGAAGTGACCTCTGAGTGATCGGCATTCGCAAAGGTGTAACCCATGTTGTAGCAAATGGCGGCAACATATGTCCCCGGAGAAGGGTTCTCAGACCACATCTTGGCTGTGACCTCCTGAGTGAAAGACTCGCGAGCCTCGGTCCCTGTTGTCTTGTTAGCCATCATTCTTGAAGAAATTGCAGGGTGGGCTTGCTCACAGTCACTGAGGTCCTTGACAAGGTCGATTCCCGCGTCTACGGCTCTTATGGCTACCTGCCCCACCGCCGCTGTGGCAGCCGCCATAATGAGAGCCTCAACGACCACTCGCTTCTCGAGAACGGCCTCGTGAGTCTCGACCTGGTCCTTGACAATGCGCGAGGAAGGGATCATGAGAGCAGAGACACCTGTCAAAGTGCAAATGACAATTGAGAAACGCATTGTGATGTTTTGTTCAGGGTTGGGTTTGAACGATGTTTGGGAGGAGCTTGATGAGGACGTGTGAGTGAATGTGACAGTCAGTGTGATTGTTATAAGTTCTAAAAGCTTAGTCGGGGAAGAAATGTTTTGGGAAGGGTTGATTTGAGGCTTTAGAAGAGGGGTGAGTGTGTTAATGACCACTATGACACGTTTAGAAGGAGGCAGGAATCGGCTGCTTATAAATGAAATCTCTTTGACATCTCAAGATGAAGATTACATGCTCGAAGTCAGTGTATCCCAAATTATACGTTTGTCTATTCCTGGATCTCAGTCATTCACCATAGCCACAACTCAGAGGCTGGCCAGTGCTCTCCAGCCATCAGCACCCCTTTTCCCTCCTCATCAGAATAGGTAGTTATGACACCAACTAGTCTCCTTGACTTTACCACATAGCAAGTCGTACATTGATGGAGCCGGGGCTGGAGTGAAAGCCAGTGTAGCATTGCATTACCCACCCCCCCCCCCCACTCATCTGGCCTACAACCTAGCCGTAATAGTAGGTGATGGGGCAGAACCGGATCTAGACTCCTGTCAACTCCTGTCATGCATTGAAAACAAAATCGTGCGTTACTTCAGGCCACTCTTCCCCCTTTCAGTGGCACATTGGTTCTACAGTAACTGCATGAGTCGCACATGTCAAGTTATGTGTGTCCACTTCTGGTGCTGCTGAGTGCTATGCTCTCAACACAGCCTCAATCACAAACTTCTGATCAACAAAATCGCCAAGGTCAAGAGTCTATGCAGGACTTCCAGGTCTGGCCCAAGAAACCAAAAATGGAAACCTCGTTCATAGACCGCTTGAAGCCATTCCCTCCTGCAAGTATTCATGTGGATAGAGTTCAAGCCGCAGGCAGCGAGGGGTTTCGGTCATGTGGCCCAAACAAGCTCTCTCGGTTGTACATGCCAGTGCGTCTGCTTGGGCCACCATTCTTCCCTCATTTCCATCTGATTGCATTTTTTGTGCAAATTTTCATGATTAAAAATTTGCGTGTGTTCTAGAAGATCGAAACAGCAACCATATCAAGTTGCCATGCGACTTCTCAGCCGCATGGTTACATGTTTGTTCGTGGGAGATCTTCACAGGGAACGGAGTTATGGGGCTGGGCCGCTGAGCTTGATTCGTTCTGTTCCGCGGCTATAAATACCATAATTAAGCTTGGATTCTTTGTAATGCCAACAGAATGATCGTTGCCGGAGCATTCCTCATAGCATGATTATTTCCTCCCCGTGCGCATATGGCAGGCATGTCACGAGGGCTGTGAACCCCTCTCATTTAAGCATAGAAGGAATTTGCCCGAACAATACATTGCAATAGCATCCGACCGAAAGGACAATCGCATAGTCTGCTACCATCTCAATCTATTCTCATCGCCGTCACAGACAAGATCATTCAGGATTAAGCTTTCAAGCAGACAGGGCTGAAGATCCGTGCCGGTCGCCAGGAGGGGGCTCCCCCCTTGAGAAACAGTGTGTAATGATCACTTTTGTCTGCCAAGTGCTGTGGTGATCCACACAACCTAGGAACGGACTGACCGGTGGACATTCCTTAGATGAGCACACATGCAGGCTGAGAATAAGCGAGCAGGGTACCTAGGTAATTTGAGGACCGCGAGGTTTACTTGTCGAACCATATTACCCAGTTAAGTTTCCTCGCTCGCATTGAGTGCTGCTAGAGAGAATCACCGGCTCACAGAAAACCGAGCATGTCTGCTCAGAACTGCTTGCTCGTGTGTCTATGCAGTGCTAACAAGATGTCAACTAGCACGGTGCACCTGGGCAGACTCATGGAGCCTATAATCCATGAATTCCATTCCCACTGACCAGGACGCATTACTCCGACACAGTCCATGCGGAAAGCTAGTTGTATTCTGACAGCAACTCTTGGGCCGGTGGCCAAAGCCTTGACTCGTGCCGGAGAATGGCGACTCGATCAACAATGCCAGGAGAGCATCGCATCATTTCCAATCCAAAGTACTACGGGCTGAGTGACTAGATAATTGCAAGGGGCAGACCTCGAGATGCCATGGCGCAACCTTCCCCTTTCGCAGAGATCAGGGGTTCTGCCCCGCAAGAATGGAGGATATACCCGTGAAAGGATATTTGAGCACCTAAATGTAGACAGACAGCTCTGCCCAACATTTGAAGACGTCTGTTGGAGGCCAAGAAAAGGCAATGAGGCTTGTCAACAGACCAGGGAATGTACCTATGTACCTATGTACCTTCCTCCCTTCCCGTCACGGCCGAGCCTTTTGCGAGTGCTGGCTGCGGCTTCCACATGCGACTGCGAGCTGATGTTCTCGATCATCCGACCGACTTGACCCATATGCGTGACGCATCTCGAGCAAGAGACAACGCCTGGGCATCCAGACTGCCAGGCAGTCATCCACCTCCTGAGGACAGCGGCCCAGGACAGCGGCCCTGATCAGAGCGATGGTGTCTCGAGATCAGCCTTGTTCGATCCGAACCTTCTCAATCTCCAAGATTGAAATCCCAATTACACGACCGCCTGCGAAGCCGGCGAGGCCTGCCCGTCTTGCTGCGCTGGCCACCTGGGCATCCACCGGACATTGGCACCGAATCCAAACATCTCCCAGACGGGGGTGCTGACCGAGTTCCACGACAGAAGCACCTGGCGGCTCTAAGTCGGTCCGAGGCCTGCCAGAATTGATGTCCGAGGCCGACGGCATCCGCACAAGTTGATCTTGTCTCGCCGAAATGCACCGGCTGGTGGAGCCGATTCGCGGCTCGGTACCTACCGATCGGCCGGGGTTTGGTTCGGCAGCGCCTTGCCAAGGTTAATAATAGCAGCAATCTACGGACGGCGTCGGTGGCCGCCACGGTTGATTCGGCGCCCAGATGCCTCATCCGACCTCTGCTCGAGGCTTGGTCATCGGCACTACGCCGAGGAGACACGGCTGACTGTGCAGGCCCAGTGGTCCACTGTGCAAGAGGAGACAAGCACTGACAAGCACTGACAAGGTGCCACGGATGACGAGCAGTCCGGCTTGGTGCCAGTGGGGCCCAACCTCGGGGTTGGATCAGATGTGGGGGGCCAAGACTCTCGAAATGGGCTACTCCCAGTGCTCATGTCTGATGTGCTCTGTCCCGCGTCGCACGGGCTTAGAATAGGCCACGGCTAGGCTGCATTGGGCCCTCAGACACTGGCTCTGCCGCTTCGCAGGGCTGCCTGCGCGTTTCACAACTGCCCGCTGTGTGCCGTTGCCAGTGTCGACCCCATTGTTGCATTTCGCCAAACCCCAAGGACGCAGGAGCTCAACCCACGACCGTACCAAGACGACACCAGCTCGGGGGCTCACCGGGGCAAATGCAGCCGTGGGCTGAGCAGCTGAGCAGCTGAGCAGCTGAGCAGCTGAGCAGCTGTGCGGGTCAAGGCGGCCGGCCGTGAGGTGCGTTGGAAAGGTCCGAGGAGCAAGCAGCACTACTCCCAGACTCGGTATGCAAAAGGACGACAAGGCAAAAGGCAAAAGGCAAGGCAATATGCAGAAGTGCCGGTGGGCTCAGAAGACGCGCACTCAGCCCCGCCATGGCCAAATCACTGGTCGAGGGCCGCGCGTACTCTCGCCCACTAACACCGACAGCCTCCTGCTCCAGTCTCGCTGGCCTGTGGTTCGTCACGCGCAACTCAGGGCGGCCGGGCTGCGCAGGGCTGGTCGGGTGAGGCGGCATCCTTCGCGGCGGCAGTCCGTAGACTTGATGACGGATCTGCACTGCTCTAAAACCTGTCCGTCCGAAGCCGTCAAGCCGTGGGGCCGTCAACAACCAGGCTGCCAGGCTGGGCTGACTACTACTACCGTGTAGCAATACGGAGTAGTCTACTGTGCGTCTACCGGCGAGTATCCGGACCCATGCTGCCATGTTCCCCTTTTCGTCTCAAGTCCCTGGGCTGCATGGTCGGAGTATTCCTTTTGAGCATCTCCAAACATCTCATGTCCTGGTCTCCGAACTACCCTCATCCCCGACACAACAGCCAAGACAGTCCTGGATCTGCGACCCCAAGTGTCCCGCTCACCCACGCGGCATCCGTACCTGTGCATGTGCTCTCTGTCCGCCTGTCCGCCTGTCAGCCTGTCCGCCTGTCTGCCTGTCCGCCCGCCTGCCTGTCCGCCCGTTAGGCTTATTGTGCTCAAGCGACGTGATCCCCTGACAGGGCCCCCAAGCTCCTCAGCCCCCAGGTCACCACCCGGTCTGTGAGACTGCCCAAGACACTTGGCACTGGTTCGGCCTCGTGCACTGTGGCTTGGCTGTTGCCATGCGTCTTACATCGCACACTTGGACCCGACCTGATTCATGCTCCTGGCGGCTGGAAACTAGTCTGTGTTACCTCTGGTACGCTCTTCTCACGCTTGGGTCTCTGCGACAAATGGCTTGTCGCTGATACTTGACTCTCTCGGCACCCATTTCCTCCAATGTCCAAAACTTTGGCCCGTTCCCACCCAACTTCATCTTGAACTGCTGTTTTCTGAGATATTCTCCGGGGACACGTTGGAATCGCCAGTGCTGTCAGCAGGAAACCTCAGGTCAGGTTAAGCAAAGAAAAAAGGATTATCGCCACGCACTGAGGGGCTTTTGTCTGGGCGCAGTCACCGGCTCCAACGAATATCACCGGGCCTTACGTACGAAGCCCACGAATCTTCTCCACCCTGACCTGCGCCGCCACTCTCCGGCTTTCTTGGTACCCCCCAAGTAATACAATACACCAACACCACCCCAGATGATATAGATACTCGTCCTTGTCTTTCTTTTCTTTTCTCCAGCCGGCCCATCAGGGATCTCTCCTTTACGGCTGTGAACCTTACTCCTCAGTATCCCCGGATATCCTGGGTGGGGCCATCGCCAACTACAACCATAATGAAGTGCACGACAGTACTGGCCCTCTCGGCCTCAATAATATCATCGGCGGAGGCCATCAACCTGCGGAAAAGAACAGATGGAGGAGCACCAAGGGTACTCGGCTTGCCCACACAGAGGAAGACGATAGCAAATCCACACAAGCGAGACCAGATACGAAGACGAGCGACAGTCACAGCCAATCTTGACAACGAGGAAACATTGTACTTCATCAATGCCACCCTGGGGACCCCGGCACAGTCCCTCCGACTTCACCTCGACACCGGCAGCAGTGATCTGTGGGTAAACACTCCGAGTTCGGCATTATGTACACAATCATCATCACCATGCGCATTTGCGGGCACATATACCGCCAATTCCTCGTCAACATACGAATACGTCGGTTCGTGGTTCAACATATCGTACGTCGATGGGTCCGGGGCACATGGGGACTACGTGACAGACACAATCTCAATAGGCGGTACGACACTGAGCGACTTCCAATTCGGCATAGGCTACACCAGCAGCAGTGCCCAGGGCATCCTGGGGGTGGGATACACGGCCAACGAGGTACAGGTCGGCAGGGCGGGCATGTCGCCGTACGACAACCTCCCGGCCAAGATGAAGGCCGAGGGCAAGATCACGTCCAACGCATACAGCCTGTGGCTGAACGACCTCGACGCGAGCACGGGCCAGATTCTGTTTGGCGGGGTGGACACGGATCAGTTCACGGGGCAGCTCCAGACACTGCCGATCCAGGCCGAGGGCGGCACCTTCGCCGAGTTCTTGATCACCCTGACGGGCGTGTCCTTCAACGGGGAGACAATCGCCTCGGACCAGGCGCTGGCGGTGCTCCTGGACAGCGGCAGCAGCCTGACGTACCTGCCCAACGACATGGTGGAGACCATCTACGACCGGGTGTCGGCGCAGTACGACAGCAACGAGGGCGCGGCATACATCGCCTGCAGCATGGCCAACACCAACGCCACGCTCGACTTCACCTTCAGCTCCCCCGTCATCTCGGTCGAGATGAACGAGCTGGTGCTGGACCTCGTCACGGCCTCGGGCAAGAGGCCGCGCTTCTCGGACGGCACCGAGGCCTGCCTCTTCGGCATCGCCCCCGCGGGCTCGAGCAGCATGGTCCTGGGCGACACCTTCCTGCGCAGCGCCTACGTGGTCTACGACCTCGAGAACAATGAGATCTCCATCGCCCAGACCAACTTCAACGCCACCACCAGCAACATCCTCGAGATCGGCACTGGCACCAGCGCCGTGCCCAGCGCGGTGGATGTTGCTAATGCCGTGGCCGCCACGGGCCTTGCCGACTCCTCGACAACCATCGCTGGCGGCTTTGGCGTCCAGAACGGTGCGCCAGGGCGGATGGACGGCGCTGCGCGAGCCGCGGTTGTCGGTGCCGTCGTCGCTGTCGCATTTGGGGCCGGGGCGACTATTTTTTAAGCTGGGAAGTCGAGCCCGGCGGCCCCTTTGTATCATACTACTACTATACACATTGGACAGTAATGTTCGAAGCGGACCGTGGCAACTGGCTGTTTGGGAGATGCATTTGGAGGCACAGCGAGTGTTTTCATGAAGCCATCATGATGGGATGATCTTTTTACCGGGTTTCCATTTTTAACATCTTTAGCACTTTTGCATATTCTGTGGACATATACAGAACTAGAAAGAAGCGAGGTGGGGCAACATCACATTGCAAGCATGGCGTTTTATGGTCGATGGAACACGAGTCGTCTTGCCCATGAGGGACGGATGGGGAAGGAGGCGATACGGGGCAGAAGGACACTTGAAGGAACGAATAGCCATTTAATGTGACCGGTCAACAAGATCGCCTCCAGAATTTCGATATTCTTCTTGTGCTTCACTGTGTAAAGTGAAATGACGATGGGCGTTGTGTAGCGTCTACAATTACTCTCATCAACGTCTCATAATGTCCCACCGAAACTGAACACACAATTAAGCGGTGTTGCACATGTAAGCCGACACCCAGGTCACCCATGAGGCTCGCTGGTCTCAGAGTTGCAATCTCAGGGTCGTATTCGGGAATTAATATATCTAGCACAATGCAACCCGGCTGCCGGCTCCGAGCAGCTGGGGTTCGTGGAATGGAGGGACTCGTCACCCTGGTGAAACCACCAACAGGAAATCGGGCCTGGCTTATTGGCAGAGTTCAGATCGGCCTGATCGGGTGCGTGTGCACTGGCACAAACGTGACATCCAGGCTACTGAGCCACGCGTTTACTGCTGTTGGGTTTGATTTAAGGGGCGTCGTCGTCCTCTGCTAACAGAACCCAAGTCCGATTCTAAGCAATGGAATTTTTTTTTATAGGAAACAAAAATCTTCGCTAGGTCTGGAGTGGAGAGACTTATAAGGACTTATTCTTACATTTTTGACCTGCAGAGAAGAATAGAAGGACCCGGACGAGCACCGAAGAGCAAGTAGTAGCAGATTCATCTCGGGTGACAGCAACAGCATATACCGCCGAATAACCCCGAGCTCTCACCAATCCCGCATCCGCAACCACGGACCCCGTCCCATCCCTCGTTCCCGTGCCGTGCCTCGCCACGAACCTCATCCGAATGTCGAGACGTCCAGGACGTCTCGCCTCAAGGTTCCTAAACCCGGCCAGCCTCCGCGGGCCCTGCTGAACTGGTCGTACCTGGCCGGCAGACCTGGTCAACCACCAGGCCAAGTGTCCAGAGCGACTTCCTTTGCACGAGGAGGGGTTTTGACAGACCCCATCTCCCCGGCCGGCCGCCTTGGTCTTCCTCGCTCGCCGGCGGCAACCTCGGCGTCCACCATCATGTCAACACTCATCAGCAGCACCATCACCATCAGCAGGGATGTACCGCCTCATGACGCCCCGCACGTAGTCCCGCGGCAGGCCCCACTCGGCCACGGCCTCCCGGATCCCCCTGTTCATGCGGACAACATACTCGGCCCGCGGCGCAGCGGGGCTCACCCGCCGCCGGTCGACGTAGACGAGCGCCCTGACGGTCCCCTCCGCTCTGGGCGACGACGCCGTCGCGCCCGGGGCAACCAGCTGCCTCCCCTCCCCCTTCCTCTCCACCTCCAGCACGAGGTCCTCGTACGCGAGGGGGACGCCCTCGTGCGCGTCGAGGCGGGCCTTCTCCGCGGCCGAGGCGAGGCGGTAGAGGACGCCGTAGACCCCGACGACACCACCAACAACGTCCCCTCCTCCTTCACCAGCTGGGGCTGTCGTGTTCGTGCTGCTGCTGTTGGGGTGGTGGTGGTGGTTGGCGGTTGTGGTGACGACGTTCGCGAAGCCGCGCTCGTTGATTATGAACTCGTAGCCTGGCAGGTACGCCAGCCCCACGGCCTCGGCGCCGGGGCAGCGGGCGCGCATCTGCGTGCTGCTGAGGTTGGAGCCGAAAGCGAAGTAGATGAGGGTTTCTGGCGGCGGCTGCTGCTGCTGCTGCTGTTGTTCCTGTGGCGGTGGGGCGGGGGTGGTCTTGTCATCGTTGCGGGGCATGTTGGCTCAAGTCGTCTTGACCACGTCGTGCGTGCAGGTCTTGTTGTAGTCGCTACTGTAGAAGTGGGCCACCGCTTGGTTCTGAGGTGACTGATGATGGTGTAAGTTAGTTGCTTCCTGGAATGCAAGTGTGTCTGGTGTGTCCCTCACTTAATTTTGGAGGGGTGCCCGGTCTGTCGGCGATGGTGTGCCTCGAGAGCCAAGGTTTGCATCCAGACAGATCCGGACTGTGCCTCTAGCCTTGGATGACGGAGGCGCGGCAAAGGTTCCTGATACTTATTGACTGCGTGCCTGCGTCTCAATGGCAGTCAGTGCTGGGCGCCTGACAAGTTGGCCTTGGAGCACATTCAGACTACAACGTCAGCTATTCCGCCCATTGAAGCGGCCGCGGTGGCCTCGGTAGGTTGTTACCTGAGACAACAGTGCCTTGGCCTGCTTCTGACGCAGAGGCATCGAAGGTCATAGAGAAGACTCAGAAAACTGAGCAACTGTTTTCACATCAACTAAGGCATCTGAACAGCAATGCGGGTGCATCAATATGGAGGTCTTTTCTCAATTTCCAGATCGTACAAAAGTCTCGGGAGATGAAATAGTACCAGTACACGGCCCAACATTCGCTTTTTATCGTGCCCACCGGGGCAAGCCTCGCCCACACACCCGGAGTATTATTACTCTGTCCTCAAAATATGCCTCCCCATAGTCGTCCTGCTGCTCCGCATGCAATACATATCCAGTAGGTATTCAGTAGGTGTTCCGTCCCGTCCGCCTGTCTTGTGATCGTGTCTCGTGATACCGGAACACGTAGTAAGTCTTGGTCTATCTATATACACATAAAAAGAAAGAAGAGAAGAGAAGAGGAAGAGGGGGGAGAAGAAGTAGAAAGAAGTAGTTTGCCGCACACCTGCTGTTTAGGTGATGGGCGTCAAGAAAGGATGGACCATCAGCTCATCGGCGCTGGGGCGCTTGTTGTGGTCCAGCTCGAAGGTCTGGGCGAGGAAGCCCTGCGCCTCCTCGCTTGCGTGCTCGGGGATCGTGGGCGCCGCCTTTGAGCCACCGATCTTGAAGATGGCCTGCAGCTGCGTGCAGTCTGGGAAGGGGTGTGTGCCCGTCATCATCTCGACGACCAGGCAGCCCAGGGACCAGATGTCCGCCTTGCGTGTGTAGCTGGTCTGCTTGACCACCTCAGGTGCCATCCAGTAGACAGAGCCCTGCAGCGAAGGCCGGTGCTTGTTGTTGTTCGCACCGCTGAGGATGTTGGTGGCCTCGAGCTTCTTGGAGATGCCGAAATCAGAGATCTTGATCGTGCCCTTGTTATCGACGAGAATGTTGGCTCCCTTGATGTCACGGTGAATAATCTCCTTGCCGTGCAGATAAGACAGACCAGTCAGGATCTGCCGCACGAAGCTGCGCACGAGCGGCTCAGGCAGGGCACCATACGAGTTCAGCATGGTCTGCACCGAACCACCTGGGACATACTCGAGGAAAATGTTGAGGTAGTCCGAAGAGGAACTGCACCCTAGGTATTGCACAATGTTGGGGTGTCGAAGGTCTCGGAGCAGGCTGATCTCCCGCTTGAGTGCCTCGATCATGCTCTTCTTGCGCGAGTCGTTCTGCGAGTTGGCGCCAGGTGAAGGTGACTCGACTTGCTTGACAGCAAGAAGCTCGCCCGTGACGGCATGCAGCGCAAGGTACACACAACCGAAAGAACCCTGGCCGATGAGGGCACCCTTCATCCACTTGTTGTCATCCCAGGACTCGCCGGATAGGAAGCTCTGCAACTCCTCGTCGGCATCCTCGCCGTCGTCGTTGAGGGCCTGGTTGACATCTCTGAGGGAGCTCGAACCTGAGCCACCGGTGCTGCTTTCGCCGTCGAAGTAGCTGTGCCGGACCACATTGCCCTCGGGGTCTGTCACACTGACGGCAGCCGTATCGGACCCACTGTCGGCAAAGGACACATACGACTTCCTGTTAGGCTCAACGGGGCTCGATTCCTCCTGGAGGGTGTCAAGCACGGACGAGGACACAGAGTCCCTGAACATTGGCGTCATCCGCCCGTGTATGCTCCTGGGTTGGACCTTGGCGATCTGAGTGCCAGCATTGAGCCAGCTGTCGGCAATGGTGGGGATCGGAGGCGCATCCTGCACGCTCGAGGCGAAGCTGAGGTTGCTAGCAACGCTGAGGCGGCTGTTGTACTTGCTCAAGCGTTGTGACCTCCTCATAGACAACCGAGCGGTCCGGTCAATGTCCTCCCGGGGGTGGTCGGGGAAGTAAGACGTGAGATCAGATGCAATAAGCTCACTGGGCGGCCGCAGCCCACCAAACTGTCGCAGGACCTTGCGAGTCCTGGGGTTCGGCGACTTCGAATCGTTAGAAGCGGGTCTCTCCAGGTCGCGTGTGGTATCTTGGATATTTCTTTCGCGGTCTTGGTACGTGACAGGCGACAGTGGTGGCTGCATGGAATCCCAGCTCTCGCCGAGTACCTTCTGAACCTTGGACTGACTCGCATGGCTGATGCTCCCCATTGCCCGGTGATGATTCTGTTGGTTCTCCTCCATAGCAATGGCGGCGGCGCGTTCAAGCTCGCCACGGCCGGGCTCACCAGCTGGCACCCTCCTAAGAATAAGTCGGTTCCGCTCTGGCCTTTTCTCGTCCTTGATGATCTTCCACAATTCTGTGTCACCAAGGCGGCGGCACATCTTGGGGTTGGCGTCGACGCCCACCAGTATCCAGAAACAATAATTCCTTTCGTGGTCTTCTCTGAGGGCAAACTTGCGTAAAGTCAGGCGCATCACTTCAGCGCAGTTCCTACAATCGGCGATCTTAACCACCTTCGTGACTCCACCAGTGGAGATAACACGGATGACATCCTGGTTGTGAGGCAAGGCTGCCATGAGAGATCCATCGGCGCTTGAGCCATTCCTGTGGTGGGCTATTGGGCCGGCGCGCACCTGGGCAGGGGACGTGGGTGGGCGGGGCCCGGCAGGTAGGCCATGGCCCACTGTTCCTTGCGCGTATGCCTGGCGAGGCGCGGGCTTGTAGTCCGAGCCGGGCATGGGAGAGGTGGGCCTGGAGGAGGGTTTTGCGACATCGAGAGGAACTGCCATATCATATTGCCGAGAGTATCTCTTGTTCAGCAACGGTGTAGGTTGAGAACGAGATGCCGAAGTCGGGGGACGGGGCGAGCCGGAGGATGAAGGCGTATACTGCTGCAGATCCAGACCTCCGAAGGAATCCTAGATTTCAGAGTCAGCGGCATTTCACATCACAGCTAATTGGGGTCAATATTAGCTTACCCTATTGCGCTTCTTTTGGTTGGCGTAAGCCTGGGTCCTCAGCTTTTTGATGCCCAGGAACAGCCGAACCCTATCGCCAACCTTATCGATGCCCATCTCTTTCAGGACCTCCTTGTCCATTTCCAGCAGATTCTCGCCATTGATGTGATTCTTCCTGAACAAATTCTCGTAGTCACCACATTTGACTGTCCTCAGGTACTCGCATACCCTATCTTCATCCCAGTATTTGACCGAGTCTGGTCCATCGCCATCGGAGAACTCGGATTCAGTGGGACTGGCAAAAGACTGGCTGGTGGTCGGGATTGTCGCAGCTCTCCTCGGGGGTGGGTAGGAGGACTGGGTGGCGCTCGAGGGAACCAGTGTCGACTGGTTGGAGGAAAGTGACGCCTGGTACGGCGACTTCGAGGCCAACATGGCCATGGCGAACGGCTTTCCGAGGTGGAAGACGTCGTATGAAAGATGTGCAATGTGTGGACGAGCCTGAATTGACTGGCTTCAAGCTTGGATATTTTGTGGGCCTGGGCTAGCCACGCCGCAGTGTATAGGTCTAATGATATAGGTGTGCTGCAGGACTGGGCGTAGAAACGCAGTCGTGTCTTGATCGCGTCGTAGTGTTCCGAGCCGGCCAGATGCACCACGGTGGGGAAAGCAAGACCTTTTTGACGGAGCAGGCGGTGGTGGTCAAGTAGCCAGGGCACAAAGAGGCCGCACAAGTCCCAGCCGCCAAGGATTGGGATGTTCCAAGCAAGGAAGGGGGGTTCAGTCGGCGGGCTTTATCTGCTGACCGGGTCGCGGCCGGTATCTCGTGGTGGTAATACGCAGCAGTCGGGGTAAGCGATGGGTGGATGATTTTAAAGGCTGGCAAATAAGATATGGCCCGAGCCAAGGTGGAGGCCCATCAGATAGGTCTCTTTCAACGCGGTCACCAGGCACAGCAAGGTGTTTCTGCGTGATAAGCGATGGGGACCGATGATATTCGATTTGTTCTCGATTAGGTTCCTTGGGAGGAGGTGCTTCCCAGGCGGCGTGCAAGTCCAAGAGGGGGGACGAGTGGGTATAGTCCAGGCGTCTGCCGTGTCACGTTCGACCTGTCATTGCGTTCGGGGCGGGATCATTCTAGTCAAAGAAGAGCCGGACGGGATATCTTTGTAGAGTGAGGGCAATGCAAGAGTGGCGGGGCCCGAAGGATAGGTAGGGTAGGATAGGGAGGGGGGAAAAAGGAGAAACAAAAGGTGGGAGAAACGTGTTGTTGGTTCGTGGTCAAGGTCAAGGTCCAGGGCAGCAAGGAGGTCGAGGAAGTGCGTGCGTGTGGACGGGGTGGAGGAGAACAGTCGAGCAACACGCTGGGCGAGGGCGAGGACGAGAGCGAGCGAGGGTGAGGATGAGACACGACAGGGGGGGTGGGAAGGGTATGGGGCCAAGAAGCGCCCTCTGTGCATCGACGGCAGCAACTGATAGGCAGGACGATTTGACTGCAGGAGCTGGTGGTGAGGGCCTGCCTGGGGCCCTGGGGCAAAAATGGGGGCTTACCGAGCATTGGCTGGCTGGCTGTCTGGCTGGCTGGATGAGGTTTGGGGGCCAGTCGACTGCGGGCAGCACAGGCGGGCGCGCGCGATTGGATTGGCGCTGGCAGGGCCAGACGGATGCAGCTCAGGAGGCACAACCAAAAGAGCTGCCAGAGAGCCCTCGGCAGCCCGGGCTGCCAGCACGCTCAGTGGGCAGGAGCATTGCCCGTATGCCCAGGTAGGAAAGTGGGCGAGTGGGCAGGTGGGCAGGTGGGGCCACTAGGCAGGAAGTCCCTGCCGCAACGGGCGGTAGCTCGTCCAGTGGCGTCCAGCTTGAAACGTGGGCTAGGGGGGGTCGGCCGTCTGGGCCGTCTGGCTGTCAACTTGGACTGCTTGGGGGGCTTGGGGAGGGGAGGGGGCACGCACGAGCCCCCCCTTTTTTTACCCTCTCTGCAGAATACGACCGCAGAAACTCTAACCACGGCCGAAAGAGGGCCTGCGAGACCCGACCAAGCAAACAGAAGCCATCACGAACCTTGGCACTAATGACAGACGCGGCCAACAAAGGGGTCGAGCTTGCCCCGCGTGTGTGATGAAACAGACTGACTGTCCTTGCCAACCTGCCAAGCAAACGTGAAGGGCAAGCAGGCAAATCAAACAAGCAGGCAAGCAAGCAACAAATAAATATACAGGGTCAAAATAGCATGTTGGCATATTTGAAGCATTGTGTGGTGACTCTGGTAAGCATTGGGGTTACCACAATGCAGCTTACAGCTGATTTACTGCTTACAGTACCGCCGACGTGTCCCGGTGTCCGGCATGGGTGGGTCGTCAATGTCACGCTGGCGATGACTTCGTGAGCCCAGCCGAAACATTTGAGTGCCGCAAACAAAGCATGTGCCATCCATCCCATGTGCCATCCTGCCATCCTGCCATCCTGCCGCCTCCGCCATCTCCCCGTCTCTGCCGTCTGCCCGTCTACCCCTCCCATCCGAAGATTTCTTCGCGTTTGAGGACTCTTTGACCTCACACACATCGGACGACGAAGCTGTGCTGCTGCTAGCCGCTCCTCTCGCGAGAGTTTGCTCGACTCATTCGCATGCCAGGCGCTGACTTGGTCTCATCCCAGTCCCAACCTGCCGGGACTCACTTTTGCTCTCGGAGTATCTGTGCCCGTCGCAGAGGGAGCTTAACGCATGGAATATCGTCAGCCATTGCCAGGCTGGCCCGTCTGTCGACCCAACAACGGGCTGGCGGCTTGACCACGGAGCCCGAGAAGCCGGGGCTGCTTTGTGGTTGGTGTCGAGTCCGACACACCTTCCACACCTTCGTCTGCGATGAGGCTCTGGCAGACAGGGTTACCTCTGTCTCCCGTACTGCCTCGCTCCCACGCACGCTCTCTTATCACGGGGCATATGAGCCCTTCTTACTGGCCGTACCGCCCGACTTACCACACACATGAAAGCTTGGCTCGACTTCCTACTTGCTCGCTACAGAGCCCTCACCACACCCCATGGCTCAGGGACCTGGTTCTGTCATGCCAGACGCCTGGCAGCGGACAGCCTGACAGCCTGATCAGCCCTTGGTCGCGAGGATGTGACCTCAGCTCGCAAACGTGAAACCCGGGCCAGCCTGGCCAGCCGCTGACGGCCACCAACACTTCAGCCTGGTTGGCTGCCTCGGGGCGGGGAGCACCTTGGTCTATTGGGGCCTGCCGTGTACTATGTAGTATGGCAAGGCGCCATGGTAGAGGTTGCTAGCGGAGGCTGAGGTCTGCGCGGCTGGTGGCCTCTCCACGTGCAGTCCTCCCGCCATTTACCATATCAGGAGGTACTTCAGTCGCCACCTTGACTCTGTCCAGTCAACGACCGCCCATCTTCGGGCCGCATTGACCAGGCGGCCAGAGGGAAATGGTGATAGTCGGCAGGTGAAGTCATCAAGATGGGGACAATCGGCGGATCAGCATAACATATTGTCCTACAATTCAGCCATCCAGGTGATCCTGTCGCAACCCGCACCCTCTATCCCCGGTGTTCCCTCATACGACTCATCCTTCGGGCGATAGATGAGCAGATTAGCAGTTGGCAGGCGATTACCGACGCGGCACGACCCACCCGACATCCCGGAGACTGGCGAGCACACTAGCATAGCAGCACTTTCAATCTCCCACGAAACATCTGGGCCTCAATCTTGCATATGGCCAGGTTGACTGAGTGAGCGACATTGACTGACTGGCTTACTGGCTTACTGGCGAAGCCCCCTATAGGATCACTACCGCTTTGAGCCATCTTTTTCGCGTGCCCCGGTTTCAGCCAGCGACGTCGCCGTCGTCGTCAGCGCTGCAAATTTTCGCGCCCGTGTGCGGGAGCCCTTATTTTTCTCTCGTGGTGATCTGCCTAGATCCGCTAAACACGCTTTTGGAGGCTACGACTCTGCGACAGCCTCCATCGGGTGGGGCAGACGCGAGTCCCAATGCTCCACGCGCACATGGCCTGCCTGTCTGTTCGTCAGGGTCACAGCGTCTGGTCGCAAACCCGGCCCGGAGTGAGGGGCATTCGTAGTACACGCCAGCTAGAAAGCACAGACTCGTGCTCAGACTTGCCGGTCGTGGGGAAGTTCTTTTTCATTTGCTCTGTCTTTTTCCTTAAACGAGTTGCTCACGCCGGCCAGAGGTTGTAGCATTCACTAACGACCGGGGCCAGAATGATTCGCGATGGTCGTTTTACGAGCTCTTGGCGCTAGAGCTGCGGTTTATCAACTTGAAACAAATTGGGAGGCATCAAATTGCGGGACCTGTTCATGCCTCTTCCTCTGGGCGGTGGGAAACATGCGCATATCTTGTGGGTCACACGGGACTCCCGCGATAACGACATCTTATTCACGTGTAGGAAAGTGACCAACACACCCAACAGTTTCCTATGATCTCGCGAGGACGAAACGTAACGGTAATTATAGAGCTCTCATAAGAACATAGTGGGAGCCAGGCAGTCAACAGCCCAGTAGAATGTCGGTGACAACCCCATTGTTTGTCGACCATTGCTATCCATGAGCTTGCATTAATCCTCCTCGGCCTGATATCAATGCGGGGTGGTACAAAGTATCAGGATGATTTCGCCTCATCAACCCGAGGGACGTTGGGGAAGGTTGTGAGCTTCACGCACGCAGACCGCAACATGATACGATGCACTCGCTTAATGGCATCCCGCAGGGATCAACAGCTTGGCTCGCCGTGGGGCCGGTGGCACGCTTCCCCATTGTGCACCAGCACCTCGGGTCAAGTGATACTGTCGTATCAAGCCCGCAAACCTTCCATGGTTAGCACCTACTTACTGGCACCCTGCGGCTGCTGAAGATTTGGCAACTTCTATATAAGCGACGAATACGTCAAAACAGTCAAGAGGGCTCGGCGGTCATCAAGAGACTAACACTAGTTCCAAAACACAATGACAGATTGCATTCTTGCTCCGAGCTCGTGAGCGGAGATGGGGGAGCGTCTTGGAGCCCATCAGGCAAGACGCATGCCCGCACAACGTGAGCCACCTCGCCACTACCGCATCCGGTAACTCGGAGCCCTTCAGGTTCCCCACCAAAGGGCCGTCGACCCCGTCGACCCCGTCGTCCCCATGTCCCATGTCCCCATGTCCCCATGTCCCATTTTCGCGCCTGCGGGGGCACAACGAAGTGCCTACTGGAGGAGGCTAATTACATGTGGGTGTAGGTGTGGGTGCGTCTCTGTGTGCGACCTGATATCGGCTTCTCACCGAATGGCCCCGGGGTCCTCCTCAAGAGGTACTGTAACCAGCAATCGGATGTGGCACCGCAGACGGCGAGGTGCACCCTGGGACACAGCAGAAGCAGGGCATTTGATGTTGTGGATATTGGACGTTCCGATTGAGTTTTTGTTCACATTTTTGTCGTGGACAACAAACACGCTTCAAAATGAGATCTACAGTGGCAGCAAGTCAGCAAGATTGGGATGATGAGGTGGCTTTAGACATTGTCAATCTGTGTTGTGCTCTTATAATTTATTACTGTGACAGTGACAGACTCAGATTTGACACAAGCCACAGCTGTCTCTCCCCCCACAGATTGACCCAAACACATTCTGGACACTGGACAGCACGACAGGCAATAGCTCTTCGCCTGCAGTGGCGCAGGCCAGATAATGCTGTGCTACGATGTGGGGACAGCTGCTGGTCAAGTGCTACTACCCCACACGAGCAGTCACATACATGTAGACTACAGTAGTTAGTTCACTCTGGAGCTGATGAGCCGTGTCATTGATTGTCATTGATCGAGGCGGGGCCGGGACCATTCCGAGCGAAAGTTGGGCCGAGCATTTTTTTGCCTCCGCTGAGCAACCGTCTCATCATTGGGTCTTCCAATCTCGAATCCTAGGGATGGCATGCTTGTGTTGCTATAACAGACAATGCAGCTTCTTATTTTCTTTTGTTGAGAAGGTCTGACCGAACGCGACTGCAGAGGTATGATAGACGCGAAGAGCATCTCACATGTGCTCGTCAGCTCTCATCTGGTGGTTGGCCTCGTTTGTTGCACACCGGATGCGGCGAAATATCCCAGCAGTCTTGTTGATCGTCAACAGCCAAGCTGCGCAAGCTCCCTGCGAGCTACCCTCGGGAACAGGCCCTGCCGGCGCCACGCTAGCAGAGTGGCAGAGCGGGCTGGCGGGCAGAGCGGCAGACTGGCGCCTGTCTGTTTGTATTTGTTTTAAACTTTGACCTACTGTGTAGTCTGCACGAGCTACAGGAGAAGGTGTGCTATGTGCTATACTCGAAGCAAATAGGCGACGGCCACAGGCACGGCGCGCCGTAGGTACAGGGCCGTACCTGAACAGTCTCGCTCCTGGAGGCCTGGAGGCCCACGGCGATCCTTCAGCTTGGACTGCTCGGGCACTGTTGTGGAACTGTAATTGTGCATCTTGTCGGTGGCCGGTCGTCGCACGGGGCGCCATGTTGAGCAATGATCTCTGGTGTGGTTTATTACTGACTGTGTCACGATTGATGATGCAACAACTTTTTGTTATTTCTCAGTCCCTCCCTCCTCCGACGAAACGCCATGCCAACAACCGCCAATGCAGGAGCAGAGAGGGTTCACACCACCAGACAGGTACGACAGGGGTGCTGTCTGGTGGTTATAGTATGAAGGAACATGTTATAACGACATGGTTGGTGGCGTAACACGAGGCGACAAGTCGCTAGTGTAGTACTCCGTAAGCAAATAGACATTGGACATACGATGCAAGTGGAGATAAGAGGCCTGCCAGGCCTGGCTGCGAGGCTCATGATCAAAGACCTCGGATCCTCCAACAAACCGGCGGTACTGTAGAATACACACTCAGTCACACACTTGCGATATGATATGCTCGATACTCCGTACGTGCATGTACGACGCTACGATACGGTCCAGTACGGCAAGATACAGCACGGTCATATGGCGCCTTGGAGGCGAGGAGGGGGGCCTGGGCGGTGATCTGATTGGGCAATTGCCCCCATGCCAGGATGGGTCGACGGGCCCGCAAACAGGAATGATAGCTGGTGGACTGGTGGATAACATCATCGCAGGCTGGGTTGACCCTCGGTCAGGCCACTGAGAGCCTGCTCCGCACCGCCCAGCAGTGCCAGCACAGGGGTCCTGCTCCCGCCTTGGGTTGCTTGGTGCACTCGCCTTCAAACCCCTGGTCCCTTGTCCCTGCGTGGCCTTCCTGATATGACGCTGCATGGCAACAGGGCAACAGGGCAACAGGGCAGGAGCGAGGGAGAGAGACCACAGACAGACACAGACGCCCATGGGCATTGGCCGCCCGATATGGCGAATTCCCAACTTTTCCATGTTCTGACAGGCGGCCCTCTCTTCACTTTGTGCTGCTGGTCTCTGTGTCTGAACCGGCCTTGTACCTGACTGTACCTTGAGGTTCCCCGTCCCACGTCCCAAGTCCAAAGTCCTAGTTCCCAAGCAGTGCACATGTGTGGCCATCTGTCCAAGCTCCCATCCACCCATCCTTTCTCCTTCTCTTGCTTGCCTTACCTGCTGCATTCTCTAGCTGCTTCTGTCTTGTCTCCATCCGATCTTCCCATCTCGCACACCACACCTTAATTTTCATCATCCTCACACCGGCAACAAGAGAACCAACAACACCGGCTGTGTTGTATCTTGTCTGGCTGAGACTTGGTCGGCGGATGTGGCCACAGCTACGCAGTGCTGTGTACGGAATTAGATCCCGCTTCCTGCAACGATCCTACGATATCCAAGCCAACTGGACTCTCCCTCCAAGAGAGCACGTCCCGTCCCATTCCTCGGACTCTCGTGCAGTGTTCCGGATCCAGCTGGCTCGACTCTTTTTTTGGGGGGGTACTGAGGTGAATCGGCGGCGGCATATCCCATCCTGACTGTCGGTCCGAGGCCGCAGCTCCCGCAGACACCTTTTTGTCTCACCCGCCGATCGTCGTCACTGTCGAAGCTGAGACCCAGCAGCTCGAGCCCCGAGACGGGTGGTCGGATGGCCCGACTGTTGCACTTCTGATTCCGGTGGCCTCCAAGGCCCGGGAGAGTGAATGAGTGGGTGGAGTGAAAGGAGCGCCGTCGAGAGTGCTTGAACTCACGGCAGCGGCGGCGCAATCAAGGAGGAGTGTTGCCCTCGGTGTCTGGGTTTCTTGGTTTCTTGAATGCGGTGCCCCCAGCCAACATCACCTATTCCCATTCCCTCCTCGCACTACCCACCCCTCGGCGGCCCTCATCATTTCCGAGACGCACGACTCCTTACGTGGTGCAAAATCCCTTGGCTCCCTTCACTTTGAATTGTTTCTATATTCTACCTGTCACTGGGATCCTGGGCCCTCCCTCCGCCCTGCGGGCACCCTAGGCAGAGACATAACGCCTGCTCTCTCCCCCTGATATCTCTCGGCCGACCAGATATTATTCCCGCCTCCCCGGACTGCACCGATCTCATCCCAATCTCTCCTGGGGATATCCACCCTTCCCGCCTGCCATGGTCACTTCGCTCTGAAAGATTGCTTGAATCATCTGTACTTCCGACCCACAACCCGCACGGGAACTTATTCCAGCGGCTCGGGCCAGGAAGTGCACCTAGTCGGGACCCAGCCTGACGTCAATCCTACGAGAACCAATCTGAGCTTCCAACTGATATAGCTCGGATCGAACGCAGCCTTGCCCGTCTTTTCATGTTGGCTCACCGAAGAAAAGAAAAAAGAAATTTATGTTGAAACAGCTGTGATTTTTTGAAGCAATTATCAACATGGATCTGCTAAAGTGGAAGCGGCAGAGCTCAGCTCCGTCGCTGCCAGGCTTGGCCCTCGACTCGCCAACGACCACAAATTCCAGTCCCGCCGGTAGCTCACCAGCAAGCTCAATACACGAGAATAGAAATAGCGGTTTCTTCACAACTGTAAAGCGGAGCCTCAGCCGGGCATCTACCGCCCCACTCCTGGAACTGGAGGATGCCCCAACACTGGGATCACCAGGCCGAAAGGTCTTGCACAAGCAGAGAGGGTCCTTCTCCTCTTTCGACAGCATGCAGCGCAGGGGTTCCATCACATCCTCAGGGGCCAGCAGAATATCCAGGACATACTCCATGTCGTTTTCTTCCTCAAGATCCTCCACTATCGGGATCGATTGGAAGACAGCCATTGACTGGAAAACACAAAAGGTCGAGGCACACTGTGCCCTCGAGGCCGACCCCCAGGTCCTCCGCAGCAAGCCAACCTACCTGGTCGTCACCCAGGATTACATCGTCAAGATGAAGACCAAGAACGAGGCCCTCACAACCTTCCCCCAGATAAGCTCCGGCCAAGCCGGCAAGGAGAGCACGAGCCTGGTGCCCCCGCCGGAACCGATGCTGGTCATCCCCGTCCACATGGTCGTTTCCGTCTTCTTCGCCGAGAGCTCGCGACCGTCGTTTGGCATCGAGATATGGTGGAGGTCAAGCTCCGCCAGGGCCGCCTACAACAGCACCCAGATATTTTTCTGCCTCCCCAAGGAGCGCTCAGACCACATGGCCAAGATCTCCCAGCAGCTCAAGGCCAAGAACCAGGAGTTCCCCGAGGCGTCGCTCGTCCCGCTCGAGGTTGAAGCTCAGATCTTCAAGATCTTTGCCGAGGAGGAGCCCGGGTTCAAGACGTGCAAGCCAGAGATATTCCCCGTGGTCAGGAGGTCTTCGGTCAAGGACGATACCCACTCCAGCAAGCTGGACAAGACGCGCAAGGTCCAGGACGGCTCATCCTGGTTCCTGGCAGTGGGGAGGAACCTCTGTTATTTAGTTGAGGCTGGGCCCGGCTCGCCGCTGGACGTGAGGTACCAGTCTTTTGGCCTGGTAAACTTGGAGGCTTTCCGTGCCAACTGGACCATCCACGAAGAGCGGTTCGTGGTGAGCTTTCGGTAAGTCTGGTGGCTCTCGTGGTTAAGCAGCAAGTAGACCCTTTTCCTAACACATCACAGTGAGCCTTTCAAGCCTGCAGTGACCCTCGAGTTGGCCAGCAGGTACTACCGCCAAATAGTCATCACCTTTATGAAAGCAGATAGGTTCCTGAAGCCATGCTGGCCGACAACTCTGCAGACCATGGAAGTTTTCCGTGTGACAGGTCTCACGGATCCACAGCTTCTCATCCCTGGAGACAACTATGGGGGTCTCAGGCGGACTTTGGACGCATTTCTTGTCGCCTATCACTGTTCGCCGGTAGAGTGGGAGATCAACTGGAAGACTGCACTTGCCCCCGAGTTCCGACTGCTTCCGCTCAAGGCCGGAAATACCTATACCATTTTGCAGCTCCTGGCAGTCATGAGGTCCTTGCGATATAATGGGTACTTCAACTCGATCTCTTTCAATGGCGTCGACCTTACTGGATTGTGGGATAAGACGGATCTCCTAGGGAAGACGTCTATCCCATATATGAACCGCAGTTGTGAGTCTACTTCCACGGATATGATGCCGTCCTGGACGCAATGCTGACAATTTGACAGGCATTGCTCTTACTGAAGTTGAACTCGGCCCGGTAAAGTTCGGCTCACTCCTGCATCAAGAGTTGCACGGCCTAGCATTTTGCTCCGAGACCGTCCGCCAGATAGATTTCACCAACTGCTTCCCCGAGAACTCGGTTCGCAGGGAGATGTCAGCGTCCGGGAAATGGCCCGCCTTCTTGTTTCCCATACTGAACCTGCTGGAGCTGGGCCTGACAAAATGCAATCGACTGCTGCTGAGCGGAAACTACCTGCGCTCAGCAGATGTTGAGGGTCTGAGTAAGTGTCCTTGTATCTCCTGCATTAACTGCAACTCGCTGACTAGGTGACAGTCGAGGCACTGATGACCCAGACCGTTGAGATTCAAAGCCTCGATATCTCCAACTGCGGTCTGTCTGATCTTGCGCTGCGGGATATTTTTGAGGTTTTGTTCCATCAGGGACACTCGCTGCAATACCTGGATGTTTCTGGCAATCGCGGGCGGCTGCACGCCTCAGCGTTGGCCAATATGATGCAGGTTATATTCGATCTTCGGACGCTCAACGTCTCTGGCATCTTGATGGGCGATATTCCAGGTCCCTTGTTCTCCTTCGAGACACTCTCGCGCTTCGAGAACCTCGAGGAGCTGGACCTGTCCAAGTTCAAGGTAGGCTCGAAATCAAGACCTTTCAGGTTGTTGCTAGACAAGGCCGGCTGACAAGTTCAGATGAATGATGCAACTCTGCACGTTCTAGAGGCATTCCTCGCGCAGAAGCCGCTGCCCTGCGAGCCTCAACAACTCGATCGCGCCGACTCTCGCAACAAGAGCCCTATTAACCCAGCCTGCACGATCCGCAAGATCGCACTCAACAACTGCAGCATCAACGGCCGTGAGGCTGCCCGCCTCATCCGTGCCTTGAGTAGACACACGAATGCGCACCTGCATATCAGTGGCAACCCGCTCGAGGACGGGATCGAGGACCTGTGCCGGGCAATCTCGTCGACACCGGGGCCTGCAGGGTTGCACATGGATATGGTCGAGTTCAGGGAGGAGGCAAGCTTCGTGGCCCTGATGAAGGCGCTGTCGGTGAACCGGAACATCTCGTTCCTGAGCATGGCAGGGACAGCACCGATACCGCCGGCCGATGCGCCGTGTGGTGCCGAGGTATGCGAGGCGCTGGAGGATTTCTTCACCAAGAACACGTTCGTCAATTTCCTGGACCTGTCCGGGTACAGCGGCAAGCTGGACGAGGGCCAGCTGGGCAAGGGGTTCGCGCGGGCGCTGCGGGGCCTGGCGTCCAACAGCACGCTGACGCACCTGCGGATCCGCAACCAGAACCTTCACGACGACGTGGGCACGCTGGGCAGCGTGATCCGCCTCAACAACACGCTGCGCATGGTGGACTGCCAGGACAACAGCTGGAACCTGACGAGCATCCAGTTCCTGGCCAAGAGCCTGCGGCTCAACCGCAGCGTGGTCGAGTTCCCCTTCGAGCAGCGCGAGTATGACCGTGTCTGGCGGCGCGTGTCGGCCGACGTGCGCCGCCAGACCGGCATCAGCAAGGCGGCCATGGCCACCCAGAGCGGCCAGGAGAGCGCCCTGCGCGCCGCCCTCGACAAGCAGGTCCAGGAGCTCAAGGACACGGTGGCGCGCAACCGGCTCGCCCTGGAGATCAACTCGCCGTTCGTCATCGACCATGACGAGTCGTCGCGCGCCGGGCCGGGCGGCAAGGGCTGGCCGAGCCTCGAGCTCAAGATCCCGAGCACCAACCAGTCCAGCCTGCTGCCGCCGCACCTGACCGCCGCCAACCAGCAGCTGCTTCAGCCCGCGGCCGTGGTCACGGCGGCCACCACGCCCAGCCCCGCGCGCCTGCTGGATCTGGACCTCGACGCAGACCTCATGTACACCCCCGTCGACCCGCAGCACCAGCACCAGCACCAGCAGGCCCGGAAAGGGCCAATGATGCACCTGCACACCGTCCCCGCGACGGTGCGCTACGATGCCGTCGAGGTCGACGACGTCGCGGCGCCATACCACGTCGGCAGCGACGAGGGGATCCTCGAGACGCCGCCCGGCGGGCTGAGCCCCAACGAGGAGGCCGGCGCCGCGAGCCCCGAGGTCCCCGTGAGCCCGCGCACCCCGCCGCCGTCCGCACAGGCGATGATGATGGTGTCGCTTTCGAACGACAAGGGGGACGCGGCAAAGGACGCGACAAAGGACGCGACGAGGACGCCGCCGCCGCCGTCTCCTGCCGCCGGGTCTGGCCTGGCCATCTCGGGGAACTTGCCCCGGGCTGTCATGTCTGGGTTTGACTCTGGGCCTTACTTTGGGGGCCAGAACTTTATTGGGAGTCGATTTAAGGTTGTCGGTGGGCTTGAGGCTCACTTGGAGGAATAGGAGAGAAAGGATTGATGTACGGAACGAGTGTGGCCTTCGTGTTGTATTTGGGAACTGCAGACCTTGAAACTCGGTAATGTGGGATCGCATGGTGCAATATGTGAATTGGGGGGGGGGCACTTTGGTAATGCATGGTGGATCTAACGGCTGGCTGGCTGACTGCATTGGCGTTCATTGGTGTAAAAGCTGCTGTTGCTTTGTTTGTTTTTTGTGCGGGATTTAGAGATACCCTTTAGATACTTTATGTTTGGTCAGTCAAATTGTCTGTTTCGATTAAGTCTTGCACTATGATGGGTGAGCAGATTATGTGTGGACGAACCCTGTTCGGATGGTCGCTGTACGGCTATGGCATATGTCTTGTAGCCTCATCTATGATAGAAGAGCCTTCTACCTGTAAGGTTTACCCTCTTATGCGACGATTTCTTATAAGGAAACATCCTCCAGGATAATCGTCTTTAAAACACTTCCGTACAAAAGATTTGCGGAGCCTGTTTCTACAGAATAGCAAACCGGAGATTAGGATATTACTTAGGTAGTGCCGTGGTAAGAATACATGTGGTATTTATATCGAGAATGGCATCGAGTATGAACAATAAATCAAAGCTGTTTTATGTTGTAGTGCTTAGAGACGTTACTGTCGGCAACTAGAATTGTACACGGAGAGAAGTGGCATTCATTGCCCCCTGTCTGGCAACTGCAAAAGACGTCTTATACAGACTTACACGGTAGGTACGGAGTACCTCGGGAGGCTCACGAGTCAATACACACAGTGCTGGAGTACCTGGTGACAGGGGTGTGTCATGCGGCAACTTCTCGCTTGGCCGGGCCCCGGGCAGGTGGGGCGACCAAGGAAACAGGGGCATGACCAGGCGGGCAGGCGGGCAGCTCCGTCCATCTGCCCCTCACCCCGATCCGTCCCCTCCCCCACGCAATTGCCGCATTCCAGTCAGTCAGTCAACGCAGCGTCATCGCTCCCATCCACCCCCCGACTCCGACTCGGCCAGCTCAGCCTCACGACCAACGTCCCAACCACCACGCATGGTCCACAGAACACCTCGCCCAGACAAGCCGCCCTACCCAGTCAGCCTCGTAGCCTCGCCGACGCCTCGAACGCCCGAGCCACGAGGATGGAGAAGGCCGCGGAACCAAAGATACCGCACGAGTTCATCCTCGACGCCTTTGCCGACCCCACCTCGGTCCGAGATGTCGTTCGCGGTATGGCATCCATCTCCACACACACACCCGCACACCAAGCATATGCATGTCCATGTGCGCGCGGCTTTGCTTTTGGACCTCGGGCCTAGCCTCGTCCGTCACGACGCCGTGTCTATCGAGGCTCGGTGCTCCTGACAGTGCTCCTGACAGCGACAGCTAGCTCCCTTGGATGCCTTTGCCCTTGGCCCTCCTCCCACCCCACGAGACCCAAAGAAAATACTGACGTCGCAGTAAAACACAAACAGGTATCCTCCACACAATCTTCTTCCACAGATACTTCCCGACAATCACGCCCCAGACCCACGAGGTCCTAGACCTCACCCTCCCCTACGTCGCCGAGCCCGAGCTCGAGACCCTCATCGCCCAGCGCACCGCCACCCTGCTGCGCGAGCTCGACGCCGACAGGACCCAGCAGCAGCGCTCCTCCTCCCCGTCCCTGCAGCAGCAGGCCCGCGCCGTCGTCGGCGGCTTCCTAGGGTCGCCCTCGCCCAGCAGCCCCAGCCCGTGGGGCGGGGGCGGGGGCGGGGGCGGGGGCAACAGTAGTGCTGCCAACGGCGGCGGCCGGGGGCAGGTGTCGGTCCAGTTCATGGAGAAGACGCGGCGGCGCAAGATGTGGTACAAGGGCGACGAGGAGGTGTGCTGGGAGAGCTGGACCATCAGGGTCACGGTTGCCGAGCCCAGGACGGAGAATGGTGAGCCTTCTTCACCGCCCCCTTCCCCCCTTCATTGCGCATACTCCACGTACATGTAGCAAGCAAGCAAGCAAAAGCAGGACGAGACAGTCTTCTAACGCGGACATCCCCAACCAAATACAGAGCGCGCAAAGGTCCGCAAGGCCATGGAGACCACCCTCCTCACGACAGTCATGAAGATAATCACCTCCGTAAACAGCTTCAAGGACCACATCCCGCCCATAACCACGACGGAGACCAACCCCTTCCCCTACAACATCACAGTCAACCAGAAGGAGGCCGTCGGCGGCGCTGCCGTCGCCGCCACAGGCGGTGGTGGGTGGGGCGGCCGGTTCGGAGGACTGTACTGACAAGACGAAGACAAGACAAGACAAGACCCAGACCAGGCCGACGGGGAAATCAAATACTTGGCCCTCCCGCGTCGTATATCTTTCTGCTTTAGTTTCAACACTTTTTACGACTCTCGCCAACCGCTGGCTGGGTGCGGCATTCTGCGGTCTTCTTTGTTTCGAGGTTATAGAGACTGGGCGCGCGGGCTGCGGGCGTTTGGTGGCGTTTGCTGATAGAAGGAGATATGTTCCTGCGCGACTCGCCTGGACACGATATACACATGAGCGAGACAGTGACTCCATCCGAGTGCGGATGCTGGCTTGGTTGATTGCTCGGTGGCATAGGAGCCGAGCTAATGTAGATACCCATGCGATCACAACATGATACTACGTATATTTTGTCTATGTGTGGCGGCTACCATACCGAGGCACCCTCCGTTCAACATTGCTGATGTGACTCGGCTTAACGTGTATGTCTTGTGCCAATCTTATCCAGCACGGAAATAGGTCACATGGACATCTAAGAATCACACTCAGGGGGGGGGGGGGCTAGTTTGGCTACACTCAGGAAGCATGTTGTCAAAATAAAGCTCGATTATCTGCAGAGCCCAAGGCAGGCTGGCCGATCCAACACCCCTCCATGTACTATACTCAAACAACGCATCGGTTGGTGTGGTTGCCCAAGTCCTGTACCGCAAAACACAATATCCTTTCCATACCTGTTCGCACCATGCTATACCATCCATTATCCTGGGTTCCAAAAGGAGGGTATAGGAACCGTCCACATGTCCAGGACTCCGCGCGAAAAGTGACTGAAAAAGACCAAACCAAACCAAAAAATCAGAAGATGTGGCTCAAGGCCCATCGCAAGTAAAACAATATGCTCGCTCGCTAGCTAAAACCCGTATTCCCTTGACCATGGCCTGCGGGCGTTTAGGACGCCATGAAGAACTATGCCTGACAAGTAATTGTCGTGTGCATCGTGAGGTTCGTATGATTACTGTAACTCAGCTTTAGGGCCAGGGACCATATTCAACAACCCTGAGGCCCCGAAGTACCCCCAGGACAATTTGTCTAGCTTTGAAGGTGGCTGAAGAGGCCTGCAGGCTTCTAGCCAAAGCGATGCAGGGTAGCAGGGCCATAGGCCTCAGCACCGGCGGGGACTTCGCCAATGCTTCGGAAGGTTTGAGTGAGATCCAACGCGTTCGAGTCGTCAGATCCAAAATTTTCGAGATCTATCTCATTGTCCAAGCCATCCGCATTCTCGGAGACGATCCAGTTCTCTGAATCGTAATCTGGGAGCTTGCTAACGTCGGGCAAGTATTTGCTTGGGGATGAAAGGAGCTTGCTGGGGGATGCAAGATTCCATGCAGTATTCTCGTCGATAGGCGGGAAGAGGGGGAAGGCCTTCAGAGGAGACGCAAACTTGAAAGGAGAAGCGATCGGCTTGCGGTTCCGCCTATCACTCATGATTTCATCGAGCATTCTTCCGGCTGAGTTGGCCAGAGGAGACTCGGATTCTGGGAGCGACACCTCGTCCTCCCAGATGGCGAAGGACGCCTTGCTTTGACGACCAGGGAACTTCTTGTTGTAGTCGCGTACCTGCTGTGGCGTTTCAAGCATCTCTCGAATGTTTGCCCGAAGTTTGTCGTGTTGACGGATGGGTGATGTGTTGTACTTTGAAGTCGTCTTGGGAGGTGCAAGTGTTGTTGCGCCTGTGAGACGTGCCACAGACTTCTTCGTGTTGGCTGGTGTCTTGACAGCCGCGGGCAGCTTGGAAGGCGAGGCCCGGTATCGTAACGGGGAGCCTTTGCCAACAGGGGAGGAAGACGGCGGCAGCATGCGAGACTTGGGCTTGGAAGGGCTGACTGGCGAAGATGCGCGCAGCTTTCTGATGGCGTCTTCAGCGCGTCCGCCGCCCTGGAATTGGTGTATGTCCGCCTCAGATGAAAATACGGGCGGCCTTTGTTGGCCGTATCGCATGATCGACGACTCGAGATTGGTCATATAGCCACTATCAATCATTGAGCCGCGCTTGCGGTTGCCGGATGTGCGGCCGGACGAGCCCACCACCCTGGCAGTGCGGGTGGGTGTGTCGCTTGGGATAGAGACATGCCCGGAGATGGACGGAGGAGAAGAGCTCAATGTAGCGTCCAGAGAGTTGTAGTCCTCCTGGCGGTCATTGGCGGCTTCAAGTTCCTCGAAAGCCTGATCAGAGGCGGGAATAGTTGCATCTGAGGACAGTTCGGGCTGAACGGGCGCCGGCGGTTGCAACTTCGGCAGCGGCGGAAGGTGCAGCTGGAAATTAGACGGCTGAGGTGGCAACATTGGCTCTTGGTGAGGCGGAGGCAGAGCAGACGGCTCGAGACGGGCGGTAGAGGGCACTGCCATACTCTTGCCAAGGATAGCCCCCTCGGTGCCGGACCTCTCCTTCAGGTACACGTCGAGCAGCTCGCGCTCGTTCCCAGGGATGATGAGCCAATAGTTTCCCTTGCCGGGGTCATCCTTGGCCCGGGCCTGCTTTTCGAAGAACTTCTTGTGAAGGCTCAGGTTGTGTCGAATGCTGTTCTCCCAGGTATCGTCTTTGCGATAGTAGCACCACGTCGTCCTGATGAAGTCGTAGATCTGGGCCAAGGTCCGGCGTCGCCCAGGAGCCTTCCAGATTGCCAGTGCGATCATCTGAGCGTAAGTGTACGGAGGCTTGCTGTTTTCCTCGCCAGGGTCGACGGCCGGGAAGGACTCGGCATCCGGGATGGGCACAGGTGTGCGATGGCGTCCAGGTTCGTCCGTCTTTGATCGCTTGTGGGCCTTCCTAGGCGAGGTCGCTTCGAGGGTAGGGGAATCGGGCAAATGGCGCTTGGCAGCATTTGCATTCGGGTCACGCTGGCCAAGAGCACCGGGGGGCGTCTTGACACCGGATGGAGCTGGTAGCAAAGGCTGATTGCGCGACGATGGTGCAGCCACAGACTTTGATCTGACAATCTTTCGTGGAGTTTGTGGAGAGTTCTTGTTCATCGAATCCGTTGTGGGCGCCGGGCGGTTGGATACAGGTGGAGCCAGGACTGGGCCGTTGGAGATGAAGGGTGAGCCTGTCTTGGCGGGATTGGGAGCGAGAGATGGATGTGAGAAGGTCATATCTGGAGCGCTCAGGGCGGGGAATTCTGTGCTGTTGAAAGCACTGGTCGCTGGATCGTACAAGCCGTTGGCCAGATACTGCTCGGCTGAAGAATCGAAAGAGCCCGGGAAGGTCGCCGCTGGTAACCCGGACATATCATAGGATCCCGACGAGTTCATGTGGCTGGAGTCTTGTTGTTGGTCGAAGTGCTGGGCTGGCATCTGGTAGCTCATATCACCGAATAGGGACGGGCCAGAAGTCGACATCAGATCGAATGATGGCTCCGGGAGAGGCGAGTATGACTTCTTGTGAAAGCTAGGTTGTGAGCGACGGCGCTGACCCGAGTAGTTGGGCATGGGAGCGCTGTTTGGATTTGAGCCGGCAGTGAACGACTGCGAGTGGCCCCTGGCAGTGGGCAAAGACGGTCGCGCTGAGTTGGCGACGCCGTCGCCGTACCGGGCGTTGCGGACCATCGCTGGCGACGGTGGTGGACCTGCTTGTCTCAAACCAGGCCCGGGGGTGAGTGGCGTTGATCCAGGTGCACAAGGCGCGATAGTGATAGCTGATAGCGAGGAGAGCGGAGAGAGATTGCGACTTTGAGGTTCCAAAGTTAGTAAGTGGGATCAACGAGTTAACAGGTAGGAAGCGAGAGGTTACTCTGCTCAAAGAGGGGAAATACTTTTAATTAGCAGCTGGCAGTGGGGCGCCCCAGGCAAGGGAGGATGTGCCAGATAGGGTAGCGGTAATGAGCAGAGGATTGGATGTCTCGGGCGAGACGGTCGAATTCCGGTTGATTGAAGGCGGGTTGGCAGCACCAAATCGTACTTATGGAGGCTGTGGACGGTGTGAGCAGGAGTCGTCGAGGGCGAGAAGCAAGAGGACAGCAGCAGGACGGGCTGGTGGAAGCGTGGGAGCGTGGTGAGAGTGACGACGGGACGATGGGTGGGATGGAGGAGCAAGACGGGAAATGTGGGAAGCAGATGGTACAGCGTGGTATGGGGTACTTGAGCCGGGCTGTAGCGACAAAGTGGGCACCTAGGCACTAGGATAGCGGGCAGCTGGTACGGTACATGCAAGTTGCGCCGTCCAAGGATACCTTTCCTATGCACTACCCGGGCAGGTACGGCGCAGGGTTGAGGTAAGGTTGGCACTGACCTGGGCGGCAAGGAAGGGGGGGCCTGGCCTGCCTTGAAGCGAAGCTTGGAAGACCAGGGAAGAGCGGAGGGGAGGGGGATTGCACGCGGGAGACGGCGGGCAGTGTGGGCAGATGAGATTGACGAGACGAGGACTGGGATATTATGGAGCAGCGACGAGGTGATGGAGTTGGGCCTCGGACTCGACCAGACTCGAGTCAAGCCCACTCAAGTTCAGTTCAAGTCAGGTCGAGGCGACGTGAGTTGGGCCTGCAAAGCATGGAGTACAAGCAGACTCAGACTCAGACTGGCTGGCTGGCTGGCTGGCTGGCTGGCTGGCTGGCTGGCTGCTCTGGACCTGGCTCTTCTTGGGAGCCGATAACAAGAGAGATGAAGCTGACATGAGGCTTGGGTGGAGCAGACGAGCAGATCAGGCAACGCCGGTGCCCAGAGCAGAGCAGAGCAGAGCTGAGAGAGGAAGACTGACTGACTGGGACGAGTCGACGAGAGTGGACAGCGGCACTTACAAGAAGAGGACCCACTGTCAGCATTCCAACAAGACCAGGGTTTGTTCAGTCCAGCCTTGGGCTGACAAGTGCTGAGAGTATCTGGCGATTTATGGGCTGGTTGCTTTGAGCAGATTACGCTCTGGTGGGACTCAAAACTGGTTTGCTGAGAGCAAGCACCGAGCAATCCAATCCAAAAAAAAACCAAAAATCAATCGAGGGTTGAACGGGACGAGGGTGAGGCAGGAGAAAGTGTGTGCGAGCGTGTGCGATTGTAGGTGTCGAGAGGAAAGTTGTGCGCGACGGCAGGACGGCCAGTCGATGTCGAGATATCTGGTGAGACCTATCCAGTTCAGTCCAGTCCGTCCAGTCCACTTGCAGTCAGTCCAAAGCCCAGGTCAGCAGAACCCACCTGCGACAGAGAGGCGCCAGTCAAAAAAGAAGCAGGGACGAGCGAGACAGCAGACGGGATGGTCGATGGATGGGTGGATGGGTGGATGGATGGATGGATGATGGATGATGTGTGCAGGGGGGAGGAGCTGATGGGACGGGCGCAAGAGCAGCAGCAGCAGCAGCAGCAGCAAGAAGGACCTAGCGGACAGGGGATCGCGTGCAGACAGATAGAACAGAGGGCAGAGGTGCAGGGTGCAGGGGTGCAGGACATGGCCTGGCCCGGTGGGGAAGGAGCTGCAATGCGTCACCCAACGATTGGCTGGCGGGGACCCGCTGTGCGACGCGACAATGCGTGCCGTTCGTGATGGATTCTAATGTGGGAGGGTGGATGTGACGAAACAGGACAGAGCAGGCAGAGCGAGATAGGCTTGATAGGGCAAGATGGCAGAGGGCAGCCACATGCAACTCCAAGACAGCCCAAGGCGCCGCATGAATACAGCTACTGCACTCTGTCAACCGCTGAGGCCCGATCGAGGGCCGACGCTCGAGGACTGACGACCAGTCCACGGCACAGCCGACCGTCCACAGCAGTTGGCGCTCGTCTGCTGGAACCTGCGACGCTTCACTGCACTGCCCAGGTGGTGCAACAATCATGTACTATTGGAGTAGGTGCCACAGTATGATCGGCCTTGGGTGCAACCTGCCAGCCTGCCAGGCCCTCTCCTCGAGAGGGTGGTACAAGCGCTTAACAAACCAGGTACGGAGTACAACCATCAAGATCAAGCAGTACTGTGGTAGACAGGCAGGGCTGGCAGGGGCCCAGGCACAGGGAAGCCGTTCTAGAGCACAATTAAACTCGTAAGTGGTTGCATGCCTCTGCCGTCCAAATCTCCTGGAAAAAGTCACCCATGTAACCGTCTCTTGTCCATCACGACTCGCGAGGCGCCCTTCCTCTGGTCCAAGACTCCTTATCGCTGCGGCTTGCACGGGACCCAACAGCACACCTTACCCACGACTTTGACTCCCCCAAGCCCGCCCCGTCAGCCCGCCAGCCCGCCAGCCCGTCAGGTTACTCCCGAGGAGGCCCCCATCGTGTTGCAGCACGCCAAAGCAACTCTCGTCCACTTGGCCCGACCTCGACCCCACGAGCCATGCGACTCTTGTGCTGTCCGTCCTGTCGTCCCGACGCAGGTCCAGCCAGCCATCCGACCTGAAACTTATCAACTGGCCCACTCTGTCTGTTTCTCTCCTCTTCCATCCGCGACTCGTCTCGACTCGACTCGTCTCCTCTCATCTCCTCTCCTCGTCTCTTCCAGCCTTCTTCTTCCCTGCCAGCGCATCGCTGCTCACGACACGGGTGCGCACATGGAAGCCCAACCAGTGGATGTCAAATGATCGCCTGATAGCCACGCCACGAGGAATCCAGGGGACACCCCCGTGAGGCCGCCCCCTCCGGCCCCTCCAGACCTTCGTCCCACTGCCTGACTGCCCATCATCTCGAGGCTTGCCGGCGCAAATTCGCATGTTGGCCCCATGCCGAACTTTGCTGGCCGTCAGATCGAGATCTGTCCAAAGACGGACGCTCCTCATCAAAACCCATGCTTGACACCTGCCCGACCAACCGACCTGCCGACATGCGCAGATCCCTCCCTCCGCCGGCGCACGGCGCAAGGGGCGCTTGCTACCAGAACTACACTACTACCCAGATGCCAGACCACCTAGCCTTATTAGCCTTGGCTAAGCTGGCGAGATTTGGGAAAATGCTGCACTCTAGTCTAGCACCCAATGAACCATGTCTTCCGACGAACTCGGCCTATTTCTCCTAGCCGTTTCATGCGTTGGCAGGCTGAGCGGTCCATCTTCCCGGCTTTTTTTTTTTTTTCCTTGTCAGTTTTTTTTTCTCCCTCTTTGGTTCCCATCGTGGTTCTTCTCGAGTCCATGCGCCTGGGGCAGATGCTATTCTGGCTGTCTGGACGAACCCCGGCAGCTTGACGGTATCCACCCACGCGAGTCTTCTTTTTCGGTATCCACCGGATCGACGATCGCTCGCTCGGCTGTGCCGTTGGAATCGAGCCCGAGCGTCCCCCAGCCGGAGCCCAAACATTCCAAGGTTCTGGAATTCTACCGTACACTACGGGGCACAGTAGGCATGGTAGGGCACACTACGGCAGGGGTCGGCAGGCTAGTTAGTCTTCTTAGTCTTCACAGTGACAGGGTGATCCACAGTATCATCGTGGAATCACGAAAGAGTCATCGCCTGATGTCCCCATTCTATTCTGCATGAGCCACACTGGATCTACACTACTGCGGTACAACGGACACATCGATGCAGCCTCTGCTCCGGACAGACCAAAAAGAAACTTGAAACACACAAATGAGGGGGGGATGTCGTGGGTTGCATTATCAACTCATGTCTGGGCAGTGGGCACACAGACGCCCACCTGCACCTGCACCCTGCACCTGCAGCCCCCATCTCCGTCCCGCGAACTGGGGCAGAGGATGGATTGTCAGAGCGCATATCGCACATGCAGCCTCCGACTCGACGTGTCCCGGGGTCATTTGCAGGGCCCTGGTCTTGTTGTCTATCACAGTCGCATCCGTGCCAAAAAGTTTCGAACCCCGATTATCAGTGCGCCGCTGCAATCAATATAGCGGCCGGGGCCTCAGACTGCCAATCTGCCAAAGTGTTTGCATCGTCCGTGGGAGTCCCAGGCTCAAAAAGAGAGAGGGACCACCACATTTCTGCGCCGGCCGTTTCATACCGACTGAGCGGTGAAGTAGTTGCAACCTAATGTTAATTATCTCTTGCGTAGCACGAATCCGAACCAAGCCGTCAGGGCCGTCTGGGCGTGGCATGTGAGCCGGTGCAAAGATACCACCAGGCCACGCCCATGGACACCAGTTGGCAGCTGACAGCTCGCCAACGCACTTAAAACTCGCCGGACGTCTGGACGAGAGGGGTTGAGGAGGACGATTAGGCCGCTTTGTAGGCCTCCCCAAGCCGCCACGGGGCGCATGGCGCAGGCTCACGCCTTTGTTATTCCCAATGTTTACTCGGACCAGGGAGCTGAGACGCGTGCGTTTGGGCGCCCTCATGGCCCCCAGAGGCCGCGATAAAACTCGAGATATCCGGCCCTGATTGTCCCCGCCGGTTCCAGAGGCCCATGCGCCCATCTAACGGCCACCTCTGACCTCGCTGCCGTCCACTTGCCGAAGGACTGTGACGTCGGACCCCGCAGATCAAGGTTGGGATGAAGTCGCGCGTCGCGCCCGCAAGTCGCGACGCGTGATCTTGGCGCGACGGCCGCGAGGACATGGGACCCTTGCTAGTCTGTCCAAGTTACTCCGTACCTGCTCTCGCAGCTCCTAACCCTGCTTGCCCACCTACCGAGTTGATCACAAGCTGCACCGCCCGGCATCCATCCCACCTCAGGGCCATGCAAGCACTTACACAGTCCACCCGGATCCCCACGAAGCCGGTATGGAAAGATAGAATGGCGACACAAGAAAAACAAAATTCCCCGATGGAAAGGTAATTAATCCTGCATGCAGGCTTCCTTCCAAAGCCAAATCCACTATAGTGCGAACCATTGCGCCATCCATCAACCTTCACCAACGGCAAACCCCTTTTTGCCCTCTCTCTCTCTGGCTCTCTCGTAAAACTCACCTTCCAGAAGCCAGATTGATCAAATCCTCCGCTTACCCTGTGCCGCACCCAATCTCAAAATCGACCCATCAAGACCCTCACAAGTCCATTCCTTTGGAAAAAGGTTCAGACCATAGTGCGGGGTACACGCCCAGCTACTATTTATAACCCGACCCAGATATTAGATCAACCATCACCAACAGACAGTACAAGTACACAGTCCGATCCATCCATCCATCCATATCAAGGTAAATCCATATCGAAAGCAGACCAATCCGTATGGCCCAGTCTGCCTACGTACATGCAGTATGCAGTCAGACAGCCACTACTACCAAACATTTCCAAACAAAAATAATATGTGTAATTTCACCTACATGCGCCACCACGAGAGCTGAGCTGCACGGCCCGGGGGGGAGGGTACCACCAACCTGCCTGCCAGCCCGCAGCAGCAGGAGGAATGTTTCTTGACGCAATTGACCCAGCGGTTGATGAGCGCCAACGTTGACACACAAATTTGAAGTAGGTCATCTCGGCATGCCGATAATTGTAGGTAGCAAGTACTAGTAGTAGTAGATATCAACAAATCGTAGTCGATAGTGAAGTGCTGCCTTGCAGCTCAACCGTCCACTAGTGCAAACTGCCGACGATATACATGGATTTAGATGCAGCATGCGGTATCTAACAAGAGAGCAAGAACGAGAGGCTCTGCGTTGATGGTGACACAAATGCAACAAATAGACATACATCACGTGGGACAAGTGTGGACTTCGACGTGCACGTAAACTTGCTGAGGCTTCATGAATCGATGCTATAGTATACACAAGATGCAGGACAGCAATGAGGACAGCAGAAACAACAGTAAAAAACACATTAAAAGCAGAAACGACAGTCTGGTCCCCTCGTCCTGCCCCAATTCTTCCTCTATTGCTGCGTCCCTCATCCGTCTTTCTCGATCTCATGCTTGCTCCAGAATCCAACCAGGGACACGCGAGAGTCTCACCTGTCGATGATAGACACCTTCTCTCTAGATAGGCACCGTCTCTCTGCCTAAGCCCCATCCTGGACCTCCTCATACCAATCGTCCACCAAGTCCCGCGCATCATTAACACAAGCCAGATACTTCCCAACGTCAACGATCGATTCGCTATCCCCAGACAGCCTTCTCGCCTCACGGACACAGTCGAGGTAATCCTCAACATCAACAACTTCCCCATCATACTCTGAGCTCTTGAATGTCACCCTCTTCTTCTTCTTCCTCCCCCGGCTTCTGGGTGGCTCCAAATCACACTTCTAATCCAGCACCCGTCCAGCAACAGCCGCAGCACTCTTATCCTTAGTAGTGGTCTTCTTCAAGGCCCTGCCCGCCTGGATTTCGCCCAGGAACCCAGCTGGTCGCCCACCTGAGGGGGGTGCCGGCGCCGGAGGACCACCGGCTGGGGGTGGGGGTGGAGGAGGGGGTGCCATCCCTGGGATAGGAGGCGGCGGCGGTCCAGGGGGTGGCGGAGGTCCAGGCGGCGGCGGGGGAGCGCCACCTTCCGTTGGCATCGGGGGCGGAGGTGGTGGAGGCGCGGCGGGCGCTCCGCTCGGCTCGGGACTTGCGACCTCAGGCATTGGAGGAGGCGGTGGTGGCGGCGCGGCTGGTGCGGGCGAATCGGTCGTCTCGGGCGCCGGCTCCGGGGCTGGAGGAGCAGGAGGTGGGGGAGCGATCGGAGAGCTTTGGGCCGGTGAAGCCTTGTTATCCATGGCAGACAGCGGCCGAGGAGGGCCCATGGTGCCGAACAGGATCGACGCCAGCGCTGCAGCTCCCTGGCCTGGCCTATCGTCATCGTCCGAGTCGTCGTCGTCCTTGTCATTGTCGCTTCCCCAGTCGTCGCTATCGGCGCGTGTGCGAACAAAGGGCTTGGGCGGCTCAGCGGGGCCGGCAGACTTGGCCTCCTGGGTCATACGGTGGAACGGGTTGGTCGACTCCGCAGGTGCAGCTGGGGCCGCTGGCTGAGGCGGCGCGGGCGGCGGGGCGGCAGGAGATGCCGCAGGTGAATCAGACGGCTGGGTCATCATCTTGAAGAATGGGTTGCGGCTCTCTGAAGAGTCCGTGGGAGGGCTGACCACAGGAACAGCAGGTACGCTGGGCGGCGTGGCCTTGGGCTCCAGCTCTTGGCTGGCAACGGTGGGAGTCGACTCCTGTGGCGTGATTTGCTGAGGCTGGTCATCGTCGTCAGAAGAACTGTCGTCGTCGTCCATGGCCTGGAGTTGTCGCTGAAGTTCTTCTTCGCGCTTCCGGGCCGCCTCGATCTCAGCACGTCTTGCAGCCAGCTGGGCCTCCTTCTCCTTGGCCTCGGCAAGAGCAGCCTTCTTCTTGCGCTTCTCTTCGTCCTTCTTGAGCTTGCCTTGGCGGACTTGCTCCTCCAGAGCTTTGAGGCGGGCATCGGCCTCTGCACGCTCCCGAGCAAGCTCGTCTTCTTGTTCCGCTGCTTGTTGTCTGCTGCCATTAGTATATCCCGTGGAATTGGAACTGTGATGCACATACTCGAGCTCTTGCCTCTCCTGGCTTTCCTGCTGGCGTTCCTGTTCGAGACGCTCCTCCTCCGCCCGCCTCGCGGCACCGTCATCCTGCTTCGGCGCAGCCTTCCTGCTTGGAGGCGCTGGTGGGGCCTTCTTGCCCTGAGACTGAGGGGTCGGCACTCCCATCTCCTGATCGAGGCGAGCCTGACGCTCCGCATCTCGGCGGGCGTCCTCCTCCTCAGCTTGGCGAAGCTTCGCGGCCCGTTCGGCACGCTCACGCTCCATCCGCTGGGCGGCGGTCTCACCAGGCTTCGAGGGGGCTTTGATCCCGAGCGCTGCAAGACGCTCGGCCATACGTTGCTCAGCTTGCTGTCTGATGAAGGCTGCCCGCTCCTCTGGGGTCTTGTAGGCCGAGTACGACCCTCCAGCAGTCGGTGTAGCGTTGCGAGAGCTGGGAGCTGGGCTTTCCGCAGGAGCTGCCGGCTCGGCGGCACGGGCGGGCTGAGCAGAAGCGGGCGTTTCCCTGCGCCGGTCCTGGTTACGCACGCGTGCTGCTCTGCTCTCTCGTTGCAGGTCGAAGATGAAATCCCTGACCTCATCCTCCACCCCGAGGGCGTCCTCCCATCTTCGCTTTTCGTGCTCGTTCGAAGCAGATGGTGCACCTTCCTTGAGCGCGTCTTCGAGTCCTCTCGCGAATTCGCGGACACTATCTTCGACATCACGAACCATGCGCTCGTTGTTCTCTTTCTCAGTACGGATCTTGAGGTTCTCCTCCTCGAGGCGCTTGGATGCATCCCCGTCATCAAGACTGGTCTCGACCTTCCTGCCCGTGAGCGCTGCCGTGCGTTGCTGCATCATGGCCTTGGCCCGGGCTTTGAGTCTGTCAGACTCGGTGATGGCACCTCCCGGGCCGGTGCCCACTATATTGCTAGCACTGCCTGGGTGCGCTTTGGCGTCTTTCAAGCGGAACAACTCGAGACGGGCGTCGGCAATGGCCTTCTCGGTCTTCCTGACCTGGGATGCGAGGTCGGGGATCTTGTCAGTGAAATTCTGGAGTTGTCGCTTGAGCGCCCGCCTCTCCGCTTCCGAGTCACCGCCGGTCGCTTGGGCGTCGGGGTGGGCATCGATGTCTTCTTGCGCCCGGCGGATGCGACGGTACAGCTCGTCAGCTTCGCGGCGGTCCCGACGATCCAAAACATCGTCCTCTTCCATATTCTTCTCGTCCTTGAAGTCCAATGAATCAAGAACGACCTGCTTCTCTCGAATCTTCTTGCGAAGCTGATCCAGCGTCAGCTCCTCATTTGAACCCACAGATGCGGGCGAGTCTGGTCTAGGAGATGAGCCGCCTCCCATCCTACGGCGAGCGCTGGATCGATAGCCAATGGCCTCATCATTGTTCTTGAAAACGGTGGCATCCTTGCGTCCGCCACCAAGACCACCACCGGCACCACGGAAGGAGTGAGTTTTGAGATAGCTAACACCCGTCTTTTGCGGGAGCAGTGCAGCACCGGAGTTCTTTCGGAGCTCAGATTCGTCATTCAACATGTTCTTGAGCGTGCCTATAGACTGGCTAAAATTCCTTGTAGAAGGCGGCACCAGCTCCGGAGGTAGCTGGTTCGGTAGAGGGTAACCGTTCAGTTTGCGGTAAATCAAATGCATAGCAACGGCGAACTCGTCCAGGTTCAGCCTGCCCTTGTTACCGTGGTCAGCGAGGGTCCAGACACGCTCCAGGTCAGGCTTTTCAAGACCGCTCTGGCCAAAGATCTCAATAGCTGCGTCACCACCAATGAAGCCCTTGTGGAGTCCGTCCCATGCGTTAAACAGTTGGTCGTATCTTTTCTTTTCTTCCTTGGTGATGGCCCATGGGATCACTGCATTGCCTTGCAGGCCCGCAGTCGTGAAGTTCTGCTGCTCACGACCTTGCTGTGGCATCATCCTGGCTTGCAGGGCATCAATGTTGGGAAGGCCAGAAGCTGGAGCATTCACAAGACCCCATTGACCGGGCATGCCCGTGGGCTGTGCGTTCAGAGGCGCTGCCATACCGCCGGGTGTAGAGTTCGAGCCATATCCGGTGGGCATGGGGGGCATGGGGGGCCGCGGCCCGTTGTAGCCCGTGGCCTGAGGAGCACCAGGAAAGCCGGTCTGCTGGGGCTGGAGACCTGTGGGCTGTGCCATGAATCCGGTCTGCTGAGGCTGTTGTTGCTGGCCAGGGAAGCCAGTCTGTTGAGGCTGCTGCTGCTGAGGGAAGCCGGTCATCTGAGCCTGGAGCAGCTGGGAATTGGACGCTTGTGGCTGCGGCGCCTGGATCGTGGGCGGCGTCGCAGTACTCTGTCGAGTTGGGCCGTTGGCCGCCTCCTCCGCAGTGTTGAAGTTAATAATGTCGACCATACTAGATACTTCATTCTTGATAACATCGGGAAGCTGTGGAGGAAGCTGTCGGCCTGTCATTTTCAGGTTGCAGAGGTACATAGCCAAGGCGAATTCGGGAAAGTGTAGCTGTCCGGAGCGGGTGGTATCTGCCAGAGTCCTACGGTGGTGCGGTTAGCTCAGTGTTCGTCTCTCTCTCGCTCCCGTGCAAGCTTTCTCTTTTTGTACATACCAAATGTGTGACAGAGCGTCTCCGTCCAGCCTTGAACGCATCAGCAGGTCCCTTGCCTTCTCGCCCGACATGGTAGTGTCATTGTCGCCCACCGCCGACTTGAACAGCGTCTCGAACTTGACTTGATCGGCCGCCGTGATGAAGCCCAGCCGGATGTTGGGGATCTTGTTCGACTTGGGCGCCGGGGCGCTGCTCGCAGCCGGGGCCGGGGCGCCTCCGGTGCGGAAGGACGCTGCCATCTGGCTGAACCCGGTCGCCTGGGGCTTCATCGGGGTCGGCGGCCCCTGCTGAGAGGCAGGTGGCTGCTGGGGGACCTGAGTCGGAGTGGCATTGAAAGAGCTCTGGGGTTGCTGCTGCTGCTGCTGCTGCTGAAATTGCTGTTGAAACTGCTGTGGGATAGCAGGCATGGGCGGAGCGCCGGTCTGGAAAGGCTGCTGCTGAGGAGCAGCCTGGCCGGGGAAGCCGGTGAACTGTGGCTGAAGCTGGCCGGGAGCTTGAGGCTGGGGTTGCTGCAGGCCCGGGTATCCGGTGTACTGCTGTTGGAGGGGGGCCTGGGGTTGACCGTAGCCGGTGGGCTGAGGAGCGAACGGACTCGGCTGCTGTCCGGGCTGCTGGCCCGGCTGGCCAAAGGAGTTTCCATATTGTTGTTGAGGTTGCGATCCCGGGCGGAAACTATTGCCTCCGCCGAGGAAGGAATTGGATTGGGAGTACATGCCGTCGGCGTCGACGTCGTCCGAGGGACGATGGGTGGACGGGTGGACGGGGGTTGGCGGATGGAGTTGTCGCAAGAGTGGCTGGCGTGGCGGGTCTGGTCTCAATGACGTTCGAGAGAGAGAGCCAAAAGGAGAGAGACACAAGGTACTGCGAGTAACAAAGCAGTAAGAATGCTCAATGACAGAGCTCTAATGTGGCAGCCTGCCACCCCAAATCACAAGGCGCCGCGCGATGCGAAGCTCGATAACACCAAGATGGTGAAGAGGAGAGGAAGCAAATAGGAGATGGAGGTTGGGCGTGGGCGGGCAGGGCAGAGCGAACTGGACAGCTTCTGGAGTTGCGTAGCCTAGCGAGATGGCCGTTGCGTCGGTTGTTTCCTCTTCTGTCTTAGCCATGTACCCAGGTGGACCCGCCCCAGTGGGCGGCTGCGACTGCCCAATCTCCACTACTACTGCCACTTTACCACCTGCGCAGGCAAGCAGGGCACTTACACGGTGCCAGGGTGCGTTGATACTCTGGAGCTCCATCAATCTAAAGTGCTACCGTCGAGTGTTTTATATTCTAACATGTATGTGCATACACGACTCGCCCTTCCAGTTTCATCACACAAAATCCAACTCTTTCGGCAACGCAAACATCTCACGTATAAACCAGCCCAGCTCCTGTGAGCAAGAGCCAGATAACAAGACTACAAGTAAAAGCCTTGTTCTCTGACCGAGGGTGACGAGCCAAGATGCTAATATCAGCAATGCCCGCAAAGCTCCAGCACATGATGAGGATCCCCAGCGCCCTCCTCTGCCCGTCCAAGGCGAGGGCAAGGACAGCGAGGCCAGCACAGATATTCCTGCCGGCAGCTGCTGGCCACACTGCAATATCTGCTCAGCTATGGGACACTGGAGAGCAAGACTTGTGCGAACGAAGAGAGGAGTAGGCTTGGAGCATGGCCATAATATTAAGGTGTATCCAGTAATATCTTACTAAAGAGCATTTCTTTTGTCGCACCCGGGATGCCGAAGAGTGGTGCAACTTGGAGGGAACAAGCAGTATTAGCTGGACCAGTTACTCAAATGACAAGAAATGTAGCGTAGGCTGAAGAGAGATGATTTTGTCGTACTTGTCGAGGCATCCCGCATGCCCCATATCCCGGTGAAAATCAGGAGGGCGCCAATGATGTGCGCGAACAATGTCACTGCAGCTCTCAACACGAGCATTGTGCAGAATAGCAGTGGTTCGCGGTCGGGTAGGTGTAGCAAGGTGAGTATCTATCAGATGGGCAGCCAGGTCAGGTCTCCTATCCAGGCGGGGACATTCGGCAAAGCTAGGTACAGTGGAATCCGCGGAGGACACAATTATATACGCAAATTCCTACACCATTAAGCTCCACCCACACTGTCTAATGGCGAGATCCGTAGGTTCAGAAACTGCACTGGTTGGCATCAAGACATTTTCGATCCTCGGCCAAGAGACTTTCTTAAGTCCGCGATCTCTCCGACGGAGATTTGGGTCACAGAGGTTACTGTCTGACCTCTGAGGATCCCATTTGTAATCACCAGCAGGGTTAGTGTCTTTGCAGACAGGGGCGACGGAAGAAGGAAGGTGGGTCAAGCATTGCATGGATTGAAAGCACACACTTGGCGTGTACCAGGCTGTGGAAGCGATGTTGGCTTGTCAATTCTGAGAGCGTGAGCAGATGCCATCATGCAGACAGACACAACCTCTGAAGTAGCTAGGCTAGAAGACGACAACCCGTTTGCCCCCTACGCTTGAATGATACCTTCCAAAAGGAAAGTCTCACAATCTTCATGTCGTCAATGTCATATTCTACATGTTCCGCTCGGCCAGTTCTTAATTCAACTGCGCCCAAGTCAACCCTTCTACTTTAGAGAAAGGCTCACTGAGCCCGGCTTCCTCCTCCTCCTCCTCCACCAAAGTCAATTCCCGCGCATCAATAGAGGGAAGCGTCAGCCCCACAGCCGCATTCGATGGCCCTTGCTACGGAGCAGGAATAGAGGCTTGTGGAAACAGGGTAGCATTCGCCTCTTGCCAGGCCTTCAGGTCAAACTTGGCCGAGGCCAGGGCGCCAGCCAGGCCGAACTGGGTGTTGATGCCCTCCACACGGTGGGTGGAGTTAATGTTCTTGACCAGGGTGATCTGGTAACACGTGGCGGAGCCCTGTCGCGAGATGATGGTCGAGTATGCAAGGAAGTATTCCCAGATCTGTCTCAAAATGTCAGCACCCGCCGGTCAAGGACAGGAGTCACACAGCAGAAGCCACTCACGCGGAACCATCTCTTGCCGTACTTGGCCTCCACCTTGTCCTTGTTGGCCATCCAATTTCTATACCACCTCCAGAGGGTAGCAGAGTAATGCACGCCAATGGTGTCAATGTGCTTGATCTCAAATCCGGCACCCTCCAGCTTGTCGACAAACCATCCCAGGGGAGTGGACGCGTCGGCACCTGGGAAGATGTACTTGTTCATGAACAGACCCCAGATAAGATCCTCGTACTGCCAAGACTTTCGGAGACCAGCAATCTGCAGGAAGAAGACGCCGTCGTCGTCCAGCATATCGTAGACCTGCTTCAAGAACTTGGAGAAGTGACGGACGCCTACATGCTCGGCCATCTCAAGACAGGTGATCTTGCTGTAGCCGCCCTCCGGGACCGGAATGTCTCTGTAGTCCATGCACAAGATGTTGCTCTGCTCCTCCGGGACACCGACCTTGCGCATCGCGTTGTTTCCCCAGGCTGTTTGGTTACGGCCAAGGGTGATACCAGTAGCCTTCGCGCCGTAAACAGCACTGGCGAATCGGGCAAGAGTGCCCCAGCCACAGCCGATATCCAGGAGACGCTCCCCCTGCTTGAGACCGATCTTCTCGCACACAACAGCTAACTTGTTGTCCTGGAGCTGCTCGAGGCTCTCCTCGGCATTGATATCGGAGATGATGCCGGAGGTGTAAATCATACGGGGACCTAGGAACCAGGCGTAGAAATCATCTCCTCTGTCGTAGTGATCTCTTACCTGTTCCTCGTCTGTTGGTGATAGACTGTTAGCGATACCGCTGTAGACGTCCGGGTGTCCGGAAAGGGCGGAACTTGCCTTGTGACCTCGTGTGCATGAGCATCTCAGGAATCATGCCGGTCAGAAAGAACTTGATCAGGCTGATTGTAAAACGGAAGTTGGCCCAGTCGTGCCTATACTCCATGATCTCCAGACAGTCACCGTTGAAATCGACGTCACCGTCAAAGTACATCTCATGGAAGGTCTCCATGGGGATCTTGGTCTTGCCATGGTACTTGGCCTGGTCGGCGGGCTTCTTGAAGGTGAGGTAGTGCTCGACGGGGTGGCCAGGAAACCTAGCCTTCTCATTCTTGCGAGGGCTGATAGACGACACAACCAGCCAGAAACCAGCCAGCAGTGGGATGGTGGTGAAGAGGGCGAAGAACAAAGTGGTCTTGTTTCCACCTCCGACCTTCCATGACAGCCAGTAAGGAGGGATGCCCAGCACGAAAGCCAGGGCAATCAGCGAGAAGCTGTCGTTACCGGCGGCATCGGCTGGCAAGGGAGCATTCTTGATGGCGGGATACTGTGGAGGAGTCCGTTAGAGACATGTGCCTAGGTAAATAAAGGTTTGCCTCCTGGGCCTTCCAAGGGAGGCACTTCACAGGCGATGGCAAGCCCGGAAGAGATGGACGTACAGAAGTGGTTCGCACACCGCACTCCTCGAACTTCTCGAAAGAGGGCGTAGGAGCCTTGGGAGTCTCGATGAATTCGAATTCCGACTCGGAGCCGTTGGTGCTCTGTGGTTTCGACATGCTGCCGACTGAAGCTCCTCGGGGCGTTTGCAGTTGAGGATCGCCAGCCAGGTGACAGGGGCGAGGACGAGAAGGTGACACCAGCAAATAAATAGTTAATGAAGGAGGCAAGTCGAAGCAAAGATGTACGCGATCAACCAGACTAACAACTTGACTCCCTTGGCGGCTGGTCACAATGAAAGGACCAGGACCCCTTTCGACGCAACAATGTATGCCAGAGAGAGAATGGAAAATGGGCGTGGAGCCTGGGAGCTTGTTGTCTGGGAATGTATGTCTGCCCAATGCTTTCCCCATGCAGCAGGCCATGCATCTAAGGCAGGGCGGCTCAGGGTCCTCCCTGGCGCGGGGAGCTCAATTGGGGCTACTGATTGGCCCTAGCTCCCCCAGCCCCTTCCGGGGCAGATCTGAAGCACTGTGAGATCGGACCTTATTAACTCTAGCAGCACGTAACGGACCTCCCACGGATGAGGCTGTACAATTACCGCCAGAATAATAGTGTGGGTCCATTGGTAGATGCAGAGACAGATCATACTGCCTGGAAATATCCTTCACATGTACGGAGTGCCTCCATTTAGCTCGACCCTGCCAAAACGTCATCGGATAGCTACCTACCTACCTACCTATTCAGGTAGGTAGCTACCTACTAGGTAGGTAGCTAGCTTCATGTTGGTACTAAGAAAAGGTACCCAGCACCACGCGTCTAAATTGCGACTCCTACCTCAAGACACCATCTCGAGGAGTCGTGAGTAAGAGTGCAGGAACAGAAATGTAAATACAGCATACAGCGCAATGATTGAGTAAGTACCTAGGTAATAAAATAGTGGAGGAGGGGTGGTACATGTATATCCAAATACGGGTCAATGGCACTGCAATCTGACATCATCCAGCACCTCCATCCACCCAACACTAACCAATCCACAAAATAACAACAACGACAACACCTCAGGAAGGATGAAGACCACGACAAAATGAGGCCAATCACCCTCCTGCGCACACCACTATGGCGCCACACCACCACCACCCCAGGCCCACACCGCCTCATATCCACCGCCCCAGGAACCTTCGCCAACCTGCGGTATGAGCTGCTGTCGCGGCCCCCAAAGTGCTACTACGACTACCTGACCCCGACGAGCTCCCACCTGCTCTCCGTCACCCTGGCCGACCAGCTGCTGCCCGCCCAGCAGCACGACCTGCCCCCCGGCGCCGGCGACGGCAGGCCCTACCCGCCGCCGCGGTCCTCCGACCTCGACCACTGGTCCCTCCCAAAGGTCCACCGCAATCACGGCGCCGAGCCCGCCCACCCCTTGCCCCAGGGCCACCACCTCGTCTACTTCCCGCCAACCCACCCCTCCTCCGCCCTGCTCCCGGACGGCACCGACGCGGACCACTGGCCCGGCCCGCCCTTCACCCGCCGCCTGTGGGCCGGCGGCTCCCTCTCCTTCGCCCAGGGCTGGGAGTCCCGCCTCCTGCTGGACAAGCGCCGCGCCGCGTGCGTCGAGCGCGTCGAGGACGTCAGGCTCCACTGGGCCAGGTCGGGCGCGACCGAGCAGGGCGGCGGTGAGGCGGTCGGGGACCACCACCCAGTGGGCGACAAGGTCTTTGTCGACGTGGTGAGGCGCTACGGCCCCGTTGGTGCCGACGAGGACGCCGTCGACACCCCCGAGGTGGTGCGGAGGATCGAGGGGGCCCCGGCTGTCGTCGAGCGCCGCACGCTGGTCTTCCTGACAGGCAGGGCTGATGAGGGTGCCAGTAGCCGTGGCAGGTCCAGGAGCGCAAAGCCGAAGCGTAAGTCCTTTTCTGTCTTTTCTTTTTTCCCTTTATTTCTTTCCTCACCCTTCGCCTCCCCCCCCCCAGGGGCCTTGCGAGGTGACTGAGTGGTAAATATTTCTCACAAATAAACTAATCTAATCACACATGAGGAACCAGTCTACCAGGACCCAGAACACGTGATATCCTTCACAGCCACCCCGCCAGTCCTCTTCCGCTTCAGCGCGCTGAGCTTCAACGCCCACGCCATCCACCTGGACCCGGGCCACTGCCGCACGGCAGAGGGCTACGACAAGCCGCTCGTCCACGGCCCGCTCCTGCTGGTCCTCATGCTCTCCGCCCTGCGGACCGCCGCCATCGCCGAGGGCAGGTCGCCCCTCGCGCCAGGCGGGCTCGAGTACATGAACCTGCAGCCCGTGTTTGTCGGCGAGAGGATGCGCGTGTGCGTCCGGCCGGGTAAGACAAAGTGGCATGTCTGGGTTGAGGGCGAGGATGAGAGGCTGTGCGTCAAGGGGTCGGCGCAGGTTGCTTGACGGGAGCAGTGTGGGTAGGTAGCTGGTGGGTGAGCAGTCCAAGGGGCCTGGACTGGGGCATATATCAACCCCATCATTGCTGGCTCGCAAATTGCGAGTCCCCGATACAGGAGAGCCCTTATGCAGCGAGGGTCAACAGTGTGTTTCTAGCCCCAGCTCTGCGAAAATAGATTCATGAAAGGGGTACGGAGGCTTTCAATGCCGCGCTGCGACTTCATCTTGAGAGGCCCGCGGCCAGTTCATTTCACAAATGAGAAGGATCACAACATATGAGCCCTCCCCAACTGATGCACCGGTGAATCCGTATTCCTTGGATCTCAATATGCTGTCTCGCTCCCAGAATGCACCTAGCAAATCCATCACCGAACCAGCTTCGAAGAAACGCCCACACCCAGCTGCTAATGTACTGTACGTCCTCGACTTGGGTATTTGTCCGAATACGCACCACCGCTCAAAGCGCCCACTCAGCCAAGTCCTCGTCTGTTTTGACAAATGGCTCGTCGATCCTCTTGATAGCGAACTCGCTGCACAGTATACTAGTCGAGAATCCGTCGTCAGCCAAGATCGCCATGGCACGGATGAAAAGAGAGATAGGCAGGAAAGCCCTGAAGTGGAGAAAGGAAGGAGGGCGAGACTTACCAAGCCGAAGCAATCAACCCATCCAGCTCCTGGATAACCTGCTCCCTCCGCTCGCCCTGCACCATGCCCCTGGTAATCTGCAGCTGGAGCTCCCTGATCCTGCGGCCCCTGCCTACGCCGGCCTGCTTGATCACCTCCTTGCCGAGGCAGTCGGAGTGGAACGCGTGCTGGCAGGGGAATACAAAGAACTGCCTGCTGAGTAGCGGAAGGCCACACGTGTAGCACTTCTCCCCGGGCTCGACAATGGCGTACCGATGATCCAACGACGCAATGTCGAGCTTGATGTTCGCCGCCGTCTGCGACGACTCGTCCATCTCCCTCTTGAGGCCATCGATGTTGCGCGAGTAGTCCTCGAGCGCCGCGCAAATCTCCTCCTTGAAGTCGTCGATCACCACAAAGTCCGGGAAGAAGGGGATCAGGTCCTCGATCTTGAGCAAGTCGTTGCACTTCTTCAGGAACTCGATCGCGCCCTTGATCCCGTTCGACTGGCTGATCACCTTCTTGGCCACCGCCAGCCACAGCCTCTTGCGCAGCTGCGGGTTGCTCATCGGCCGGTCCGCGATCAGGCTCGCGAGCTCGATCTCGTCGTGCGATAGTGCCAGCTCCACCGCCTGCAAGTATTGCCCCATGGTCGTGTAGATGTGGACGCAAGACAAGACCCGCCGGTGCTGGATGCACAAGCGAAGGGCAAAGTCCCGGTCAAAGTTTGGCTCATCACCCTGGGACTCGAGATAGGCGAGCAAGGCGCTTTCGTCCTTGGACGCATGTGAGGCGTAGATGGAGACAAGGGTGTTGTGGACAGCCGAATCGATCGAGTTGAGCTGGTTAACCACGTACAGTAGGTACCGCACCGCCTGGTTCTGAGACAAGGGGCCTTTATAAGTCCGGTCATATTCGAGAAGTGCCGGTATCAGGTTTCGGGGCTTCAGATTCGACTGCCTCATCAGTATATCGACCAAGTCCTGTGCAGTATGTGTCATGAGCACACTACTGAAGCGGTAGAAGACGTTCGGGTCCGTTTGCCTCTTCAGGACGGTGAGCGTTTCTGGCCACCTTTCCCGCTGGACCCAGTAGGACAGGACGTAGTTATAATCGTTGACCGCGTTCGCGAAAAACAGCAATTCGTCCTCCCTTCCGTGGCTGCTGACAATTTCGTAGACTGTCTTCTTATCCAGGTCTGTCTTGTGCCTAGTAACAAAGTCCTGGTATTCACCTCGGACCGAGTCGAGTTGCTCTTTTGATTGAGTGGTGTTTAGGTTTTCTGCGAGCTCTGCCTTGGTGATAATGGTGTCGTCGAGTGTGTTCAGCTTGGCCATGAATATCTCGACAAGCCATGTCGCAATCATGACCCGCTGCATTACCGCCGATTTCTTAAAAGTGCCGAGCTTGGTGAGTAGGTATTTCCGCAGCGCGTCGTGCTCGTTGTTGTCCAAAAATGTAAGGGCCACTTCTTCGAATGGCTTGGTGCTCTTACCATAGACACCAGCGGCGTCACTAAACAGGCCTTTGCTAATCAGGTAGTCACCAGAAGCCTTGGCCACAGCGTCCTTCTGTGCAGGAGAGTGGGCATACTGTAGCGCGGCATCAAACTGCTGCAGGTCGAGCATGATCTTCCAGATGTCGCGGTCCTCATCCCTCACAACGATCTCAAATATCTCTTGAGCCGAGAACAGGAAGAAGGTGTTCTTCTGCATGTCAGCGCACAGGCCGACGGCCCTTTGCCCCGGATCCAGAACAACTTGGTCATAAACCACCTTTCCAGTTAGCCGGTTCGCAGCAACCACCCGGCTGCCTATCAGGCTGATGACATGCCACTGCGTCAGCGCGATAGTCTCAATGTTGTCCACCGTGCTCCTCCTCCTGATATCCGGGTCCGAGCTAGCTGCGAGCTGGGCCTTGGGCAGGAGCTTGGAGTCTGCAAAGACCCTGGCCCCAAGGTCAGCGCCGCCCTGTGGCGAGCTCAGCAGAAGCTTTCCATGGAAGACACCCTGGGAGTTGAGCCACGCGAATACCCTGTCGGACACGGCGGCATCATAGGGGTCCTGCGGCGGGTCCGGGCTCACTACCAGGCTCGAGTTCGTCCCGCCGGCCGTCGTCCTGCTCAGCTCGTGGATGACAGGCTGCTCGGCCTCGAACAGCCTCGTGTATATGGACCCGCTGCCATCCGGGCCCTTGCCGACCTTCCCGGCCAGGTGAAACAGCCTCGTCTGCGTGGCCACCATGACCCTCCTCGACTCTGTCCTGCCGGGCAGGGCGTCCACCCACAGGCCCGTGACTGGTCCATCGGGCAGCTTCTGCAGCACCTTCAGGAACTTCTCTTCTTTGCGATAAAACTCGTTGGCCGTCTCAATGTACGCCTCATAGATGTTCCCGTCGCTCGCGCCAATCAGGATCTCCCTGGTGGAAGCCGTGGGCAGGGCCGGGTTCCAAGCGACGCATTCGATGGAGACGCCGCGGAGGCGAGCCAGAGGGCGTGGCTGGCGGGACTGAGAATGCAGGTAGTAGTTGTCGCCGAGCGACGTGCATATGATAAGGTGCGAGGCGGTCGGGTCGAGGAACATGCGGCGGATGACGCCTATCTCTGAGGGTTTCTTGGGGAGGTCGATGTCTACATCATGGCCGGGTCAGCTCGTCGTGCCTAGGCGATAAGGGTCGCTGGGTCGCTGGGATTGACACAAGGACAGGTTGCACCGTACCGTCTATATCCTCGGGCCGCTCAAGATCTATCCGCAGTATCCTGCCGTTCGACAGCGCCAGTATGAGGACATCGTTGGCCACCTGGGACGCAACGAAGTCGGCAGCTACCGAGAACTGCAGCTGCACGTGCTGGACGTCGAAGATGGGCAGCTGTGCCGTGTCGGCCAGGTCGCTGGCGACGAAGCCGTTGGATGTCATCCTTTCCGCTGGTTATAATCTGCGAGCCTTCATAGTTGGAGCCCGTGGCAACGGCTGGCCTCGTACTGGCTTGTCGTCGTCGACACAGGGTTAGAGGGAGAAGGGGTAGCTGCTGCCGAGGTCAGATGTGGGCAGGCAAACAACACACCCGGGTCGAGGAGCGAGCAATCATTGCCAATCAATTGCATGAACGAGCTAGGAGCTGAGCTCTCTCTGGCGTTGCAGACGTCAGCGGTTCTCGGTGCGACGGTTGGGAGGTCCCCCCTTGCTGCGGGGTCAAGGGGGTCTGCGCTGGCCTATTCGTACTCCGTACCCTAGGTAGGGTACCTGCAGTCTCATTGCGTTCGCGCATCATCAGACAGACCGCAGCACAAATTCACGGTTCTACTGTACCAGGACGGACCTAAATGCACATCGATCGGGCATTTCGTTGATGCAGGTTCCTCATTTCTGAATTACCATGGGTGTGCTCTCAGACTGCTATCCCTATAGTGTCAAATAGTCTAATTGATTGATTGGCTGTCTTGCTTGTATCTGGGACGCAAAGCCTTCCTCCCGCCTGGAACTGTGTGCTTGAGGCACTCGCAGCCCACCGTCTCTCTCATTTAAAGACCGCGCCCCTGCCCCCATTTCGATACAACACCGTATGATGTGATGAGATTGACGCCCGCGAAAGGTATAATGCACGAGTGGGTCGCAACAACAAGAACGCCTTCCCGATACAACGCGCAGCCAACTTTTGTCCCCCATGCAAGGAGGGAACGTAATCGTCAGATCCAAACACTGGCCCAAGACAAATGCGCAGTACAAAATGCGGCCCCCTGATGCCGCGTCGTCACCTCTAGAAACCCGTGTCCCCCTCCGGCCTCCTTTTGGCGGCAGAGGGCATGCGTATATCACAGCACCTACCCCAGTCCCGCCTCCGCCCCTTCCATTATCTCCCCGCTTTAAGGGAGCAACCTGTCCCTCAGGCGGCTTCATGACTCCATTGCTTATTTGGCGTTTCTCTTGAAGGCAAGCAGCTCGGCCAGGCTGCTCATCGCGCACCCGTGCTTCAGGAAGTCGTGCTCCAGCAGTTCCCTCGCGGACGCCCGGGACTTGACATCCACGCACAAGCACACGGACAAGAAGGCCTTGAGCTCCTTGCTGAGCTTCTCTGGCTTCTTGAGGCGGGGCGTTCCGTTCGTCGCGATAAGGTACAGCGCCTTCAGGGGCTCCTCGTTCAGGTATGGTGGCTCCGACTCGATCATCTCGATCGCCATGATACCGAGCGACCAGATGTCGACCTTGGGGCCGTATTCCTTTTGCTTCACAACCTCGGGTGCCATCCAGTATGGTGTGCCAACCATGGTGGCTCGCTTGGACTTGGTCTCGGTGAGCTTGGCGCAGAAACCGAAGTCGGCTGTGGGCTTTTGTTAGCAACCGAGTGTGATACGGTCCCGAACCCTCAACTGCTTGGACTTACTAATCTTGACATTACCGCGGGCATCCAGGAGAACGTTGTCGCTCTTGATGTCACGGTGGATGATGTTCTGGGAGTGGAGATGTTGCAATCCTTGGCAAGTCTGCAGGTTGTCTGTTAGCCGTGTTCCATCTCGCCGGAGAGCGCTAACGGGGGGAACTCACCTCGAGGCAAATTGTCGAGATCTGATCCTCCGTGATGACAGGGTTATTGTCGATCACATCAGTCAGTGCACCACCCTCCATGTACTCCATTACCACCCACAACTCAGCGTTGTTGTTGCGCAGGAAGGCATCCAGGAAGTTGACAATGTTCTTGTGCCTGCTGTCCTTCATGACCATGATCTCGTTGACGATCAGCTCCTTGCGGGGCTGGTGAGCGAGATCCATCTGCTTGATGGCAACCTGGGCACGGGCTCCCTGGGCGCGCAGCAGATCGCGGGCGATGGCCGAGCTGGCCGTCTCCTTAACCTTGGCAACGTACACGGAGCCAGAAGCACCCTGGCCAATCTTCTTCTGCTTTGAGTAGGACAAGTTGGGGTCCTCCTTTGAGACCGCCTCCTTGAGCTTTTGCATGACCTCGCTCTCCGACATGGTGGACATGCGCACTTCTTGCTTCTTCTTCTCCTCCTGTGGCGTAGGCTTGGCCGAAAGTGCGGCCTCGGCGGCCTTGACAGCATCGCTCTGGGCGTTGTTGTTCTTGTTTCCAACGTTGAGAGGCTGAGGCTTAACGGGCGCTGGCAAGCGCGACGGCGGCTGGTTCTGGGCACCATTTGAACGGGGCTGTGACGAAGCACCGATGCCGTTGGGGTATCGGGTCGCTGCCGGGGACTGGGGAGACTGCTGGTCTTGACGTTGGGCCCGCTGCTGCTGCTGGGCCTGGATGGAGGACGAGCTCTGCTGGGTCTGGATGGGCGGCCGCTGGGCGCTGGAGGCACCGGATGGGGGGGCGGGGGCTGGTCTCTGTGCACGCAGGGCTGCTGGGTTTTGCTGGGCCTTTGGTGCGGAAGGCGCAGGCCGGCTGGGGTTGTAACGGTCTTGTGAGCCGTAGCCACCAAGCTCCTGTTCCGCGATCGATTTCTTCGGGGGGATGTCGGCGTAGTCCTGGTTCCGCATCTGCGGGGGCTCCCGCAGTACTCGGTCCTCGTATTGCCGGTCCGCATCCTGAGTAGCCCTGCTGTCCGCGCCGTAGCCTGATGGAGACCCTTGCATCGGTGGCCGCTGGTCGGTGGGGGATGGTCTTTGGGGCTGCTGGTTGACGCTGGACTGAGAAGGAGTCGTCTGGTAGGCTGGTCGCTGCTGCTGAGGCTGAGGCGCCTGCCTTGGGGGGGCGATGGACGAGCCAGCACCGTAGCCAAGCTGCTTGTTCTGCATGCTGCTGGCTGGGGGGGTAGGGGTCAGGCTAGGATACTGGTTGGGGTTCTCGGCCCGCTTGGTGAGGTCGGAATAGAAGTCGAGGACTTCGAAGACGGCCTGGGGGTTCCGCTCGTAGTCCTCCTTGGTGATGGCGGACGAGTTCAGCAGCTTCGACCACTCTGGGGGCAGACCAACGAACTCGCCGGTCTGCGGGTCGAAGCCAACGTGCACGGCATGGGAGAAGTTGGTAGGGTTGCTGACGCCACCCATCCCTGGGCACCGCGCATAGATGAAATCTATCCACTCGTAGAGGTCATCGTCGCTCTTGACCCGGATCTGGAGGGTCTTGGTTGTACCGTCGTCATCTCCGGGGCTCGTCGAGGACCCGTTTGACTGTCGTTTGACCTCGAATATGGTACCGGCGGCCTCGACGCGACCGACGTTGATGACGTCCTTCAGGAACAAGGTGTAGGCAACCTTGCTGCCCTCCTGCTTGTGGAAGTCGAGCGCCTCCTTGCGCAGGACGAGGAACTTCTGTTTCCATGGCTGGATGAAGTTCTTGCCCTCCTTGACCTGCGCCCAACCCTCCTTGATGACGGCGACGCCACCCATGCCATCAGAGTTGCCCCCTTGGCGGCCCAGGGGTAAGGATATCGTGGAGCCGCTGTACTGCGAGGGGTTCCGTGGGATTGGGGACAGCGACATCTGAGCCATGCTTCCTGGCAGGTTCTGGGGTGTCGTCGGGTTGGCACGAGGCTGCTGGCTGACGGGTGGTCGTGGTGCTGGGCCAGGGTTCATAAACTGACCCGACGTGTACATGCTCCTAAAGGGGTGAAATAGGGAACGGTTAGCGGGTTGTTGGACGGTTTTAAAGCGGATGCGCACAAGAGGCGGTGAAGTAGAGGAATAAACGGGCCACGATCAGGGAAATAGGGGGCGCCGGGTAGAGCAAAGGACAGCGTGCTGGTAAATCACAGGCCTCAGAGGTCGCGATTGGGGCCAACGGCAGCGCCGCCCGTGCCCAGCTACTGACGGACGTTGCAAACGGGGCGGGTGGCGGCGTCTAGGCCAGCATTGCGAGGGTTGCGAGGGTTGCGATGGGCGGGCAAGACACTGTAAGGAGACTATAACCATACCCGTTCTGAGTGGCCATTTTGTGCTGTGGAGTGACGAGACCTGGAGGATGAGGAAGTGAGGTCTGGTCGGCACAGGCGATGGTGTTGGCCGCTGGCCGCAGCAATTAGGACGAAACAAGGCGAGACTCGGTCCTGACTGGGGGCTCTGGGTGGCGGGCAGGGCTGCCCAATCGGTGAGCAAAGAGGGCAGGGCAGGACTGGGAGTATAGGAGTGTGGGTGAGAAGAGTATGTGCTGCGCCGTTTGGAGCCTGTTCTGTGGGCTCGAGTGGTTGGCAAGAGCGTCGGTGATCAATCGACCGGAAACAGTGGCACCATTGAGGGAGGCCAGCACACCTGGAGTTGCGGGAGTGGGTGAAAGTGGTAGAGGGAGGAGAGGGTGTGGTTTAGTTTAGGAGGGGCTCCAGCCGGTGGTGTCGCAGGGGGGCGGTTCGGCAAGAGTCCTTGGTGGACCTGGACCTGGGACCTGGGATCTTGGACCTGGTGGCTCAGGGACAGGGCGTGGGTTGGGTATGTGCAGGGCCTGCCAGGCTAGCAGACTGACGACAGGCTGACTTATTATTATTATGGGGGATATCGAGACATGCAGCGTACGTACTCGGTACGTGGTGCTTGCTGGGCCGAGCTGCACTGAGGTGGAGCAGTCAGTCAGTCGTGGACTGGAGCGAGGCTGGCTGGCGGGTTGAAGCCGTGCTGCTGGGGCTAATAAACAAGAATATCTGTCTGTCTGGTCTCGCCAGTGAGGGAGGGAAGGGGTTGGCAGAGAGAGCGGCCGCTTTCCGTCACCGTTTGTGTGTGCGCGTGTTTGCACGTGTGTGTGATGGACGGTTTGGTGCGAGAGAGTTCGACGTCGAGGAGCGAGGGCGAGGAGCGAGTGAGTGAATGAGTAATTGAGTGATTGATTGATTGATGGACTGGTTGATTGATTTGTTTCAAAGGCTGGGCCGGGCTCGGCTGGGGCCAAATCAGAGCAACAAGCGACGCTTAACGGGTAAGCAGGCCAGCGCAAGGGGCAGGGGCCCGAGAGGTCAAACAGGCGGCGGTTAACTCTCTCTGTGTGTGTGTCTCTAACTGACCTGCTGGTTCTCCCGCCAACCAGGACGTTTTGTTAGCTGGGCTGCTGCAGCGGCAGGCCGTTTGTCTTGTTTATAAAGCGGCTGGATAACGATGCAGGTAGATGCAGAAGAGACTAGAACAGAGGCAGAGCTGAAGACCAGAGGACAAAGCACGAGGTGGTTGGTCGTCTCGTCCAGTTGCAAACGTGGTCGTCGGGCAAGTCTGGGCTGGTTGGAGACCCAGGGGGGAGGGGGGTGGCTACAGGGTTTATTATTGTTGTGTGGTACTTTGAGGGGTGCTAAGGTGGGGGGGGTGGGAAAGGAGACAAGCAGGACCGGGCCCCGCCCCGTTGGATGGACAGGATGGGCGGGAGCGCCAAAGGCAAAACACCCCTATAACGCTGCAGCGTGTGTTCATCAGTCCAGCGGTCCTGATGTTTTGGGCTGGCCCTGATCCTCGGCCCTGGGTCACTTGTTGCCGGGCTAGCAGGCTAGCAACTTCGGAATGGTGGGTCTTGGTCGAGCCTAACCTCCTAAGCACCAGGCTGGCAGGCTGGCTACCTGGCTACCTGGCCTGCAACGGTAGCTGGGCCGTGACCCAGCAGTAGCTTATGAGGGGTACTCCGTACTTCCATCTCGGCCCAACTGCCCCACCAGCTGTTTGTACATTCTAAGTGCTACTGACACCAGAACAATACCATGGTATGGTATGGTGGTACCTTGGTATGCAACCTGACAGTATCGCGCCGTCTGTTCTACAGGTGTTTGTTCCATCTCCCTGTTTCTCTCTCCGGCCGGGTCTGTTTACATGTCACCACCGTGCACCAAGTCAATGTTACCAAACACAGCCAGGTTTATCTTCCTCATTCCCCAGGATGCAGGCCAACAGCAGGCCAACACCAGCCCAGGCCAAAACAAATCGACCAGTCACTTCAATGTTCAGCTGAAGCGGGCGGGAGCGGTGATGCTTTTGCGGCATTGCGACATTTCAGTCGGCTCTCGGTAGACCGAGCAAATCAGGTGTGCCCTGGACCCTCCATTCCAGCACCTCGAAGCCCCTTGCTCATCTCGAAAGCAATTCAGTTGATGGTCTCTGCACTGCTTGCAGCCTGTCAGGCCTGTCAGGCCCGACAAGGTCTGCCAAGGGACAGATAACAGCACATCGTGCACGTCGTCGCCCTCATGTCGATTTCAGAACTGGCTTACTAGTACCCATTAATGACTGGACCCGCTCGTGTCGGTGCCGGTAGGTGGACGCGCGCTATATTCTCACACGCATACGCCATATCTCTGCCAGCTCCCAAGGGGCGCGTCGATCGTCAGCAGTCCTGTTTCATGTCTCTACCCAGGCGCAGCCGCTGCCGAGGCCCTGCATGCTGCACCACAACATGGCCCGATATGTACGACACCACGCAGGCCGGCTGATTCAGGTGACAGTCTGTGAGCTTGATGAACCCCCCGGTTTAAGCTTTGGGCCCAAGCCAGAAGCCAGCGGTCCATCCACCGGCCCGAGATCGAACAACGGACTGCAACACGACACGAACACTACCTACCACCTGGGCACCACGCCTTCGACGAGACCCTCGAGGCCTGGTCTTGCCCTGTTGGCCTGTGAGCCTGTTGGCCTGTTGGCCTGTTGGCCCGGCCCTGGGCTGAATATGGGCCCCTCTGCTATCATTCATGCCCGGGCGGCAGGGCTGTTTCATCCGAATAAAACCTCACCATACCCTGCCGCTGCTCCGGGCTGTCCTGTCTTTGACATCTGCTACATACAATTCGTTTGCCTGCCTGGCCGGCAACCAGATCTGTTGGAAGCCCACAGTCACAGCCGCCGCGCTTTGGGCCATCCTGCCACAGAGGGCCAAGCCTCACAAGGTTTCCGCAATCCGGAAGAACCCCCCACGCCAGCGGGCTTAGGTCTTTGCCAGTGCTTTGTACCTGCGTCAGTGCCACTCCGCACATGGGATAAATGTGGGTGTGTACGGGGTATTATTGCTAGGCCAGACAATGGGGAGGCCGGCCACTCTTCCCAGGCCTGCACCGCGCGTGATATATCGACCCGGTAACCTGTATGGGGTATCATCCATTGCAAGGTTCCGAGCATCTGTCGAGGGGGAGAAAAAGTCTAGAAAAGACGGGAAATGGCCGGGGTATGGTAGCCGGGCTTCTCGAAGACAAGGGGCATCGGACCTCCATCGTCATTGAAACCACAAAGTGGAGGAGCGAGAACGAACAGCTGGGCTGCCGCTTTGCCCTTCCTTTGTTTCCAATCTGTCACAGAACTCGATCAAGACCAGTGCGCCGACAGTATCGCTACCAAACGCACCCGCCACATCAACCCCCCTTTTTTTCCTTCCTCCGGTGCAGTGGAGCCCCCACAACTTACACAACATGCATGTACTACTATGTAGGTAATCATTGTGTGTTCAACCCCCGGTCAAATGTTTCGTGAGCACTTCCCTGCCTCATATGCAAACCATCTGCTGCACCATTCTCTGTCACTTATTATCCCGCAACTCATCCATACATCAATCACGGCCGCAGCGGCTGTTGCGCTTACGATCATCCCTCGTACTTAAGCACACGTGGGCTCTGCTCGGTTTAACCTCGTTTGAGACAGCTTCGTATGTGATGACTTTCTACGGGGAATACTTCTTATTCTTATAGTATAGGATATACGGAGTACTCTTAACCTCCTCAACAATAACCCACTACGAGATGGAAGGCATATAAAAAACCACTTGCTTTCGAACAAGTCCAGAGGTGGGCTACGTCACTGGGGCTCTGGCATATCACCAAATAACTCTTCAAAGGTGTGGCAGTGCAACAATAGTGTGTTTATGGCTACAAGTGTATGCCTCAAAAGTAGTCCTCAGGTTATGGAGGGCCCTTGAGCGGCAATATGGTAGGGGTCCCAAACTCGAGGTTGCGCAGCTCGTATCGCGGCTTCGCGGTGTTCCACTTGTGCATCGTTCTCAGGCTCTGCATGGCCACCTGATCGGCAGGAAGCTGCGGTGCCGGGGGAGGTGAAGCCCTCGAGGATGAGCCGCTACTTCCTGTGCCCGAACTCGCTTGGCTCCCTGGCTGCTGCTGTGACCCGTCGTCCGACTGGCCCTGGGAACCATCATGACCCGCACCGGAGGCCGGGGGCGAGTCCGGCATCGGCGAGTCTCCATCGTCATGGCCATCACCGGAACCGCTCCCGGAACTGCCGCCGGAGCTGCTGCTGCCGCCGTCGTCCGGGGGCGGCTGTCCGTCGACCATATCTCCCGCATCTGTCGCGTACCTCATGATGTAGGAGAACGGCATGGGATCTTCCGGCCTGGTCCACGACACGTCGATCGTGTCAAAATACCCGGCGGGTTTCCCCGCTGGGTCCTTATAACCCCGAACCTTTCCCTGTGCCTGGGGTAGCAGCGTATTCTTCACCATGTCCGGGCTGGGGAACGCCGCGTTTACCGCATCATCGTCCCCAATGTCGCGTACTGTTGTGTTCCCCATGTTATCCCACTCGAAGAGTTGCAACATATTGATAAGATCGTCAGAGTAAGGTGGTGCCGTCGGCTCCTGGTTCACGTCGTCAACCAGCAGGTTGTCAGGTCTCATGTCGAGGTCATTGGGCCGCCCGGTGGCGCTGTGCGTCATGCTCATTTTCCGCAGCATCTCTCCAGTTGAATAAATGTCCTCCCAGTCATACAGGTTCCCACCGTCGTCCCCCTGGTTCTCGTCCAACGGCTGGTAGATGGCCTGTGGTAGTATCGCTGGGTCGTCGCCCTCGACTCCCGAGTTTCCAAGGTCCCCGACCACGATCTCGGGGAACGCATTGTTCACGATGCCTACTTTTGGGACACGACCGGCCCCTTTGGGTATGTAGTTTATGAAAACGTTGTTAGGGTGCTGCGGCTTTTGTATCAGGAACACAAACTCTGGTCATCGCTGCACAGCTTATGGGGGCTCACTAGGTCACGGTGATAGACTCTAGTCCAGTTCGGAATTTGTTTAGTCCTAAATACACTACCGTCATGATAAGTGTACCTGCCGAATTTCATTGCCACTATTGCCAGGAATAGCTGCTCCGCTACAAGCCTGTAATTGCAGCCGCGTTAGATAGCGATATCCAAAAGCACTAAATGTCGGTAGGATTTGGCATTACCAGATGAAGGGCTCTGGAATACTCCTCGAACTGTTCTCATATTGGTTATATAAATCCTCCAACGAGCCGCCATTGCAGAAGCTACGGCACACAAGGTCAGTATTCGTCACACCAAGACGCCCGATACCTACCCGGCTTGACTCACTCGAAATACATTGAGTAGACTCTGACAGGGTGGGGATCTCTGAGATGGGTCAGCTGCTGCCAGAACCGCAGCTTGTTGAAATAGGGCACATCCGGCAGAACTCCCTTCCGCACTATTCCATTGGGCCCGGGAATTGCATTAGGAGGTAAGTCCACGGACGGGTCATCTATCCTGCGGGTGTATGTCGAACACCTCAGCTCGAGCGGCGGCAACGCTAAATTTGTGTTGTCATCGATCGGTCGCTCTAAGATCTTGTTCAAGAATAGCTCGCCCGTTGCTACGGACTGGACTATGAAGACGCTCCCCATCAAGGGAATCCTTTCACCGGTGTCTGCGCGGAATTTATTCTTTGCTCCCAGGGAGATCTCTTTGACATAAAGAAATCCGCCGTCCAAGGCCTTTTCTCTCGCTGGCACCTGAGCGTCAGCCTTGACACGTTGGAGGGGGTCAGCATCGCTTCTTTCAAGAGGTAAGAACACCGCTATCTGCTTGTAGACCCTCTTGCGAGACGCCGCCATTATGATATCCAACGACAGCACTTCGCGGCTAAAGAAGTCGAAATTGTATGTTTACAATAAAACACAGTGTCGTGGTGTTACAGCCTCTAGTTCCTGGGCAAGTCGTCTTGTCACGTTGATGATTGACGGAAAATCATTCTTTAAGACAACGGAGTCACCATATACTTCTTCCAATTTTACCCTTTATCGTTCAATTTGTGTGCTGCTATCTTTAGAATCCTCCATTGTCTTATTTCCTACACGAATAAGTGCATGTGACGGATCCGGTGGTATGTCATGCTTTGTGCGCGCTCTCGCTACACAATTCTGCTGCACTACTCAGAGACTTCATGGGTTACTGGTTATGGATTACAAGAAACTGACTGTGGAGTCTTCCGTGGGGGACACAGGGGTGTTATAGTGCCTGTAATAAACCAGGTTTTGAAACCAATCTGTTTCCTATAGCCAAAGCGAACACACCGTGACGAATCCTTTGCTCAATTGAAGGCACGAAACCCACTGGAAAATCTGACCAGGGAAAAAGTACTCAAATCTGTTACAAAGAAAGCCTTCAAGTTAATAGGTTCCAACTTGAAAGCTATAAACTTGCTTGTATTCAACACATAATTCAACTAATTGATCATAGACAGAGGGGCTGGAAAGCATGGAGGATGAGCAACTTAGAAGGCAGCTAAAAATGCAGCACATGAGATTAACTGGTAGTTAGACCCACCCACTAATCCAGCGATTGGGAATCCAAAGATCCGCAGATGGTATACAATGGTTTCCTTATGATGTTGTCCTCAGGTCCGTGATGATGGTTTCATGGTGTTGGGGATGACATGAAATGGAATTCTAAGTGCTGCTTTCCAGCCGTTTGTATCCCGGTGGTCAAGATACCTAGATAGTTGCTACGTTGGTTATCTAGGTACCACATAGTTACAATACCAAGGTAGATTGTGGCCGTGTCTGCCTACCTACCTAGGTACGTAGGTAGGTATGAACGAACCCTTTTATGTCCTAGGACTGTTGTATCCCAAGGTTGGGCTGGGTCTGATATTGAGTCTTTAGTGGGCTCTGGCCATTTCGCGAGTTGACGGCCCTTGTTGTCTTCAAATCCAAATGCGCATTTTTCATTCCCTACGCACCTCTCATGCGCCTCATCGATTGAAATGTCACCAATAGTCTTGCAAGCGGCGAAAGGGTCGTGCGGCGGGCCTTCTCGCGCATCACATCACTGGTATAGCGTTTGCATCAGGCTGATCACTTCCAAGGTTACCAACGCCCTGGGGAACCCCAAGTCCCGCAACGAAGCTTCACATCGATTCTGATCACAGAAAGCTTAAATATTATACCCAGGTCTACCTAAAAATTCGAAAAGACTATCAGCCCCTAGGTCCTAATGTATACGGATTAAGACCGAAAGTATTTTCCGCTCTAGGTACGTTTCTCAGCTCAAAATCCATATTGTGGCTGCATAGAGCAGGACCGGGCCCATAATGCCGATACTTAGATGGTCCAACCTTCGAATTGCCAACATGGTGTTGAGCACCACAACCGCTAGTCGAAGTTCTAATACTGCAGGAAGATATTAGGAGTGTTTGAAGCCAGCTGGCTCTGAATACCTAGGTAGTAGTGGAAAATAGAGGATGCGCATACTAGGTTTATTCTAATTTAGAAACTACGCATATATCTTTTGTGAGCAAGACCAGATCTTAAGATGTACATTCTTTGTCTTCTCTAATAGGAAGACAAGCTTTGCGACATTATCGCCGAGGTGACTCAGCACAATCTCAAGCTCTAGAAGCTGTCGCATCTTTCCAGGACACCCATGTTCGACTCGATTCCGGTTCAGGAGAACCGATATACGAAGTTAATAAAAGCTCCTTCCAGCTATGTAGCACACTTATCATACTAAGAAGTATATAGGATCGTACCTACAAACGAACAGACCGAGGTATCCCGCTCATGAAGTATAAGTCTATACAAGCATTTGCGGAATGAATGTGTTCAGGGATTAGTGCCACATTGAGGCTTTTATGACAACGCCACTTCAGACCTTGCGCATAGACGTCGTATATTATTGGAGTTGTATGTCTTTAAGTCCCGTCTCAATGATACTTTAATTGCGGTTGGCGATGACCAAACAGGGTCGACAGCATTTGGGATCCGCAACATTCTTAGGTACTTAAGTAGTATGCTCTGGGGAATGCATTCGTTCTATTAAAGCAAATGTGCACAAAATATACAATACCAGCGGTCGGTGTCTGCCTGGGTATATGCGAAGAGAGGCACCTATGCTCCGGAACTTTAGAACAGCCAGTTCAGCCGTCACGAACTCACGGCCAGGTCTGCAATGGCCTCACTCCGGAGACAAGACAAAGACAGGAGCGACCCAGACACACTTCTCCATGATCGTACCCACACTGTCAGCCTTCGACAAGAGATCCACCAGCAACATCACCACTGCCGGCACCGCCCCTCATCGCAGGACCAAACAAGTAAATCAGCACCAACAAAGCCCCCATCATAATCCTCGAAACGAAGGTCCTGACAGAAATGCTCAAAAAGACCGTAAAAAGCCGCACGAATAGATCAACCGCCGGTTTCGCGCTCGCATAAATCGCGGGAGGAGACCGCTCGAGGCGGCCCATGGCGGATTCAACCGCGTCCGCCCACCGCCGCGGGACGAACGAGGTCAGAGACCTGTTTGTGAGAGAGGACGATGAGGAAGACTGCTCTACACTGTAACTTGTCCTCCCTTTACTTCCGCGGAGGAGGGATAGGGGAGTGATGGTATCCCTAGTAAAAAGTGAGTCTTGCTTACCTCGGGAACCGAGGCCTGTCTCCAGGTCCACGCCCTCCGAGACATCATCGTTGCTGCTGTCACTGTACACAGTCTCTGACTGGGTCAGGGCAGGCGGTGCCTCATCCTCGTCGCCATCGGCTGCGCTCAGGTCCCTGCGCACGTTGGCTTGGCTGGTCATCCTTCCGGCGGGCCGCTGGCCCAGACGCACGGCGTGGTCTCTCGCGCTGACAGGCGCAGAAGTCGTCGACGACAATCCCCCGACCGTGACGGTGAGAAGCTTCGGGTTGGGGTCGAACAGGCTGCCGCTCTGGTCGGCACCGTTGCTGGGCCCAACGTCGTCGTAAGGGAACGCGTAGCCCTTGCGGTCGGTGTTCGCCTCGTGGACGATGCGCGCGTAGTGGTTGGTGACCGGATCCGTGTAATAGTTCGACACATTCTCATTGTCCGGCTGGCTGCTGTTAACCAATAGGGTAGAGCGGTTGAATGCCGCGGCGAGGCGCGCGGCGATATTGGCCATCTCGGACGTGGACACGGCGAAGGCGCCCGTGGAGCACGAGAAAATGTCGGCTGCTGAGGGCTGTGGGAAGGACCCTGCGTCGCCGAAGGTGAGCTTTGAGGAGGTGTCTACCTTGCCTGAGACGACGCCGTAGCTGGCCTGGGTGTCCACGTCGAGGGCGTCTGTGGCGTATTTGGCCCAGACCTTGTCGACATAGGGCTGGAAGTACCCGTTGAACAGGGAGTTGTTTAGGATAATTCCGGCATTGGGGCTGACTGCACGGAGATTTGCACCTGTGGCGGGATCTTTGATGATCAGGCCGTTCCAGCCAGCGCCATCCACGGCACTTTGGGCGGTGAGAGCTGAGCAGACGGTGTTGAGTCCGTTAGAAGGCATTCCTTCCACCTTGGTCACCAGGCCTGAGTCATTCTCGAGCTGAAGTGCAATGGGAAGAGACACGAAGTCCACATAGGTGATATTCACGTATAGCTGGAAGCTATTGTAGGTGTACTCGCAGAAATCCCAATAGATGTTATAATTAGGATCGCTCACATTCGTCACCGATGGCTCGACCAGGGCCGGGCCTGGATTCAGCAAGAAGGTCAGGGTCGCGTTCTGAGAGAACCATATCCGACCACCTGCAGTCTGTGGAATTGTTATTGTCGTGGTAGTTCCCGGTGCTCCCAGCTTAATAGCGGTGTCAACCGTCAGTGACTTGCCATCGGTGTCAGGTGAGCTTGGGTAATGGACTGTAGTTCCGTCGCTGACAATGACTTGTTAGAGTCATATTCCGAACATTACAGAGGCTTCTTATTAATGCCTGAGGCCATGTGCTTACCTTTCCAGCATGAACACAGCATTGTTGTTCAGCAAAGAAAGCCCGGATATGTAAGCATACATATTGGAAGAGCCCGTAGTGTTGACAAGAGCAAAATTCATGGTCGGTTCCGTTTGAGCGGCTAAAGACTGCTTGCTGGTTGGGGACGAAGTCGTTGGAGCACGAAGAACATTGATGTCCTTCTGGACTTGGAGGACTTCTTCAAGACTCGACATGTTGAAGAGGTGTGCCACAGTGGGTGTATGGTATATTTGGTAGGCTTCCAAAGGACTTGGCGCAACAATGGTAACGAGGACAAAGAGTGATGCGTTGGAAGGCACGATATCTACCAGTAATGACCGGAGTAGAAGTTTATCTATTTGAAATTTCTGCCTGGGGCAGGCCAAAAGAGTGACAAGGAGTGAGATACTAGTAGGACGTTGGTGGTGTAGAGAGCCTCCGCTCAAAACGCTGACCTGGGCATGTGGTTCTCCAGTCGTCAAGAGACGTATCGCATGACCTCAATCTCAAATGTTGGGGGAGCCAGGCGGACTATATATCCTGCCGGCAATCCGGGGACACACCTCTACAACCACTTGCCAAAACTTACGGCATAAGGCCCAGTGACTGCCCACAAGACATTCCGGTGTGGACAAATGTGATAGCAAGGACCGAGTCAAGGCCGGAAAAGCGGCTCACTTAGGCAGGCGAAAGCTCAGAGCCACCATCCTGGTCGGCCTTCGCCTTGAGGACATTACCCTTAGATCGCATGTGGACAAACCACGAAGTCAGGCTGACACTTGCTCTCGGGGATCGACACGTAAGTCGTCCGCGGAGTGGATCCTTGGTTCACGACTTGTAGCGCCGTCGACGAGTCGAGACTCGTGATGGTGGCCGAGCATAACAGTCGAAGTGGCGGTCGAAACAGACAGTGAAGAGAAAGGAAATGACAGGTGGTATTAAGTAGTGAAGATCTGGCCAACGGCAAAAGCCATACGGGGGTCGACTTTATTTAGGGACGGATGGCGTACCGGGCCTTAATGAGTCGAATATCAGGCATGCTTAAGTGACCCCTGGGCTGCTTCCATGGATATTACCTAGCCCATGGTGCTTCTAGATCAGCCTCAGAAGCCGCAGACCGGGAGCCGCAGACTGGAAGCCCACTACAGGAAGGGTTGGGCATAGTTTGTCTTGGCCTCGTGGCATCGTAGTATTTCTGGCCCGGCAAGCTGCCTCCGGTTACAGTGCCTTGTCAGATCGATGCGTGCTGAAGATGTCATGCGGTTCCAGGCTCTGGCGGTGGTGGCGTACGCAGCTGTCGAGACCAACGAGTGGAATGCTGCGCAGCCCAAGGTGGACGGACGATGAAGGAGAGTCTGCCTCCTAAGCGTAGGGACGGAGAGCCTTCCACCGTTACATCAACTAGCCATAGCAGGAGCGGCGCAAGTCAGGCTCACGGCCGCGTGGCCACGACGACATAGGAGGGTTGACTTGATGGTTGAATCCGTTGCTCGATGAGACGTTGTGGAGATCCGGTTTTTTCCCACCCGTTGTCATCCTTTGGTACCACCTGTGGACGCCGTCCACTAGAAATCATATAACACAATGCCGTCGTCCAATCCTGAGGCCATATCGTTGGTGTTGATGACCTCCCCTGTCCACACCAGAAAGGGCCCTCCCCGCATCGTCTTCATCCGCTAATGGCTGGTGGTGGATGCGGCATGGCGTCGATGTCGTCTGGCCTCCTTTATTCCCCAGAGGGAGTAAGACGTCGACGCTCAGTGGCCCGCGGCACGAAATGATGTCGATAGCCGGCCGATCCAGGTGGCCAATGAGCTCCTCCACTGCCGGTCAGCTCCAAAAAGGAGGTTGCCAGGATCTGTGATCACAAGCTTCGGGCATCCCTGTTGCCCACTCGCGCCGTCCCTCACCACTTACACGGCCCCCGTCCAGATGCCTCGTGCATTCGCGACTTGTGGGAAGCATCGAGCAGAAGCATCGAGGTTGAGGCCATCGGGGCACGCCGAGCCCCAGATCTCTGTGCAAACGTCTCGTGGCTTCAGAGCACCATGCGAACCTGGTATCCGGTCAAGACCATTTTGAGAGAAGCGTGGAAGAGAGAGCAGAGCGAATAAATGACTGCTGAGGTGAGGCAGTGACCGGCTCATGCACCACTTCCTCTGGCACCACAAAATCTTGTCTGATAGTGAAGCCACGGCTTTGAAGGTGCAAATTGCCTCAGACCCTAGGGAACTAACCTAGCTCAAGTGCTGGCTTCTAAATACTGATTCCCAGTTCTCCCCTCTCTCGAATATCACAACAAACTTATGATCAGAAGAGAGCCTGGCTGAACCAACCACGATCGTATGATATCCCACCCTTCCAAAAATGACAAGCGGTTTGGATCAGAGGCAGACAGCCACCAAGAGAGGCAAGCCAACCCACATCCACAGAGTTGACCGTAGTCCCGCCAGGCCAACACCCCAATCTTCATCTCCGCCACTCACGCCATTGTCATCAGCCACAATCTGATCACCACTCATGTTCTTCTGCCCCGTGAAGAAGAAGCCAGCCGCACTATGATCACCCGCCGTGACAGCTGGGATGAGACAGACGGCCCCCTCCGCGGCAGGATCCACGCACCTCCCCGCCGCGTTATCTCGCCTCTTTTCATCCGTGCTGTTGAAGTAAGCCTTGACGTACCGCACCTCCATCGCAGCGTCCTTGGCCGGCGGCCCACCTGACCATAGGGGGTTCCCGTTGCTCCAGTGGCTCAGCGCGACGTGTCCTGCGGACAAGGGGGACGGGACGGAGGCCGGGTCGTCCAGGACCGCCAGAACAGTGCCGTCGGCGTAGAAGACGACACGGCCTGGCACGAAGTCGAACCGATACTCGTGGAAGTCTGCACGAGGGTCAAACGGGAGGTTGGCTACCGCGTGGCCTGGAGTTCCTGACGCGTCGAAGCCCGCGTTGGCCGATTCTTGGGACTGGAGGACCAGGTGGACGGGGTAGCTTGAGTTGTCCGTGTGGAAGTCTTTGGAAAGGAATTCCATGTCGATCTCTTGGGTGTCGTTGAAGTACTGCCAAGGATATATGTTAGCATTTTGCGCTTGGGTTTTGACTTGTGCTTAGACTGAGTGAAGACGTGAGCAGGACGATGAGCAGGACGATGAGCAGGACGATGAGCAGGACGATGAGCAGGCACTGGTGACACCAATGATGTTCGGCCGAAGGGCATAGCGAGTGCCTCCAACTCACAACATGTCCGAGAGTGCGAACACTTGTGACCCTCCTGCGGTGAGTTCCATTTTAATTTTACACCAGAGTCACCAGCCGCCTCCCTCCTAAGACACAAGCAGAAGATGTCACACTCGAGGAAGCACCGAGCAGCAGACCTACCCAGAAAAAGGCCGAAACCTAAAGCGAAAACACCAGTCAGCAACCGGGTATAGTTCCCATCGACACACCAGCGTGGGGAACCAACATACCGTCCCAGCAGCATCGGTAAGCCTCAAGCTGCTCCTAAAAGAACCACATGAGATGTCCACCCTTGCTGCATCGATCTCGCCACCGCTCAACATTCCCTCAACCACATCGCTTCTGACCACAATCTGCAGGCCTTCGCCATCACCATCACCGCCATGCCCGTCCCGCGTCTCAATGTTGTCTACGGCAAACATCTGCCCGTACGTCCCACGCGCCTGCGTCGCGCTGCGGTTGAACTCCTGCCGCACCCAGTCCGTGTCCTTGGACACGTCGCTTAGGTTGGCAAAGTTGGCCTCTATGAGGTCCGTGAAGACGAACGTCTCCTCTTCGTGCTGCTGCTGCGTGTCTGGGGAGGTGGAGGTGGAGGAGTTGTTGCTGACTGCGGCTGAGTAGCCGCACTCGCAGTCGGCGACGGAGTGCTGGACCAGGAGCATCATGGCTGCGAGCACCAGTAGGGTTCTGTCCACCCTGGGAGTGAGCATTCTGTGAGCTGTGTGCCGTATGGCGTGCGTTTTCGCTGTTTTGAAGAAGAATGAGGAGCTTTCCCCAAGTTTGGCTGTTTTCACTTGCGTTAAAGACGTCTTGATGTCTCAGGATTATCGACCTTCGATAAAGATCGTCCGTGTTTGCGTTGCCAGTAGCGCCTTCAGAGTCTGACCAGACTTAACTTGAGCTGTCCCGTGGCATTTGTCCAGACTAACGAGTGATGTCGTGGCAGTGACTCAGTCACCAAAAGCGAGCAACTCATAAAACAGCTGCCAAGTGTTGCATGATACGTTCTTGTTGTTGTTGGCTCGCAGTGAATGTCACTACCACTCAAAGTCACTGTGGATGAGTGTTGGTTTGTCCGATTTGAACCCCGCAAGCTGCAAGAGCATTGTCACTCGATACGTGTTGGCCCGCCACCGAGGATAGGAGAAAAAGGAAAAAGACAGACCAGGGAACGACGGGTGGCTGCAAGAACCCGCCGGGAGTTCTCAAATCTACATCAAGTCACACAAGTGTTACCTGACTGGCAACCTCGGAATTCAAGTCTCGGCTCGTATGTGTCGCTGTGGGCCTCGACGTGATATTATCTAGCGACTGTGGCATTGTTCTGTGTGTGCGCGAAGTCTGTGTGATGGAACGCAAGCACTACCTATGTACCGGTAACATCTCAGCACACACACCATGTGACTTGCGATGAGCCATCGCACCAGTTCGCGAGACTTCAAGCCGCGACCCTCTCTGGCTCTTCGCACAGGGTCTGGGCTGATCTGGGGGACCGACTATGACTGACTTCACATATACAATCGCCATACCTTTAACAATGATGGTATATCGTAGTAGAGTCCCTGTAACCGAACTATAATCTCTATAATGATGCTCTGTAGGACATTCCTCTGAAGAATGTCATTCTACAGGGGAGCATCCCATAGCAGGGTGTCTTCAAGGAAGTTGTTGTGTAGCGCCAGGTTGTTTGATTGTTGTTCCCCTCCACCCCAAGGGATGGTGGGGGGATACTGTGGCCGGCGTACATCGGTTCAGGTATATGATCACTTGCATCCTGTGAGGGAAACGGTTGGAGAGGCAGTATATCCAGGAAAGAGAAGTGATATTCTTTAAGCGCTACACTGAGCTGCCTGATTTTGTACAATTCAACTCAAATGACTGCTGAGAAAATCCTTGATTAAAGCCAACGCAACACAAATGCTCAACCTTATATTGATATGGCTGGCAAACGACTCAATCCCAGCCCAGCCTCCCCTCCTTGTTCATCATCAGACGCTTCCATGTCCATTTCTAGTACACCATGTGAGAGGAAAAATGTAAAAGCATCGCAGAAAACAACAGAAGCAAGCCATGGGTTGAACAAGGTATCAGGCGCAAGGAAATAAAACACAAAAACAAAAGCATTGGAGACATAAGAAAAAAGCAGACAACAGGATTAAAGTGGCTGCTAGGGGTGACGTAGCTAAAAAAGACAAGGAGAAAAAGAGTTCCCCCGATTGGGACCAGCCAACGATCCGTGTGCGCAGCAGCGTATTACCCCGGGTAGGCTCCGTGTGAGAGGCCGGCAGCTCTTGTGGCCCATTCCCCTTTCCCACCGATTCGAAAAGGGACCAGGACCCAACGCGCCGCCGGGCTTTTGCCAAAACCTTGCCCCCCTCCCTGATTATGCCAGAGTCCATTCTTGAGACGCAAACGCAATTGCAAAGAACATGACCGGGAAACTCAGAGAAGGAAACCTTGACCCCACGCCAGAACCAGACCATGAAAAGCAGGAAAGCAGGAAACCAAAGACGAAAGAGGTATATGCCGGAAGAGAAGCCCTCAATTGAAACACTGGAAGTCGAACATCATTATTCATCGCCGGAATTAGTACACGCTGTCTTCGTCTCCGCCTTGAGACATCGAAGGAGTCGAAACATTGTCGGACATCTCGACGTCGTCGACGTAACCGATCAGCGCCTGAGCGTGGAAGCGGAAGGATTCGCCCATCAAACGAGTAATTCTGACCAGAAGTTAGTGCAATCCGGGGGACAACCGGGCTTCAGGGACTAGACTTACCCCCAGACAACCACCTCGTCAAGCATGGAGCCCCAGAGGCGAGCCACAATAGTGCCAAGTTGCGAAATGTATGGCTGGTCAAGGTCCTTCTCGAAGAGCTTGCGGATTTTGTTGTACATGGCCATTTCCTCCTCGCTTGCCGGCTCATCGTCATGTTCCAGACGGTAGAGCCAGAGGCTGAGGATGATCATGAGGTCCATTCCGCAGAGCGGGTGCTCAATGCTCCAGTTGGTAGGTGAGGTGCGCGCAACCCAGCGCACACCCTGGACCACGGCCGTCTCGATGCAATTGTAGCACTCCTGGATGACCTTGATCATCTCTGAAGAACGCTTGACCTTGTCCCGCGCCCCTGACATCGCCGCATGGACTTCGTACGGGTCATGGTAACGAAGAGCTTCCTGGACGGTCTTGAGGTCGACTTCAAGTCGAGCTCGGGCATTGCGGAACATGGCCGTAGCATTGAAGATGAGAGGGTGGCCCTTGTGGGGAGAGATGACGGGCACAGTAGCGGTCTCGGGCTCGCAAAGGTCGACGGATTTCTCCCAAGTCTCCAGCGCGAGTCTGAGTTTGTACTCGGTGACAACATCTTGCAGCGCTTCAGGGCTGCGCTTGTGGTACCACACTTCAAGGAAAAGAGCATTGATCATCACACGGGTCGCGAACGCGCTGTACCTGATAGTCTCGCCCTGGAACAGCTTGTCGTGAGCCTCCATGAACGTGACACCAGTGGAAGCAGCCAGTTCCTCCTCCCAGGCAAGCTCATCGGGAACCTGCAGGTTCCAGAGGGCCTCGGTGGAGGGCAGCAGCAGGTCCTCGAACTCGTTGAAGCTGATGGCAGGCGTGTGGTTGTACGACAGAGTAAGGAGGCCGAAGAAGATGTACACCGCGTAGTAGGTGCGACGGCACTCCTCATCCTCCACCCACTCGGCCCGGGTCGGTGACCGATTCTCGCGTGCCTCCTGCCTGAGCTTCAGCTCGTAGCGATTGCCAGCAACCATGTTGGCCAAAAGACTCTTGATTGAACAAGCCCACTCGAGCCCCTTAGGATCACCGCTCCAAGTGGCGAAAATCATGTTCAACAGAGAACTTTGCATGGCCCAGAGGGGACATTTGCGAGAGCTGAAGTTTTCCTTGTTCTGCAGGAACTCGTTGATGAGGACCTTGCTACCGACGTGCATCATGAACGCCTGCTCCTGGTCAAAGGCGTAGAGAGCACCGATTGAGAGGACGGACAGAAGGAGCGGCGAGGACACGGTAGTCGGGTCAAAGGACGCGGGATGCAGAAAAGGCAGGTGATGATGGAACATGCCAAAGTAGGTCGACAAGTAGCGGTTCAGACGCTCCAGGTTAGGCATTTTGAAGCCGTCAGGAATCGCGCGTTCGGTATCGCTGCCGTGAACATTGTCCAGAATCATGTTGCGCTCTACATCACTGTTCACCTGAGGGGGCTTGAAGCCAGCCGAGGTCTGGTGGGCCTCTGCGTGGTTCTGAGCGCCGTGCGAAGGATAGGGCGACTGAGAAGTGGGCGTGCCAGTAGCAGACGTCTGAACGGAGTTGCCGAGCGACTGCGACGAGATCGACTCGGGGCCGTTGTCTTGCCGAGCAGACGTGGCGGGCTGGATCGTGCTGGAGCTGGCGAAGGACGGCTGAGAAGCGAAGGAGCCGGAAGCCGAGAGCGAGTGGTTCTTGGGCTCACCCTGGACGAAAGAGTCCCACTGAGGCAGGCCGATCGTGCCATTCGGGTAGGTCACAGTCGGAGGGTCCATCAAGGAGTTGCCGCTCTGCGCGAAGGGCACGGTTGGGCTGCTCTCGAAAGGGCTGCCGCCATTGGACTGCATGACAGCAGTGGCCTTGTGATGGAGGTCAGCAACAAGCATAGCCGCGGTCTCGACGTCGAAGATGCCCTCGCCGCTGGCCTCGAGCTGTTCCAATGCGGGTCCGTCAAGGGCCAGTGAAGGCTTCGCAGGACCGGCGACAGCTGCCTTGGGCTTGGGGCCACCACGACGCTTGCCATCGCTGTGAAGCGGAACGCCACCATCCTTAGCGTGAACGGTCCTATCATGTCGGAGGAGCAAATCGCGTCGGACGAACGTGCTTCGACACTTCATGCATTTGAATGGTCGCTCTTTGGTGTCTGTGATTGGCAGGAGTCAGCTTATGGAGTGTTTGTAGGGGTAGACCAGAAAAGGTTGTCATTTGTGTAACGCTGACTCGAATTTTTCTGGCCCGAGTCCGTGGGTTGATTGTCTCAAACAAAAGAAAGGATTTTCGAGGCGCGTGCTTCGGGCGAGGAACGGGACGTACGTGATCGCTCATGTCTGCTCCTGTGCTCGCTTCTGCTAAAAGCCCGGTTGCAGAACTGGCACTTGTACTTCTTCTCTGGTGCGAGGGAGGTTTTTCGCGAGGCCGAGGCTGGTGATTCAGCGGCGGGCGCAGGCACAGTGGCGACACTTGCACCTGGCATCGTGGAAAAATGGTCTGTCGCGTGGGGTGCGTCTGTCGATCAGGCTTTGCGGAGCGAGAACCGGATAGCTCTAGCAACGGCAACGAGGGGGGACGACGACGACGACGTAGGGGGGCGATGACAGCGACGGGTTGGCAACGATGGCGGGCACTCGGGAAAACGGATTGGCAGCCTCCTAGAACGATAGTTGAAATCGCTCAAACTCCTTGCTCGCTCGCACGCGCTCCCGTGGGGTTTAAAGTGTGTCGACTTGACTGTGAGGGGCGATGCAGTTCATTGGGGTCGATGTGCAGGTCATGGAATAGACCAGGTGGTGCTGGGGATAAGATGGCTGCAGAGGCCAAATAGGTTCTGGAGGGGCTGAGGAATGGTCCTGCCTGGGTTGCAGGATGTGCCGTGACGGGCTGGGGCGAGTGAAGCGTCGCTGACGGTGAGTGGTGATGCGGGAGTGAATGGGAGTGGGAGGAGAGAGAGGGGTGAAATTCGACGAGGGAGATCGCAGAGAAAAAAGGAGGGCGGTTTGCCAGCCCTTGCTGGGGAGGGGGAGCCAGCCCGCCCGCCCGCCAGCCCGCCCAGCCCAGCAAAGCACCCAGCACCCAGCACTCAGCATCCAGCACCCAGCAGGACAGTGTGGCACCCTCCCTCCAACCGGGCTAGTGCAGGATGGTAGAGATTAGGCGGGGTTGGTACGGGCGGGAGACCTGCCCTCCCGCGGAGGTCGTGCAGGGTCAGGGGGTATCGCCCGGGTAGCCAGAGTTCACAATCCCACCCGCACGAAGGAAAGTGGGGTCTTGCGAGCTCCAGATGGGCAGATGTCAAGGGCAGAGGGGTTGCAGACTGACTGCAGTGCTCTTGCGTAAAACCACGAGGGAGGGGGAGGGGGGTCTGGGGGTCTGACCAAGGTTGAGAAGGGCAGGTACTCCGTCCCCCGTGCCGCCATGCCACTCTCTTTCGCCCTGGCACCTGGTTGCACGATTCCAGCTTATTAAGGTCTCTTCGGCAAATTCATTCATTGCCTCTTCTTCACATCACAACCTCTGCGATGTTGTCTCAAATATGCTATGCTCGACCATAAGGAAGAAAGGATGACGGATCACCAGCCCTGTCTCGAAAACAAGATACCCATCTGCGCCGTGGAAGATCCTCGATGGCAGACAAAGAAGAACGAACAAGGACGACAAGGACGGGGGTTTTCTAAATCCCAGATGTGTGTTTTCAAGTACGTACCACTTCGTGCCCAGACCTTGAGCAACCACACCACCCAAATCCAGTATAGAGCGTGCTTGGCAGACGGGAAGGTTGAAGTACCTCTCTGTTTGCTCTTTTTGAGGTTATCATCAACTCTAGGGCTTTCTCGTCCCTCCAAATAGTCCCTCTAAACGCGGTTTGTTTGTTGACTGGCCTTGACGCGTCTGAAAAAAAATCTCTGCTATTGCCAAGAGATTGGTTGGGGACTTTATATAGCGAGCAAGGCGGGAAGCCCCCAGGGCCATCTCTTAACTTCAACTTCCTCCTCTTCTCTTCATTTCTCCCACCAAAAAACACCAAAAACCACTATTTCTCTCTCTCTCTCTCTCTCTCCCCCCCTTCTCTCCTCGAGGGCACTAGTTGCGGAGCGGACGGCCCTGGTAAGGGCCGCGTAGCCACTAGTGACCAACCCTCCCGGGCGGAGCCCCTCTAGTCCCCCGGCTGAAGGCCATCGCCTTGAAGTTGAGGTTGAATTTGAAGTCTATGGCAACGGTTGCTCTGGAGTGACGCGTTGGACACTTTCAAGTGAAAGTACTTTACTCCCCTGTCTGTTGTGTCACACTCCCTCGCATTCGTGCATAAGCGAGGGCCCATCGGGGATATAGAGAAGACCACAAGGACGACCAGGTACGGAGTACGGACAGTAGCAGCAGACACGGAGACGCCCGCCCAGCCCCCCTCCCCCTCCCTCCCTCCCCAGCGAGAGCGAGGGTAGGCTAGGAATACATGTCTTGGTATGTAGCCTAGTGTTTTTTGCGCGTCGCCCTCTCAGGTGAGCAATCGAACACGAGGACAAGGCGAAGAGGAGCACACAGTGCCAATGTGGACCACCGTTTGCTCATCAGCCAGCCCGCAGCGCAGCCCAGTCGGGTCCAGCCAGTCCAGGCCAGGCCAAGCAGCAACCCCTCCATCTTCTTCTCCGCGCCCTCCCTTTTTTTTTGTTGTGTGTCGACGAGCTCCCCTCGGTGCCGCTGCCGTGTCCGATCCTGCCAGCCAGCCAGCCAGCCAGCCAGCCCAGCCTGCATGCTTCTGCCCATGCTTCTTTCCCTGCTTGCTGTGCGACTAGTGGGGGATCCGGCCGTTTTGCTGGGAAGTGCACCAGCCCAACCTCACCATCCCACGCATCTGATCGTGGACAAAACGTTGACTCCGCTCAAGCCGCTCATAAGCATCGCTGTCGACAGTGGACACTGACCATCGCATCCAGGCTGCGCATTGCTGCTTGCTTGCATGCTTGGCCAGGCTAACACCATGTCATGTCAAGCTCGAGCCAGCCAGCCCTCATCGAAATTCGGACCTGACCCACGGTCGGGGTTGTGACCGTGTTATGACGCCGGGCAGAAGCAGGACATTTTGAGTGCACGAGCAAGGAGAACGAGCCACGTTGCGATGGCATGTCACCACTTGGTCCTCCTCCCTCGCATTGCACCGGCATCCGAGACGCGACGCCACGCTAAGCTGTTTGGTACAGATCGCTGATGAGCACTCACGGCCTGCACAGTAGGTGGCCAGGCCTGCTTATTACTGCTGACCAAGTATCAGCCACAAGCGGTGCGGTGCGATGCGGTGCTGATGAGCTGCATCGGACCAGAGCTTCTCCTTGTAAGCCACGGCTGGGTGAAGCCCCCGACTGCTTGTCCCCCTCGATGGTTTCCGGAAATAGCGGCCTGGTGTGGGGGTGATTGCTCGACAGGTAGCTTTACTAACAACCTTGGAGGCGAGGAACATCGCTGGCCTGCCTGCCTGCCTGCCTGCCTGCCTGCCTGCATGCTTGTCTGCAGATGAAGTCAATCGCTACTGCAGCTCAAAGTGAGGCTGGGACTTCCTGCATGCCGACCGGCCATTGCAATGTACATACCCCACGCAACATGGAACCGACTCCAACTCAATCTTCTTCGACCACATGTGTCTCCTGTCTACGGCCTCTTGATCTCCCCTAGGCTAAGTCCCCATTCCGCGCCCACCGGATTGTTGTCCTAGGGGAAGTTATCCCAGGGGAGGTTATCCCAGAGGAGGTTATCCCAGGGAGGTTATCCCAGAGGCTCCGAACCTGGACTGAGGAATGGCTTCTCTCTCCTTCGCGGTTCCGTGCCAATAAACAGTGCGTCCCACATGCCAGTGTGGTGAACTTTGTGCACAGTAGCGATGGGGTGCGGGGCACAGACACCAAGCACCTGATGATGGATGAGCCCCAGGCGCGAGCGAGTGAGGGGTTCTAGATTTCCCGCAGCTTGGGAGCTGCACCTGGCCGTTGGCTCGATCGGAGCTCATTACGTTCCCGCTCAGCCCTTCCCATCTGACGGGCTGCCTGGCGGGGGAGGGGAACTTGAATCAAGAGCTCGCCGAGCTAATAACGGCCGCTCCTCCGCTTGAAGCTTGCTCTGGGGACCGGAAGCCTTGTGGGGTCCAGCGTGCCGCATCACGAAATAAACCCGGATCGCTCGCTTATGACCGATTGTGACGGTCAGCGCGGGCACAGTGAGGTTAGATGAATCCAGCGTCATGGAAAAGTCTCTGCAACTTGCTGTCTGCAACAAGTCCCGGGCTTCCAGGCGGGCTAGTAAAGCCTGGTAATCCAGGAATCACCTCCCTGACACCCTTCGCTGTCAACCCTGGTAATATTTGTCGACCTATCGTTTATTGCAAATCACCTGCAGCCTCGGCCTCGTGCTCGACGACCACGACGAGCGGCGACTTGTTGTACCTTCAAGAAGTCCAATGCGCACCTAGCTGTCCAAGAGGTCACATGTTTCGAGCGGACACTTTTCTTGTGGTAGACAACGTCTTGCACCGTCCACAACGTCCACAAATGCCATTTTGCTTGACGTCGTCCTGCGGACTAAGGATCGCGCACAGCTCGACAGGGCTAGGCACCCCGTGAAATTGCGTGTCTCGGGAGGCCCGCCAAATTACAGGCAGTCTCTGCCCCATCAGATCCGGCTCTGGCACGGCTGTCAGACCCGATAAGTGGACCCCTCCACCATTCTTTTGTAGGTGGAGACAGCCCGACGCGGCAGCTGCTCGCGCTTGCGAGGTATTGTGGGAATTTTCGGGCCTGGCGGGGTTGCGAAGGCGGTGATGATTGACTTTCGCTTTGTGCCTCTAGACTACGTGGTGTCTATCTGACCAAGGAGCCTGCGCATTGCCATCGTGCGAAACCATCAAACCGTCGAAGACTATACACCTTGCCAACACATCACAAGAGGACGGAGGACGTCAGCTAAACTAGACAGGCACAGGCCGGGGCCATCCGTCACTATTGGTAGGCCCAGAAACCAGCAAATGACAACTTGATCGTCAGCCAACAATACATCTCTGCAGGCAGAAATTTTTGTCAAGTCTCGCACAGACAGGTCCTTGCCTGATTTGATAACCTCACTTGCTCACCCAGCTCGCCCAACCTCCCAGCGTTAAACGGATGGACTCCCGATGGTTGGTCTTGGTGTTCTCACTTCTCGAACAGCCGTTTGAACTCTTGCCATCCCAGACAGCACTACCGGGCTGACGGGCAGCCCCTTTTCTCAATCTAGCTCTCTGTTTCAGTGACGCTACGGGGGGATTGCAGCGAAACTATAGGCCATACTTGGTCCAAATGGGCCTTGGCTCCCTCACCTACGAATCCCGGGTTCGAACATGTCCTCTCGATGTGGGTGAAAGAACTTACGACGATAATGGCGGTCTGCTTATCAGCCAGTTCAGCGTGTGTCAGGTGCTCACACCGATCGCGTCGTCGGCCGCGGGTTCTGCAGCTGCACCGCGTTGAACGGTGGGGCCACTATAATCGAGAAATCCTCACAGTGCATTGCTCCCCAGGGTTTTGGCCCCGCGAACCAGACTAAACAGGGACCAGCTCGCCTGCTCGCCGCGGAAGCCCTTGCCGCGTGTTTTCGCCCACGCTTCCGGACCGTTCCCCGAGCAATTGACACATGGCCGCCAGAAACGACACCCTTGCTCGCTCAATTTCATCCTGCAGCACCCAATTCCATGCAAGTGGTGTGTGGGTTCTGAACCCTGTCCCACGGAGCACGACGGCCAACGAACAAACGAGGAAAGTTCGGTTGCCAAACTACAAGACGGTTGACCGTCTTTTGCCCTGGAGATGGGAAAGGAATACAGCATAAGTTGTTGACTCGTCGTGGCTCTCCCGCGTCTTCACCGTTTATCTGCAAACTCGGCCTGGACCGTCGAGCTGGCTTGGTGTCGAAAGTTGCCTCTCTCAGCCACTTGCGCCTGCAGCTCAGCTCCCCTGACGATCATCGATACCCCCGCGGCGTAACATTCTCATTTCAGC